GTGATCAATGTTTTTACCATTGTGATACCAAGAAATTAGTGGCATTGGCTTACCAGTCACCTTGCAAGGAAGGTGAAGTTCTTGGCCATCAATAGCTTGTACTGATTGTACAGGCGTGACAAAGTTAGGTGGTATCATTTGCTGAGATGGTCCCTCTTGGACAGAAGCAGTATCAGATGCCCCTGGGAAAGTTACCTCTTGTGTTGCTGGTTCTGTTGAGAAAAATGAGAAATTATTTTCATTTAAGTTAATATTTCCCAAATCAACTCTACATCAACGCTTGAAGTTTTTATATTGATTTATGGCACACTTAAATTACTGCATTGATATTCTATAAGATTGTTTATCTAGTTTTATGCTAATTTTTGTTATCTTCTTTAATGCCATTTTTAACATATTTTGGTCATAATTGTGGGCTGTAAGTCAATCTAATTAATTTTTTCTGGATAACTAACTAGTATTTACTAACTTCTCCACATGTGATGGACTACTAATTCAAGATGTTTTCTGAATCAGCCATGAAGAATGACCATTCCACTCAAAGATGCAATAATTGCAGAGAGAGACCACTGAAATTCAAAACTACCAATAAGAAATTACTTCATCTGATTTTAGTATATAATGAGTTAAAAAGGTTACCTTGAACATAGAGTGTGGTGCTGCTGACTACTTCACCAATCTCATTTGAGCTCGCCTTCACTGTGTATTCCCCTGTATCCTCGGGGCCAACTTCTATAATTAGTAACACAGATTTCCCGTCCTCGTATAGCATTTCATAATGCGGTGAAGGTTTAATCTCCATGCCGTTAATAAACCATGTGACCATAGGTGGTGTATAAGCATCAATTTTGCATTCAAGTCTGTAAAAAATAAAAATGACATTCATAGAAAAGACATTTTAAAAACTTTTAAGATATAAACATATAAACATGAGCTCACAAATTCTTTACAACAAATTCATATTAAACATTTCAGGTTTCTGTTGTTGTCAAGTACTTTACAATTCATCAATCTAAAATAAATCATATAGGTCATTTAATAACCTTAACTTTTTGTGTGTAGGTTCAAAGATGAACAAAAAAGGGAAGATGATTTTGGCTAACCTCAGGTGTTACAAACTTAAGGCAACACCAGTGTCTAAAACCACCTCACCTGCTGGAGCTAAGAGATGCATAGACTCCAAAAAATTTGAATCCATTTAGTCGCCTCTTACAACCACGCAGGGTTAAATGGTGGCAATGCAATTCTTATGCCTCAATCTGTAATGGCAATCCCTCAGCCACAAAAGGGGGGGAGGGGGAGAAAAAATTGTCTTGTAGTTTACAAAATTCAACTACAACAATTACCTAGCAATTCCCCTCTCTCTGACATATATTTCAGGTTCCAGGGGTTGTAGAAGTTCTGGTTTGATAGTCCTTGTAGTAACGATCTCTTCCCTAGTTACCATGGTAGTAGTATGGGTCAAGGTCATCTGATCTGGTCCAACTGCTGGTAGCTCAATTACTTTCTCTTTACCTGACAAAAAAAAAATACTTCAGTTGAATGTTTTTTTTAAACATCAAAAAAATTGAACAGCTATAAGTTTGATATAAGAAGTTTTTGTCATCCAAATTTTTCTTCAAATATTGCAATTCACTACAATTCCACAAATCACTCACTTGATGATTTTTTCTTTATGACAAATGATAGAGGTAATAATATGGAAAGACTAATAATGTTCATATATCAGCTGCTTAATCAATAAATCATATTTGTTTCTTTTCTTTGTTTGTTTCATTTTACACCTTTTCCCAACAGTATTTCAGTCATATAGACGGGTAGTTTCCTAACCATCGTTCCTGGAGTTACACCAGTACTAGACTACCTTCCTCCGTGCTAAACTACCAAAGCGTCTCCTGGGGATCGAACCAACGCCAGAGAGGTAACTGGATTAGAAGTCATCGACTCTAACCCCTCAACCACGATAGCAGTAATAAATCATGTCAGAGTTGAAAAGTAAGTTATATCCCTATCTTGCATTCAATAAGATGGTTATGCTAATTTAAGAAATGAAGGGTATTAAAGAAAAGCTTTGTTTATCAGTGTTTTTATTATTGGTGTAAACTTCAAATTCTATTTTTAAAACAATTTACCAGGTAGTGTCAAGGTTGTTCTGCAAGTGACCTCTCCAAGGTCATTCTCAACCTTAAGTATGTATTCGCCCACATCTTGAGGCTCTGTTGGAGATATTATCAGGATTATTGTGTTAGCTTCACGAACAATCCTAATTCTGTCTGATGGCCTGACCTCCTTGCCCTTGAATGTCCATGTGTAACGTTTAGGTGGTGGCTGGGAAGCTACAGTAGCTTCCAATCTGAAAATATTAATAAGCATTTTCCTTTATACATATAAGGAAAACACACGACTGCCTTGGGCAAGGGCAATTTTGTCCCTCATGGCTATTATTGGAACAAGCCAGGTAGAAGCCCTCTAAATGTTGTTTCATAACAAATGTCTAAGCTCTAACCTTTATGGCTTCAAAGGAGATGATTTTAAAGACTTTATTACAAACATATAAGGAAAACACATGAACATGTTCCCGATTTTATCACAAAATTGGGACCCTATTTATAAAACCTTCTTGTAACATATATGAATTTACATAACATTGGGTTGAATATAACAAATAATGACCTTAATCCATTGATGTTAGACTATGTATATATACCTGGTTGTTTCTCCAGGCTGTATTTCTCTTACAGAAGGTAAAGGTTTGACAAACTCTGGTGGACTTCGTTCAATTGTTGTCTTGTACCTCTCTTCAAGAAGTTTAGCTTGTTGAACATCTATATTCAAAACAAAATGAACCATTTTATAACCCATTATTATAACACAGTTTTGAAAATAAATAACAATGACAAAATCCTACTTATATATTTATACTCCTAGTAATTACAATAATGTTAACATGATATCCTTTGAAAAAAATATATATTTAGTCAAAGTGAAATCATGATATTTTATGTAAACCTTATAATAACATCACTATAAATCCAATACCTTTAAAAAAGTGTCATATATTAATGCAAATCTTATACACAAATTGAATCAATTTTTCTGCGGGGTTAAAAAACCAAAGTATGGCACAAAATATCTAGGGTTTGTTTCAGTAACTTTTCTTTTTAATTGAGATTTAGAACACACAAACTACTTTTATAATTATGCCCTTCACACTCTTTTATAAGTATTCTAACACATTGTAATCATACATGGGTAAGAATTTGTAATTTGTTCAGCAAATAACTTTTTACTGTTTACATAACAAATCCTTCATAGCAGACAATGTAAGCTGATATCAGAGCTACACACTTACTATCCTGGTTGAGTTTTACGTCACACTAACACAGTAAAGGTTATAAGGCAACTTTCCAGCTTTACTGGTAGAGAAAGACCTCGGGGTGCCTCTCTGTACATTATGTAAGGCAGAAACAGGTACCCGAGTAGAACCACTGAAGTTCCATAAGCTAGCTGGCTAGCTTTCTCACATGAAGAATCTCGTGAGAGTCTAGTGGTTTGAAGTCAACGACCTTAACCACTCAACCACAGATGCCACTGTACTTACTATCATCAAACATGGTGTAATTCTAGCTATGTATTATATCAACATTTTGCCTTGTGGCTAAGGTGAAATCATACAATGTTTAAATTTTTCTACAATAAATCATTTAACTTTACCTTTTTCAACACATAGATTGTTTGATTGTCCAATGATAGTCAGAAACATGCATTTTGAACCTCACGGAAAAGCATTCAATTCCAAACACATTCTATGTGGAGAAACCATGCTCTGGTCTGTGTGTCCAGTCTTTCACCTAAACTTTCCTTTTATCAAACACTCAAGTCAACATGCATTTATATTTTCATTACAAAACAAAAATGTAATTTAAAACATATACTCCCTCTTCTCAAAAGAAGAGCACAAATGCCAAGCAAAAACAAAAACACACAAAAAAGTTAGTTATTACTGTAAGGAGAGGTGTTATTTCATTCTTAACAAAATAAGGTAAATTATATATATTAACTAATTATTAGTATATAAACCTGACTTAAGAATTGTTAATTTTCCATAAACATGTCTAAGTTTATTTTGACTATTGTCATCAAATCATAAACTTAAACAATAATCATCTGTCAATGAAATGAAATGTTTAAAGGTTGCAAGGAAGACTTCTGTATGGTAACAAACCTTGCAAGCATCTGCTAAAACTAAACTAAACAAACATCCTTAAAACAATTTTATTCTAAGAACCTACAATGGCTGTGACAACCTTTTATTGCAGGTTCTTAAAATTTCACAAGAGCAAATTTTAAACTACCCTATTTAAGAAGATGTTCTAAATATCACTGAAATAATAAATTCAATTTTCTTATCATATCTAAAATATGTTAAACATGGAAGCTCATTTTCTAAATCAGTAAGAAACTGAACTTACATGGAATCAACTACCTTCATAAATCATAAAGCATATGAACATTTGAAAAAAAATCTATCAAAAATTACATATTTGTAATTAAGAGTTTAGTGGGTGGGGTGTTTCTCTGATAGCATGCTACTGGGACTGTCAACCTGAAAATATAGAACTCACACAGCAAGCATCAACACAAGGTAAAATACTGTATGCAGAATTCTTTAAATAACTTTTTAGTAAAAGGATGGTGTATTTTTTCTACAACTTTTTTTGTTAGTTAATTAGAATTTCATGCTTAATTTCATTTTTTGTTGCTTTTATTTCTTATTTAACCTTAAGGACTTACCTTGTCTCCTATGTTTGTACCAAAATACTGTGACATCATCCTAACTAACATGCAGACAACATGAACCAACTCTTGGTTTTGATGTGTCATTTTTTTCTCTCTGAGATATCTTGACATCTGGCATGTAACATTATTCTGACCTAAATATGACACATTTGTGATGGGACTGAAATAAAACCAGTCATATGACCTACAAGATCACTTACCTTGGACATAAAGTTCAGCAGAACATTCTGTCATGCCAACTGGGTTCTTGAGTCTACATGTGATCAAACCAGAATTTTCAGGGAATGCCTGTCTTATTGTTAAAGTTGTTGTGGTTCTTGTTGTCTCAATCTGAAAATGACAATGCAAATGCTTCATAAAATTCACAGGGTGAAAGTTCATATAAATATGACAAAGTAAATAATAATGACAAAATAAAATGCGCTTTTGGAATATGAATATAATCAAGGCAGTCAATAGAACAGCTATATCCCCTGCCACAGTAGAACATTGGAATGCATAACAAATGTGAAGCGGTTAAGACCTAAAAACAATGCAAAGTTATTGAACTTTTTTTACATTTGACCTTCACGGGTGACCTTGACCTTGGGGGAAGTAATATGGTTGTTGTGCAGTTCCTATAGTTCCTTCCCCGCTATGCAGCAGGGGATAAAAAATTAAGTTTGAAAATGTTCAAAGTTCATACAGAAAAGTCTTTCATAATAAGCTAAACAAAAGCAATTCTGAATGACTAATTCTAAAAAAAGACAAAAGCTACCTTCAACCTGCCCTGTCTTGTTTGAGACACATCTTAATCCTTACCTTGATATCTCTTGTTTCTTGTAAAATCTGTAGTGCATTTCTGAGCCATGTGACCTGAGGTTGTGGCTCTCCACTATATTCAGCCACAAACTTGGCTGGACTGCCTTCTACCACCAGGGTGTTGGTGATAGGCTTGATAATCTGAGGTGGCTGTTCTTGGGTTTTAGGTGACACCTGCTCTGGTTCACTTTCTAATCCTGCAAAATTACAAACCACAAAATATTTATCACTTTTTGCATTATCATCATTAGTTGCAAGGCTTTGGGCTGTCATAAGTTCCACTAGGTCTATTAAGTTTTTCCAGAATATTCATACCAAACAAATTCCAAGTTACTTGTTAATTAACTTTAAAACATCACACAAAATCCTAATCAATTTTAAAATGAACAACATTTCAGTTCCCTTTTAAATTTCATTTAAAAGCAGGGTACGAAAACATACCATGAACTTTGAGGTGGCATGTAACAGTGGTTTCCCCTGCCTTATTTCTGGCCACACATTTATATGTGCCAGTGTCTTCTGGGAAGGCCTCAAGTATACTGAGACTATGAACGCCATCTGGTGTTGATTCCATGTGGAAATACTTGGATGGCTTCACAATCTTGTTGTTTCTGTACCAGGTCACTACTGGAGCTGTTTAAACACAATAAAAACCATGGTAACAAACACTTCCAAATTTTGCTTCTTGAAACATCAATTTCATGTAAAAGAATGTGTGATTGGTAAAATAGTGTGTAAATCTTGTCATGTTAATGAACTGTATCTGAATTAGAATTGATAATTGATTTGTGTTCTATTCTGTTCTAATATAGATGTATGCAAGGAAATGACCATTTATATCAGAAGCATTCTAAAGGCATTTGTTACAACACTTATATATAAACAGAGGATGGACTTAAAATGAACTTTTAACAAGGTATTTTGTTATATTACACACATTTACTAAAACAACGGCTAATACATACAAAGTTACATATTGTTTATGAACAATGAATGTGTGATAAAGAAGTTACCTGGAGATCCCTGAATTCTACAGGTAAATGTAACTGGTTCTCCTTCATCAGCGACAAGACTCTGTGGCTCCTGTACACACTGGGGTGCGCTCACTTTGGGCTCAATCTGCTGGGGCTCCATAGGCTCAGGTGATTGTATGGGCACTAAGTTAAACAATAAGTCATTTATTGATTTTTAAATTAATAATAATAATAATAGTAATAATAATAATGATAATAATAATAATAACTTTATTTTGAGAAGATGACATATTAAGAGTACATAATAAACATACAACTTATTTCCAATATGGCCTTCTATACATATTTAAACAGAACACAGAAATTAATAACACTCATGTAAAATAAAACATGAATTTAATCATTACCATACCAGAAAGGGTCATGATTATTCAACACAGAAGAAGGTTGCTTTGTAACATTAGGTAAGCTAAAAAGTAAACTCTAACTCTGAATTAACAATGCAACTCTTATTACCGACATACTCACAGCATTTTGTCATGTGCAGTCATGCATACGTTGAAGTTAAAAATCTTTGACCTCACTCAATAAAAAAATGTCATGTTCAGTTGAATTTGTTCTGCTTCACACAAAATATCAATTATTAAATTCATCAATGAAATTCAATGCAGACATATAGGAAAAGTCAAGTATGTCAATAATATAGAGTCACATGCTACATTAGATTCAGTAAAGAAAAACCCCACCTTTTACAATCTTATTCTACTTAAAAAATATTTTACCTATATAGTCAACACGACACTTGAAAACAAATCAGGCATTCCAATATAAAGTTGGTTATACATTTCCTCTTACCTTCCACACAAAGTTTAGCTGTACATGTTGCCTTGCCGACGTTGTTAATGGCAACACAAGCATAATCTCCAGCATCTTCAGGTCTTACTTCATATATCAACATTGTAAAGTTGTCATCTTCATGTATAAACTTCATCCTGGGGCTGTCATCCATTGGTTTGCCATCCTTTAAATAATTAAGTACCATATTATTATATATCTGCTTGTAACATTTTAGTTTTAAAGCGACCATCAGTTTTAATAAGGGTTAAATAAATTATTTTTAGATAAATCATTTCATATAATTGTCAAATCAAAAGAATTAAAGTGGAAAATGAAGTTTGCTGTCAATAAAATACATAAACAATAAGGAAAGGATACCTCAATTTTCAATTAGCCAGTCCGCTCTCTATATGTAAATTAGTTAAGCAGACAATTCATTTCCCAATCTTCTATAAAGCTAATATAAATATGGTATATCAAATTAAACAAAGCATTGTTCATATTTTTAATGACTAATGCATTGACCACTTCTTTAATGAAATTTTGGTTGAAAGTCAATACTTGATTTACAATAAACAAATGCCAAAAAAGCTGTCACCTATTACAATTCTTAGATTACAATTAAGGTAAATCTTATACCATAAAAACTTTTTTTTTCCAGAATAATTTGAAAATAAAGTAAGCATTTACCTTTTCCCAATGAACTTTTGGTTTAGGATTTCCAGTAACATTACAGTCAAATGTTGCCGGCTCTCCCTCCACTGCCTGGGTGTCTCGGATCAAGTTACGGAATTCTGGTGGTATGTCTTTAGTAGGTTCTTCTTCTTCAACAACAGTCAATTTAGCCTGAAAAAGCATGCAGAACAATTAATGTTCACCCAGTTGATGACATGTACTGAATTAAGTCTTCTTTAGATATCTCCATTGTTACTTTAAAAATTTCATGATCAAAGTGACAAAAATTAGTGGCATTTGCATGACTGATGTGAGCTATTTATGCCAATTTTATTGAATGTTATATTTGTCAACTGCAGCTTGAAATCAGTCACCTAAATCTATATGTTTAAGACAGAAGTTCTCTATATACCTTGCATTGTACCATGCCATACATGTTGTAAGCTTTCACTGTAAACAGTCCAGTATCTTCGGGGAACACTTCTGGTATGAATAACTTGCTAGTTGTTTCCGTGGTTACAATCTGGAAGTCATGTGATGGCCTGATCTCAAAGTTATCCCTGTACCATGTGATCAGAGGTGGCGGATAGCCCTTGAAGTGGACTTCCATCCTACAGTGACAAAAGTGAGGAAAAATAAGTTCTATGACATAAAACAACAAGTACTTGTTACACAGGCAGATGGGTTAGTTGCTGCAGCCATTCTGTGACAAAGAACATAACAAATATTTTTTAAGCAGATAGATAAACAAGTTGCTGCAGCCCCTCTTAAATGAGAAGTTAACAATGAAAACATACATGTAAATGACAAGAATGTATTAAACTGTATTTTTGTCACAAGGTTAGAAAATGTGCAGTCTGACCTGGACTCCAACCTGGGACACTTGGAATACCGTAGCGCGGCTCAACCGACTGAGCTATCCAGACGCTTACACACTATGTCCCTTATTTGTGAACAGTTCTTAACTGTGACACTCTTAAACAGCTAAACATATTGAATCTATTCAGTCTTTTGAACCTTCAATTATCGCACTTCACAAACATTAAAAAAATTACTTCCATTAATATTTTTATGGCTGTAAGTTACTGATTACATGTGAATACAATCTACTATTGAACAAAAAGAATCAACAAATACATATATCTCCTTTTTTTTTCAATGAAAATTACAAATATAACAATAAAAAAATATAAGCTAGTCGAAAAATGGGACTTTTTAAAGAGACAAAAATCCAAATATATTATTCTACAGCTAAATATTTATATTTAAAACTAGGTTAGGACCTTTGATCTTACATTAAAAAGTCGAAATGTAAGGTTTTAAGATATAAAAAGAGACATAAAAAGCAAAGAGAAAAATCAAACTACTGTATATAATTATGAGTAAAGGTAAAAGTGGAATCTAAGGATGAACTTCGGAAAAAGGTAATCTTAAAATATGTCTATAAATAAATGACAAAAGTTAGTGAGCAAAAAGGAGCTACAAAAGTATTATTACTAACCTACAAGAAGAGAAAGGCAGTAAATAGAAGGAACATTATACAAAAAAGATAAAGAAATTAAAAGTCTCTAAAACTCACTCAATAGCTCTGGATAATAATAAACAAAACAAATGAAAATAGATATAGTTACAAAGACTTCTTATTTAGAGTTTACATCTTTTTCATTCCCAAAATAAGTATACTAGAGCTGTTTCACTCTTTTTCTAAAACTTTACTGTCTTTCAAACTCTCAAATCATAGGAAGCTATTTGGCACTTAAAAAAATTCCATTCAAAGCCCATGTATAAATTAAAATATTTAGTTCAAATGAATATTTAGTTCAAATGATATGAAAGATTAGATTAACAAAAAAATATACAATATATGCCATATTGTCAAACTATTTAAATCAGGCTGTGAATATCAAATTCTCATCAAACACTTTACTTACTGTACTGGTTTTCCTTCTGTTATACGGGCTGGCCTCAAAGGTTTAGTGAACACGGGTGGTTCCCTGCGTTCAAGTAAAACTTGGTGCTCCGATACCATCGGTTCCCCTTTCTTTGGTTCCGCAGCCTCTGGTATGATTGGAACCATTCTGGCTTGCTGGATCTCAAGCTGAATTTCCGGTCTGTCCGGACGTACAACACGTGCCGGCATTTCTCGCTCTTCCGGTTGTTTGACTGGTCGAAGTTCTCGGTGTGTAGTGATGTATTGCTGTTCTGTTATAATGGTTTCTTTGTCAGTCTGGGTAATGGTGATCTCCTTGTCACCAACTGATTATAGAAGATATAAATACCTTTAATTTAACTAATGTATGTATATATAATAACAGGCAAGAGATTACATTTCTTGTATTTAAAAGAAAGCCTAAATTTCACTCTTCTATTATCAGTATCTCTCTCACACAATAAATATTGTCATCATTTGATTAAGTTCAATTCCATCAAAAAACCCTAAGTATTCAATAGACATACTCTGGAATTAAGAATATTTTGGGTTTTCCCAGCTATTCAAGGGGTACAAACAAATTTTTACAGTTACAGCTTCGAAAATAAGCACAACAGGTTGACTTATTGTTGTGAATGGTAGTGTACTGTAAAGCTATAAATCTAAAAGTTTGTTTGTACCCGGGATTAGATCGGAAAACCCACAATTGCCGATTTCCAGATAACAACAGTTACTGTTATTCAAACATTTATTATTAATGACATCATTTGACCCACCTTTTTCAAATTGCTTGTATTCAGACACTTGTGGTCTACGCAATTCTATTTTTTGTCTTCTGTCAAGTTCAATTTGAAGATCACCTGTGACAGAAAAATAAATGTAGAATAATTTTTTTTTGTTTTATACAAACCCTCGATTTTCCAAATACAAAATTAATAAGGTTTGTTCCTACTATAAAATGTAACTTCTGTATAACCTATTACCATAGCCTCCCTTCTGAGATTACAAAATCATTGTTCATATGAAATGTTTGGTTCAATTTTTTTTTTTTAAATTCCATTTCTTTCAGTATGAAGTTCATATAAACATATTGTTAGATAAAAAATCAAATCTTACACTTAAATTTATCAATTGAAAGCTATAAATTCATATGACTTATTAACCTTGAGATTTTCAATTTGCTTTGAACAATCATGTCTTTCAGATGAAATAATAGAATAAATGAAATGAATATTTAAATTAGCCATAAAAAATTAGATCGTTCTTGGCATAAATGTAAGTTAATTACATTTTAAACTTTGTTTTTTCACGTACCTTTTGGAGCTTGTCTAAGTTTGGACCTCCAGTCATCATGAGGTAGAACGTTTAGTGAGGTAGATGACTCTGCCTCTCCTTCAATATTACGTGCAACAACACGTACTTGACCTATATCTGTGTCACGTGCACGAGGAATCTCAAGATAATGCATCATACCATCATAGGTAACCTTGTATCTGGTTCCCTGTAAAAGAATGACAAGGGATGCATTTTATTCTATACTTCCGATTAATGACAAGCAAGGATTTCAATTTATACTTCTGATTAATGAGAAGCAGGGATTTTATTTTATAATTCCTGCTAAAGTTTAAATTTCTTGATCACATATAACACTTTGAAACCATTCATTTCTACAGAGAATCTTTTACACTGACTAAAAATGAGAAAACATCATTTCTAATACACAGAATTCTCAAAATACAAAATGCCCTTTTTGAAAAAATGATAATTTCAATAAATTCTGATGATGTCATATTCCAAAGGAAATCTATAGGATACACCTCTAAAATATCTGCCCTTGATCAAAAATAATATAATTACATTAAATTCATAACTAAGAAAATATTCAAGCTGGAATATATTTTGTTCTAGTTATGTTCTTAAAAATATTTTACAAGTTAAAAAACATCTAAAATTGTCAACTTACACCAACAATGAGGCTTCCATTGACATACCAGTTGACCCGGGGTCGTGGGAACCCACTGACCTTGACCAAGAACTTGGCGGGGAAGCCCTCTTGCACCTCTACAGGCTCAGGCTTGAGGTCAATACTGGGTGGGCTCTTTGTCTTTGGTACTTCAATATCTTGTTCTTCCAAGTGGGTGTGGCTAAAATATAAATTTCATTTTGTGGATGTGGCTAAAATTCGAATTTCATTTTGTGGGTGAGGCTAAAATTTGAATTTCATTTTGTGGGTGAGGCTAAAATTTGAATTTCATTTTGTGGGTGAGGCTAAAATTTGAATTTCATTTTGTGGGTGTGGCTAAAATTTGGTATATCTTATAACAAAAGTTAAATGAATAGAATTTACAAAATAGATTTTTAAAAGATTTTATTTAAATTCATCAAAACAATTTATCAAATGAAACATACCCTCTCCAGACCTCCTCCATTTCTTGTAGACGTATGGCACCTTCCCCAGGTAACTGTGTGTCCATAATGATTGATCTACGACCTGATAATATCATATTATGAATTCACTTGTGGACATTTAATTTCGTGGTTTTGTCACAAAGAACATTTTCGTGAGTACTTAAATTTATTAACTATTTTCCAAAAGGTAAAATGTAAATAACGTTATGCGAAATAATCTTACAGTAGAAGAAATTAAATATTCGTTGAATCTTAAATTTGTGGATTGACCTACTTGACATATTTTTAAGCAACAGCTGAAATACCGGCATGATATACATGAAACCAAAATTTTACCTCTGCATCTAACTTCGCTAGAGGTCTCAGTGGTACCGTACACGTTAGTGGCTCTACATGTATATACCCCAGAATCTTCGGGATACATGTACAATATATCAAGGGAGACAAATCCAAATTCATGACTTGGCTTGTATCTGTGACCTGTTAGGAGAAATTTGAATAATACAATGTAAGGTGTAACACTTGATTAGTGAAAAAAAAAGTATTAAAATTCTCAAAACTTCCATTTTTTCCCATTATAAGTCATACCACTAACAAATAAATATCATATCAATCAAATTCTGTTATTACATGCAAACATTCTGATTGAATAGTTTAAAATATCATTTTTTGAATGACTACATACAGATGGTCGCAATATTGTAATAGGAACTGGTGTAATAGGAATTGGTGTAATAGGAATTGGTTCAATTTTATTTATTGCAAAAAACAACCCCATTTCATACCATATTGTAATGGTTGTCCATCCTTAAACCATTCTACATTCATGTGTGGATCGCCAATGGGAACCAGTTTACACTCAAAGTGGATTGGTTCATTTTCCTTCAGGTTAATCATACTCTTGATCTCTGTCTTAAATCTTGGTGGCAACTGCTTCGATTTGTGATACAAGTCTTCTGGTGCCGGGGCCTCACCCTCGCGTCTGATATATTCACGTACGGCACTCTCGTGGTCTACATCTCTGTAATTATTATACAATAGTATAAATTTTCTGCTTTTTGTTTAAATAGCAGTCTTTGTAAGGACAGGAATTATCACAGAACAACGAGACAAATTTGTTTGGTATAAAAATAAATGATAATGAAATATGAAATTGATGGGCAATATAATAACGAGAAACAAATATATGAATATAATATAAAATATTAATTCAGATATATGAATATCTTAAGTAAAAAAACAAGAACTGTCGGAGGACAGTAAAGCTCGACTATTCGAAAATTTGTCACAGGGTGTTTCATTGAGTATAATAATGCTTACCTATATGAATACATAAAATTGTCCGAAAAGGTACAAACTCTTCAAGTTTCAATACATTCCCTTCAGTAGTTATGGAGATACAAGCTTACATACAAAAACTTAACCAAGATTTTCTAAGTCGAAAAAGGGGCATAATTATGAAATAAAACAATTCAGAGTTATGGGACTTGTACCAATCACCTTAGATAATCACAGAGACCAAGTGTGTGAAGTTTCAATCCATTCCCTTCAGTAGTTATGGAGATACCAGCTTACACGCAAAAACTTAACCAAAAATATCTAAGTCGAAAAAGGGGCATAATTATGTTAAAAAGCAAATCCGAGTTATGGGACTTGTGCCAATCATCTAAGATAATCAGAGAGAACAAGTGTGTGAGGTTTCAATCCATTACCTTCAGTAGTTATGGAGATACCAGCTTACATGCAAAAACTTAACCAAGAATTTCTAAGTCAAAAAAGGGGCATAATTATGTAAAAAAGCAAATCAGAGTTATGGGACTTGTGCCAATTATCTTAGATAATCACAGAAAACAAGTGTGTGAAGTTTCAATCCATTCCCTTCAGTAGTTATGGAGATACCAGCTTACACGCAAAAACTTAACCAAGAATTTCTAAGTCGAAAAAGGGGCATAATTATGTAAAAAAGCAAATCAGAGTTATGGTACTTGTGCCAATTGTCTTAGATAAACACAGAGAACAAGTGTGTGAAGTTTCAATCAATTCCCTTCAGTAGTTATGGAGATAACAGCTTACATACACAAACTTAACCAAGAATTTCTAAGTCGAAAAAGGGGCATAATTATGAAAAAAAGCAAACCAGAGTTATGGGACTTGTGCCAATCATCTTAGATAATCACAGAGAACAAGTGTGTGAAGTTTCAATCCATTCCCTTCAGTAGTTATGGAGATACCAGCTAACATACAAAAACTTAACCAAGAATTTCTAAGTCGAAAAAGGGGCATAATTATGAAATAAAACAATTCAGAGTTATGGGACTTGTGCCAATCATCTTAGATAATCACAGAGAACAAGTGTGTGAAGTTTCAATCCATTCCCTTCAGTAGTTATGGAGATACCAGCTTACATACAAAAACTTAACCACAGGGACGCCGACGCCGACGCCGACACCGACGCCGACGCCGACAAATGGGTGACTGCATTAGCTCGATTATTCTGCGAATAGTCGAGCTAAAAACACATTCACCATCTGCTCATGTGTAACTATTGTTTCTTTTTAATATCTATTACAAAACGTAGAAATTATCTAAATAAACTTTAAACATTTTTTAAGGAAACATCTTAAGCAAACTATTCACACTTAGGCTATTGCAAGATGAGTGTCAAATTTGTAGAGAACACATAACAAAGGTAAGACAACGGTGCAAGGTTCAAGAAAAAAGGTCAAAGGTCATTCAAGAAAATAGGTCAAAGGTCAAATAAGGATTCATATGTATATAAATATGTGCTTAACTAATAAAACAAATATCATGAACTGTAAAAGTAGGAAAAATAAAATGTGAAGGAATAATTCTTTAAAGTCCCTATACCTAAAAACTGGTATGCTTTTATATGAAGAACCTGATGCTCAAATGGAGAATTACTAATATCATAAGTTACAAAAAGTATTTATAAAATAGATACAATCAAAAACAATTTCTGCAAATAAAGGGAGATAATTAAAAATAAATTATTGTTAACTGTTTTGCCTGTTCTGTAATACAAGATTTTGTATGTTAAAAAAAAAATGAATTTTGTTGTTCATTTTTTATTAAATGTATGTTGCATACATAATTTACATTATACACAAACTCTGAATTGGGGAATTTGAAGGGTTATAGAGGTCTTGAAACCAACAACGTTCTTATATTTCAAGTTTTTATAGAAGGGAATTTTTTCTAAAATGGGAAGTGTTCAAGAAATATAATATATATGATAAAGGTCAAAGGACAAGGTCAAACAGGCAGCATAAGGTGAACTTCTTGACCTTTTGTCCTCTGCATTTACTATTATCCTTGGAACTGGAGGCAAATACTTTCTTGGCCTACAATATTAATGTAATGTTTATGAAATATCTGTAAAAATTATTCAATAAATAAATCCATTTAAATTTTCCTTGGGATGTGTCTTTCCCTTATAATCCATAGTGCATAAAATGAAAGAAAATGAAATATAATAAATTTATAATAACATATTAAATGTTTTTTTTTCCATTTCTCATTTTAAAAAAATTGCTTATTTTTGATGCCTGAAAAGTGAAAATAAAAGCTGAAAGTAAAAGGTTGATTAGCTATCTAAAATAAAACTAAAATCAAGCAATTAGAATGACTAACTAAACTTTACTTTAAAAATGTGTATGTTTAAAATCAACCACTCCCTCTCCCTACCCCAAAACCCATTTTTTACTGACATTAACACATATACATTTTTAAAGGAGTATTTTTACCATGACATATAAGCAAGTAAGCGAGCGAAGGCTTAAGCTGTGCATTTTCTATCTTAATTCACAAACAGCAAACTGGTCCATCTATTCACATCAGAGAACTTTTTACTAACAAATAGTCATCATAGTGCAATAACTGGCTAACTCTTTAAAATTTAGGACTAAACCTGTTACTGCACTAAGGGGACACAAATACTTTATAAAACAAATATTTTGAGCCAAATAACCTTTGGCCACTAAACAGTTTCTTAGTCAAAGTAATATTTTATAAAGTCAGGTATACAACATATGACAACACAAGCTCTAAAGAGCTTTTAAAGGTACTATAGTTTAAACTTAAATTAATATATATCTGTATTATGATGAGTGTTCAAACTTTGATGTGATGATGACCAGATATGCAGGTGGTGTTGTCAAGAAGCTGTTGCTAAGCAAAGGTTGTATTTTGACATATACAGATGACCTTTCACCTTTTCAAGTTTTCTAGAAACACCAAAAAATGCTCAAAATTAGACTTTTTAAAACCACACTTTTAAGCAAAATATAAAAACACAAGAAAAGATCTGCTTTTTTACATTAATTTTGAATTAATAACACAGCAAAGGAACACAAAGAAGAGCACTTAAAATTTTCCATTCCTATCACACGAAAATGTTTTTAAATTTTTCTAGTTTAAAATACATACAAATTTCACACCAATGCCATCTCTATGACAACCAATATCAACCATAGATCATAATAATCCCTAGGCAGGTTTAATTAAAACAGAACTGTTTCTTATTATAACACTTATAATAAATAACATGTCAATATAAAGAAGAAATATCAACCTATGTTTTTTTGTGAACAAACCTATTCAGTAATATCAATGACTTTCATCTAAAATAATCTTAAATCATAAAATGATTCCTGTTCATATACAAATATATATTACATTTATTTACTTTTCTTGTACAACATACAAAACAAAACTTGACCAACAACTCTGAACAAACATTATGTAAAAAACTCTAAGACCAAATATCATGTTGCTTATTCCGTCAAAATGAATTTAAAGACACACACACAAACACACATATAATCAATCCTTTCAAACCCTTCTCAACATTCAAGACTTCCTCAGCAACCATTACCTTCCATGGCAACCATTATTAAGTATTTTCACACCAAAAAAAAGCCAAAAACTAAACAATTTTATTTATAACACCTCAAACTGCAAAGGTCATCTGCCTAGCAACAAAAATAAAACAATCACATGACCATTTCCAGGGTAACAAGGCTGGATTACCTGGCCCAGGCTTCAGCAGCCATTAATACATCGGTTCTGTCCGGTACCACAAAAATGGACGGCTTGGAGACATAGGGAACCGGCTGGTATTTCACCGTTCTACTTTTATGTTTACGGACTCTTACTCGTTTATATTTCCTTGGTTTCTTTGGATACAGATCCCCATCTATTATCAGCTTTTCGGGAGTGGGTGGGGGTAATTTTGTTATGTGGACTGGTTTTGTAAAGTATCCAACATCGGAGTCATCAGACGTAGCGGACAAAATGACCATTTTAGACTCTGACCGACTTGTTTGCCTCCTCCATGTTTCTTGAGATTTTCTTGTAACCCTCTTCTGAAGAATTTCTTTTTGTAAAGCTTCATCTTCAGGGACCTCATATGTTATTATATATTCATCTTCTTCAGGCTTTTCTTGGCCAACTTGGAATTCTGTTACAGTTTTATGAGTTGGTCTTGTTGCAAATTTTAACTTAGGTTTTGGACTTGTTTTTGGTTTATCTGGTTTTATCTGAATTTCCTTTGTTATTTTTTGTGTATCTTTAGGTGTGACCTTGTACACAGGAGATTCCATTGAGACCTCTGTTTTTATTTTGGAAATTTGTGTCTCAAACTTAGTTTGCCAATCTAATTTAGTGTCCTCACTTGGTTTCCAGGGTTTCGGTTTGGAAACAAGATAGTCCAGGTGAGTTTTCTTAGTATCGGGCTGTTCTGACAAAGGTTTTGTCACAGGGACTTGAACCTCAGTTCTCACAGTGGGGCTAAGTTTAGGCTCAAAAGCAACAGGTTGAAATTTGGTTGCCTTAGTCTCCAAAGCCTTCCATTTTGGGCGTATAGGCTTAGGCCTAACAGGAGGCCCAGGCTTTTTAATCTCTGTATCAGATTTGCTGGAAAGTTGAAGAAAGATAGATCAAGAAAAAGCTAAGAGCAAAGCCTTGAAAAACCTAAAGAGTTATTTTAATTAAGTCAAAAAACTTTTTGTTTAAGTCATACATGCTATAATTAATTTGTTCAGTTTTTCTAACTTGTTTTCCTAACTACTTTCCACACAACATAATGATATTTATAAATGCATGTATAATTATCATTTCATATCATAAACAATCAATTTGAACATTCAATGAATTTTGTTATTTATTATCAGAGCTACAATTAGTACTTTACTCATACAAATTTTTTATAATCATACATTTTCATTATGTTAATTTTTCATTTTTAAGTTTTAAGATTAGGTCAAACAATTTAGTTGTAATTTGTTTTATGAATATATTATACCTATGCCACTCTCCATGCACACTGTACTTAAAGCTTTTTGTCATTCTTTTAAACAATCACTGCTTTAACATGGAACAAAGTTTAGATTTTTTAATTTTTAACATATAATAAGACATTGTACAGGGTGTTCCAAAATGTATAATGATCATTTTTTCAAACACTTTTGTTTATTACATACATGGTTAATCAATTTTAGAACTTTTTTTTAAGAAACAAATATACTAAATACAGTTCACAATACCAATCTTTTGAAATTTCACTGGAATGGGTTCACATAATTAATAAAAAAATATCAAAAAAAATGATTTTCTTTCTCCTTTATCAACAGTCTTCAAATTATTAAATGATAACAAATTTACTTTGAATAATGATTTAGACTCAGATTATGGCTTAAATATCTTTGTAGAGACATTCACCAACTTGCAATTATTTGTTTTGTTTTGTTTTTTTACATCCACTGAAACAAATTTTTGGCCATATCTTAGCAGCAATATGGATAATTAATCAGTAATTATAGATTTCTCTGCAAATGACCTACTTACTAAACCCACATGATTTCTGAATCAACTGCAAGAGACAAATCGCCATTAGACTCAACTGCTTGAGATTGTCACGGAAAAATAATAACAATAAACAAATGTATTGATCATTATATTTAACACACCCTGTATCTTACAAAAAGGGGCGGGGGTTTTCACACATGAGGCTGTACCTTGTTACTTTCTCTTTAGGTGGAGAAGGAGTTTTCCGTATTCTACGTCTCTCTTTTGGTGACGGAGGTTTCTGCGGTCTGAATACCATAATATGGAAATAGGTATCATTTAATTATTCTAATTTCTAGAAATTTTTATCAAGGTTCATTACTGGCATGCAATAGGTCTTTCAAGCAATGCATAAATATCTTATGCTCAGTTATGTTATACTGTCTGAATGTTCTACTATTTATATATAGCTTTATGTTACAATTCTAAATAGATTACATTTAAATTTTCCAGACTTTACATCATGCATTACCAATCTCTTTTAATTATTCTACTAATTCTGTCTAAATCAGTATAATTATTCCATTCTTGCATATGTGGCATATTGGTAATATTTATAGAAAAATGTATTTATAGAATTCTATTTATAGAAATATTGGGGGTCACACTGGGGTCATGCAGTAATCATAAATACTGCACCTGAACAGTTTGTACTTTGTCTCCAAGGACTGAGGAATTTGAGGCTCAACTTTGGGGAACAAGTCTTCAGCTCTAAAAAAAGCAATTTATATCAAAAATAGTTTTATTTTTATGTTGAATTTATTTCAATGTTCCTTAATCTATAGTGATTAGTCTACACTTAAAAAAATGTTGAGAAGTGCAACATTTAGAATGATTATGCTTTTCAAAGTGATTAATGTAAAAATTTGATTTATGAAATTTCTATGCAAAAATTTGATTATGAAATTTCTGAACATCAGTTAAAATTTTTCATGAAACAAAAACACAAATTGAATCAACCACTGTCAGTTATTTATAATGAAAATGACTGTCTTTATTTGATATTTATTTAACAAAACATGGGAATAATTTTAGGGGTTTTCATGCATGACGAACCTTGAAGATTCTTCCTCAGTGGAGTAATTGACAAGACGGAGAGAACCCATCTCCATGTCAGAGACATAGTGTATCTCCTGTACATAGCCTTTCTCCTGGATATCATAGTGACTATAGAAGAAACAATATGATTAGTCAATTTCAAAATTACCTTCACAATGATTGGTGAATTTTAAAATTACCTTCACAATGATTGGTCAATTTTAAAATTACCTAATTTCGCAATACGATTGGTCACTTTCAAATATTAACTAATTTTGCAAATATGATTGGTCAATTTCAAAATTACCTAATTTCATAATATGATTGGTCAATTCAAATGTAAAAATGTGAAATTTTATTGGTTGAAATCAAAATTTTGAATGAAGCATTTCACTTTTTAAATAAAATAAACAAAGGATAAAGATTAAATGAAAAACAATTATTTGAAATCTGAAACTTATAGATATGTTGATTTTAAAGAGAATGTAAGTACAAATATTGCATAAAACTGAAGATGATACTTTAATATGATAGTGTATTTCATAATTTATAATTAACTATTTTCAACACTTCATCTGTATGAGATTTGAAACACAAGTCGTGATCTTATCACACAGAAATCCTCATTATGTTTAAATCACAAGACATCCAACACAAACATGCACTGTCCCAACCTGATTATGATCAATGTTACCATAGTAACCCATCGAAGACACAAATTATTCGATCATCACACATGTAAATCATCCATGGATTCAATTCTTTGGGTTATAATACAGTTAAACCAGAATTATATATTTGTTCAAAACAGGGACAAGGTTAGACAATGACTGGATACAGGTTTCATCACACTGCCATTCCTTTTTGGAAATTAAACTACCATTCCTTTTTGGAAATCTTTTGTATCACACTTGGGGGAACAGATTTAATTAATCATTTTATTCTCAAAATTATCTGTTAGGGAAAAGTTTACCATGCTTTGGAATAACAACAATACACTAACAACAAAAGCACTTCAGAATTACACTTGTTGATAAAGAATCTTATGTTGTTCATGAATCTGGTGTTGGCAATTAATCTAGTGTTGGTAATAAATCATGAATTTGGTGTTGATAATGTATCTGGTGTTGGAAAGGAATCATGAATCTGGTGATAGCAATGAATCTGGTGTTGGTAATGAATCTGGTGTTGGTAATGATTTGTGAATCTGGTGTTGATAATGAATCTGGTGTTGGTAATGAATCATGAATCTGGTGAAAGTAATGAATCTGGTGTTGGTAATGAATCTGGTGTTGGTAATGAATTATGAACCTGGTGTTGGTAATGAATCATGAATCTGGTGATAGTAATGAATCTGGTGTTGGTAATGAATCATTAATCTGGTGTTGGTAATGAATCATGAATATGGTGTTGGTAATGAATCATGAATCTGGTGATGGTAATCAATCATTAACCTGGTGTTGGTAATGAATCATGAATATGGTGTTGGTAATGAATCATGAATCTGGTGATGGTAATCAATCATTAACCTGGTGTTGGTAATGAATCATGAATATGGTGTTGGTAATGAATAATGAATCTGGTGTTGGTAATGAATCATGAATCTGGTGATAGTAATGAATCTGGTGTTGGTAATGAATCATGAATATGGTGATGGTAATGAATCATGAATATGGTGTTGGTAATGAATCATAAATCTGGTGATGGTAATGAATCATGAATCTGGTGTTGGTAATGAATCTGGTGTTGGTAATGAATCTGGTGTTGGTAATGAATTATGACCCTGGTGTTGGTAATGTATGGGTGTTGGTAATGAATCATAAATCTGGTGATAGTAATGAATCTGGTGTTGGTAATGATTTGTGAATCTGGTGTTGGTAATGAATAATGAATCTGGTGTTGGTAATGAATCATGAGTATGGTGTTGGTAATGAATAATGAATTTCGTGTTGGTATGGCATCTCATGTTGGTAATGAATCTTATGTTCACATAAACTTGTTAATTAACATGGAGGAACAATCTACAAAATGCTTTATGTGAGTATGAACTCTGGGGGGTTTCAAACTGCAGGTCACATGATCACCTTGATGACTCCTCCTCTGTGGAATGACCTACAAGTCTAAGAGATCCCATCTCTGTGTCAGAGACATAATGAATCTCCTGTACATAGCCTCGTTCCTGGATATCATAGTGACTATAGAAGAAATAAAATGATTGGTCAGTTTATATGTAAGAAGACTGGTGGGAATAAAAAGTGTATCAAAGACTAGCTATTGTATGAAAAAGTACAGAACACTAGTAGAAGTCAAAGAAATTGAATAGAATTTATATATCAACTGAGATAAACAGATTGATAAATGTGGTTTAAAAATTACTTTATTATATGCCTAGAACTTGTTTATATTTCATTTCAAAAAAAGGTTTTAATAATATGTATAGTTATATGTTATAACAGTCAATCTTTATATCAATCATTTATTATTATTTCAACACTCTGAACATGCCTTAATTCAGTTTGGTAATTGGCCATTCTTTGAAACAACATGCATAATCCTTTCAAACCATAAAACTCCCAAATTGTTTCTATAGAAACACTTCATGGATAAATGAACAGTAGCAATTACAGACTTGTCAGGAATAAAAAAGGGAAACGGTATTGGTACAAACATCTCTTTCTGAGTCAAGTCCAAATTAAAAAACAATGAGAATTACATTTGCCAGGTTAGCACACAATTTTCCTTTTAAAAAAAAACACACACACAGACACACACACACACAGACATAAAAGCAACAGAAATACATGGACTTGTTGCCAATATTACATAACATACAAAAATAACTTTTATTGGGATTCGGATCATTCCACTCTATATCTTTTTATCAATATTACAAGAAGTAATGGATTGTAACACTTTCATCTACAAGATCTGAATAAACACTCATGCAATGGAAAGGTGCAGAATTTTGTTACAAAAGCGGACAGATTTATCCTAAATATATAAAGCAAAATTAAACTAGCACTCTGCAAACAAAATTTGAGTTAAAAAACAAACAGAATTCTAACTAAATGATGTTACAAAAAATTTCTAGCGGTTAACCAACAACAACAAATCTAACGCAAAAAATTACAACACCAGGCATTATGGATCATCACCTTTCTGGTGAGTCGGCCTTTCTTTTCGGTTTTGGCTTTACCCCTGGCGGAACTTTAAGCTTCAGTTTCGCTTCTGTTCTTCTTGTTGTCTCCGGTTCACTAACCGAAACTGGTACCTCCGGTTGAAATTTAACAACCGGTTGCACAAATGGTGCCTTCTTTGGTTTTGGAGCTTTTGCTGGTGGGACTTTGGTCGGAACATGCTTTTTTCTGTAATTTTTGTTGCATAACAACAATACTAAATAAGCTATATTCTAAAACAAATATGACTATAATATGCATTTGGCCTTTGTATACATTGATATGATATAGTAGCATACAATACTTTTTTTTCCATGCAACTGTGTTGTCTGATTTTTTTTCTTTTTGTATTAAATATTTGTTAAAACAATGACTTTTTTGCATTAACAAAACATACAATGTGAATTTCTAGCATTAAAATTGTGACAGCAGATATGTATATATCAAGTGTTAATCTCAGTAACTCTATCTCAACTTGATCATAACTCAAAGAACAAGTAACGACAGAGTAACGTCGATCTCCCAATTATTCTTTCTATTTAGCTCTAAACAAAACAATTACCATTCCGACATACACAGACAAATACTTTCACAATTCTTGTAGACATATATACATGTATATACATTTCTTCAACATACATTTATAATAATACACTTACAGATTTAGTACAGTGAACTAGCATGTATATAAAACATAGATATATAGAAACAATGGGTTAGTTCGTAGACTGGGGTTTTTAAGGTGTCTAGAGTATACATGTACATGTAGTACACAACGTATATTATGCGATAATCTATATACTGTGCCGCATATTTAAGAATCTGCTTGCAATGTGCCTATATGCGAATCTTAACATAAAAATTTCTGTAATTAAAAATAATACACCTATCTTATCAAATGAGGTGTAAAATTTTGTACTTTACTAATAATTAAGTATGTACCATTCTGAAGCATAGCCGAACCAAAAAAAAATCTTAGAATTAATAATATAGGAAGTGTTCAAACATTAAATATTCTGTATCAAGACAAGCAGATTCAACTTTAATTGCAGGATGAATGGGTGGGGTATGAATTAATTGTTAACTAACCTGTCGTCTTCTTCAGTTATAGGCACTTTTGGTGGCTCAGCTCTGGTTGGTTCTTCACGTCTGGAGAATTAAAGAAAAAAAGTTTTGATACAAATGCAAAAAATTAAAAGGTTATAAAACAATAATTTTAGCCAATGTCAAACAATTAAAACTAAAATTTGCTAATATAAGTCTTAACTGTTTCTATATGACACATTTATGTGAAAAGACCACTATCATAATCATACACAGCTTTTTTCTGTCATATCACAGAGCATTGCATAATATATAGTCTAATAACTACTAAGGTCAAATATTCAAATGCATCTTTGTTATTCTTCCATTTGATCTTCTTCACATACTATTTTAAGACCACCTTGTTATTACAAAAATTGCTGAATATTAAGCCCAGAAAAATAAGTACTTATTCAAAAGATAAAATCTAATGTTCATTCTAATTTCAGTTCATTAACATTTGATAAACTCCATGCATGTGTATCTTGTGCACATTAACATTTGAAATACGGCATGAACATGTATCTTGTTAAGGTTGACATTTATGACACTCCATGCTAGTTAACCTTGTATGTGGTGACACTTAAAACACTCCATGCTAGGTATCTTGTAACACTCCATGCTAGTTATCTTGTATTTGGTAACATTTAAAACACTCCATGCTAGGTATCTTGTATTTGGTAACATTTAAAACACTCCATGCTTGTGTATCTTGTACTTGGTGACATTTGAAACACTCCATGCTTGTACTTGATGACATTTGAAACACTCCATGCATGTGTTATCTTGTATACATTGACATTTGGAAAACTCCATGTTTGTTGTATACATTGACATTTGAAACACTCCATGCTTGTGTTATCTTGTATACATTGACATTTGAAACAATCCATGCTTGTGTTATCTTGTATACATTGACATTTGAAACACTCCATGCTTGTGTTATCTTGTATACATTGACATTTGAAACACTCCATGCTTGTGTTATCTTGTATACATTGACATTTGAAACACTCCATGCTTGTGTTATCTTGTATACATTGACATTTGGAACACTCCATGCTTGTGTTATCTTGTATACATTGACATTTTAGAAACTCAGTCAAGATAACCATGTACATGAAATTTGCATTCCATCACAAACCTTCTATAATCAAGTTCCTCCTCCGATATAACACGCACGTAACCACATTCTGTGTCGGATACGTAACTGATCTGTTGCACCGGTCCCTCTGGCTGTAACTCGTAGCTGTTGTATCATAAATTTTATTGTAATATTTAACCAATTTACAAACAGAAAAAAAAACATAGACCGACTAAATTCTCTAGTTTTGTCTAACAGTATGTGTCTACATTTAAAAAGCTATATTTTAACAATAAACATATAAACAAGTTAACCTCTAGAAGTTGTTCTTATAACAATGTGTATGTCAAACATAGGATTTTTAGTAAAAAGTATTAACCAATATTTTCTTCTAAAATTCTTTTAAGCTGTAATGCATGGAACAAATTCAGATCTATTTCATCATGTTCTTGCCACAACATTTTCATAATTGCATGCCATTACAAAATTCCTTTTCACCTTGGTGATGGACTTTTCTTCTTCTTGGTTACCCTGCTTGGTTGTTCCTGGGGAGTAGGCTCTGGCCTCGGCACAGGTTTCTGTACCGGAGGTACCTTTTTCTTTGGTATAAATTCTGGTACAGGTTTGGGCTGTACTTGAGCTGGAACTTTTGGTGGACCGACAGGTTTGAATTCCATCTTGGACACTTTCTTTGGTGGAACAGAATCAGTTGTGTCAAAGCGGGCGCGAGCCTCAGCAACTGTTGGTACCTTGGTTTCTTCTTCAAGTTCTGTTTCCATGGGAACAGCCATAGGCTCTGGTCTCTCAAGTCTCTGGTAGGGCATTCTGTTAATATTTGGTATTTTAAATTTTACTAACTATATTCAAAATAACTTTGCTTTATATATATTTTAACTAATCAATTGGCTAGATAATGTTACATAGTATTGATTTGGAAAAAACAGTACATTTATGTAAATAATACACTAGTTTATATAAGATCTTTAGTGATGTAAAATAAAACAATGCAACTTGAAATGGTAGAAACTTTAAAAAAAAAAAGTCATAATAATTGTTGCTAGCAATCAAAAGTACATAACAGTTAGTCTTAAAGACAAATTAAGTTTGTATAACTGATGGTCTTTTCACACCATTTGTCAGTAACAAAAGATGGGAAATCACAAAATGAAAAACAAAACAGCACAACAACATCCAAAAAAGAAATGAATGGCAATAACACCTTTTACGTCGTAACTCTGGCGATGCTTCAACAGAGGCACACACGGGGGTTGAAGGTGGGGGTTTAACCCCCTTTGGTAAGGTGGAATAAGGCGTGGTCTGATCGGGGGAGTCAGAGGAAAGATAGCTTGGCGTAGAGCTAAAAGAAACAGTTAATTATGAATACACAACAATCACACAATAAATAAACTGTTAAAAGGTAAAGCAAAACAAATTAAAAATATAATCACAACATTGAAACTTCATTATCATAAATTAAATAAATACTGGAGAAGGGAAAAGCATTAAAAAATCTTAGACAAAAAACAAGAGATGTCCAAGGAGCAGTCCACTCCACTTTTTACCAAAATACTAAAACATTTACTTATTATAATATTATCTTTAAAACATAATTTTGAGTATTTCTTAATAAATGTGTTTTCTTCATGCCATTATCGATTTAAGAAGCTAAAGAATTATTGTCTAAATTCTCTTTTCAAGCACAACATTCATTATCTTAATATATGTCCTAGATTCTCTATAGCCATTCAAAAAAAATGTTAGAATTAGCTCATCTACTCTTGGTAGGAAAAAAAATGTTTTCCTTAATGTGTGTAATATTCTTATCCATGCTTTGAATTTAGAACTATTTATTCTGAGTGTAGGAATCTTTAATATCATTACAGCATAGAGTTAGGTTAGATTGTGAACATGTAGGTATACACAGACCTTGCATACCTCTATAATGGTGCAATGGACATATCATTAACACTGCTTAAGTTATTAATCTATGGTAACCCTATTGTTTTAAAAAGCTTACATTCATTCAAAAGCCCTTACTGCATATCCAGTGATATTTTCTAATATTGTTCATTTACATGTTTAACACATTAACAACTGAAAAAATAAAGCTACATGCAAAATATCCAAACTTTTTTTCTTGACAATGTATAAAGTGAATAAAGTAATAAAACAATGGTATCACTTTGTGCTAATAAAATCACTATGACAACAATTTTACAATAACTACATGTATGACATGCATAGCAGCCTGAAATAAAACTTTTTTGAATAGTACTTCAACAAATAGAAGTTACAATAATTAATCAAATAATTAAACAGAAAGATAGAAAAAGCGCTTCCTTGTTTAAAGCATTAAACAAGGTCACTGAGTTGATTTTACAAGCAATGCAGGTACAAAATTTAAACAATCTAGAACACATTGGAGACACATGTACCACTCCCCTGTGTTATATATCATGCTCATTCAAAACTCTTTTACAACCTGCTAAGGTCTTCCTCCCTGACTAGACGTAAGACGGCACTATCGCCATCTTTAACATAGGAAATTTCCTGTACATAGCCTTCAGGCTGAATCTCATATTGTCTGCAAAGAAAATGGGGCCAAAACCGTCACCAAAATTCTAATACTTAAGTCTTAATGTCTAAACCAATTACACTTGTAAATTGTATTTTATTGGTTTATACTACTTAAATAATCTAGTTTGAACCCACAAGGCCAGAAATCCTTAGATTACTAGTGTCCAATGCATTCACCACTTGGCTACGCTGCCATTAAAAGTATGGAAAAACTAAGTAATGTATATAATATTTCTATATTTGTGAGACAATGGTTTAACAAAACACAATTTTATCATTGAAGTAAACAAACTACTATGAACCCTCAATATCAATTTCAAGTCAGAATGATGAATAGATAGATAAACTGGGTTTTAAAGCCAATCAACTGTCAGGAAAAAACTTATCATTTTAATTATACTTACGGTGATGTTTGTCTTGGTTGAACTACAAACCTCTGGACAGGTTCTTCCTTCTTTGCAACTTCAGCTATAAAGGAAATGAAACAAATATCAAAAGTTATACTACTAAGAAGATTAGAACCCTTTCTGTTTTTTATCAATTAATGCTTTCTCTATTTTTATGTTTAAAGTAACAATACAATTTTGTGAACAAAGAATTTTTCAATTGTACCACTTAAATCCATTATTACAACAGAAACCGTCAGAAATATCAAAACCGTTAAAAATTTTTAATAACTGGCAGAGAATTGAAATACAGGAAAATCAACATAAAATCCCAAACTAAAAATACTCATTGCCACAAATTTAGTATTTTTCCAGTTGTCTTCTTAATTGTGCACATTTTGTAAAAAAGTACTAAATTATTTGCCTACTTTCTTCTTCAGTTGGTGGCTTGTTTCACTCTTAAGAGCCGTCAACTATTATAAACCTGTTATCAAGTCCATTTTGAATACTTAGTTGTGGGAATTAACTGTAACTTACGTGTAACGACTAGTTTAGCTTTTGTCATGGCAGAACCAGCCACATTTACAGCTGTGCACTGGAACCAAGCTGCATCTGTTTTCTTGGCATCTTCTATATAGAGAACCGCTCGTCCATTATCTATCTCAATTCTGTAGAAAAAACACTCGCAATTTAATGAATTGTTTTCAGTAGAAAAACGAGGGAACTTTTTTTTATATGGTAAAAGTATCCTCAAGACATGATAAATAATTTTGGTATAATTATCAGTCTTGTAATTGTTATCTTTTCAAAAAGTTTATATCAAAGCACTAGCTATAAGAAAGAATATTTTTACAGGTGTATAATAGAGGATATTGAATGAGTGAAGATTTAATACTCAATTTATTGAATTATTTGAATAAAATTATATTATGCAAACCTCTTGTGAGCATGATATTGATTTATTCAAAGTGTTTAATAAAATAAGTTTTGAATTTACAAAAATTTAATAATCTATTTATCACATATCCAAAATGAGAACTTTTAACAGATGAAAAGAGTCACTTTGCATTGACGCTATATTTGTATATAACACAAATGACTTGTGTAATATCTTTTTTATTAAATGGCTTTATTACACTCCTGTTCCAACGTTAATGTGACAGGTACTTGTAACCTACAGAATATTTTTATTCTGAAATCAAAATATAAGCATTATTTAAAAAAAAATCTGAAATAATTTATTTATAAGACATACTTGTAATCTTTGCTTGGGGTCAACATTTTGTTATTTTTCTGCCAACTCATCATTGGTGTAGGTGTGCCGACAGCACGTGCAGTCAAGGTCACGCTCTGACCTTCCTTAATGGTATAATTCTGCATCCTCTCTACAAACTTAGGAGGCTGCATTTGTTCCCGTTCTGAAAAACAATAAAGTTTATAGAGTAAGAATAAAGTACAGAAAAAGCAACATTTCATAGAATGCAGCAGCTATGAAATTTAAAGAGATTCTATCAAAAACAACTTTTCATCAATTTTTATAACCCTGATGAAGACTTGTGAGAGTCGAAACGTCGGTTATTATCATTAAATAAACCTTAAAACTTATCCTGTGCTGATTGTTTTTCTGCTTGTATTATTTTCCTTAGAACTTTTCATAATTTTTTAAAAATATTTTAATATATTCAATGTCTGGTATATCATATCTAATGGGTTGAAACTAGATTACCACAATTATAACCATTATATACCGGTATATAGTAATACCACAAAAATGTATGTATTTGGAGAAATACATATAATTTTTTTAAATACTTCAACTCTTAAGCTATATAGGTCTTTATTTTAACTCATCATCTATTTACAGACTGCTGTAAGTAGTAAAATAAAATATTACCTAGAACTCTAAGGTTTACATTGAATGTATTTTCACCAGCTTTGTTTGTTGCGAGACATGTATAAACACCAGCATCTCGTGGTGATGCCTTAGTTATAATTAGTGAGTGTACACTGTCCTCATTTACCACCATCTGTAATATTAATATAGAATATTTAATCATTTTTTTTAGACGATAGACATTATCATGATGCAAAAAATAACTTAAATATCAATATCACTTAAAGGCCCATTATGCCTTTAAAATGCTATATTTTTTATTCGTTGAAAAGCATCTCATATGGTCTTGATCCATTATTAAAACATGATTAATACATGTTTGACATTTCTAAAAAATTTAAAAAATGGATTTCTGAGGCATGGGCCTTTTAATAAATTTACTATTGCTAAATCAAATAAGAATAATCATTGTGCTTTTATAACAAACAATACTGCAAATTTTATAAATGAACAAAAAAAACTAATGTGTAAATAATAAAATACCTTAAAAAACATCATAAGTTTGATCATTATTATAAAGTCTTCAAAAATAAGAAAAACAGCATACCTTGTGATGGTCATCTGGGAAAACCTTGCGATCATTACAGAACCAGGTTAGTTCTGGTGCTGGTCGTCCAGTGACAAGAGTATCAAACCGGACTGTGTGGCCCTCCCTCACCTCAGTATCATTGGGTTTCATCTTGAACTGAGGTTTGAGCTGAGACTCAAACACACCACCTACGTCTTGGTCACTAGGTGTGCGGGTTGAATCCCTGTGAACAGTGAAAGTAAAAGTGAATATGTTTTCATCATTTAAAATCTTGATTTTTATTATACTTCTAACCATTCTAACCACATTTCATACTAAAATACTGAAGATAACATACTGCAAAATCATTATTATTTTTGGGGTACTGATTTATGTGTTTTTCGTGGATAGGTCAACCATCAAAATTTCATAAGATTATTTTGCATGACATCATGATCTTACATTAATTTTTATCTTTGAAAAAATAAACAAAGTCAACAAACTTAAGTACCCTCGAAAATGTTCTTTGTGACAAAACCACGAAATTTCATTTCTACAATATTTAGTGAATTCACAGTAGTTTCCTCACATAAAAGAGTAAAATCCTGGTAGAAATTAAAACCTACTACAATAATGGGCAAGAGGTTTTAAGTAAGTGACCTAAATCAATTTTTCTATATTACATTGAAATAAAAATATTGTACAGACTTACTTTCTGAACATCCTGTCAAGGGTTTCTGGCTGAACATATGAGGTAGCATCTATATTTCCGACACTTTCGACAATTAACTGACTAGAACACGTGTCTTTGCCGTGAGCATTGACAGCGAGTACTGTGTAGTGCCCAGCATCCTCTGGGAGAGCCACACGTATACGCAGTGTGCAGAATCCATCTCTATCGTACTTTATTTCGTAACGATTGGAGCGCTTAACGCGGTGACCATCTTTATACCAGGCAACCTACATAGCAGAATAAAAACACAATGTTGTAAGGACTCCATTTGATTATTATGGTTGTGAAAAATGACCCGATATTGAAAAGCGCGATTACACTTTTTACTCAAATCGAGGCAACAAAAGTACAAAAATATGATTTTCAATTTGTTTCCGAGTATATTTCTTACTACTAACTATCCTTTGCATATCTCTGAGAACAAAATAGTAAACTATAATTTAAATTTCCAATTATTCAAGTATTATTGATAAATTGTTTTCAACCCAATATCAACAAAAGTGAATAAAGAAATCAACCGTTTCAAAATATTTACTTTAATTAAATTGCTTTATAAATTTTAAGGAAATTATACTTTTCTTCATGTACATCTTACACTTATTTGAATAATATCTTTAAACAATGAAGCATTTGTTAACCTCATAACAATATTGAAACCTTATGATAAGTACAAATATGGATACCTTTGGCCTAGGCTTGCCAATAATTCTACAGACGAAAGTTGCATCAGCGCCCTCTATTAGGTGAAAGTCTTTCATGGTTTGTACAATCTGTGGAGCAGATTCCGGTGCATTGGCATCTGGCACCTCAGAATCATACTCTGAGGTTTCCGTCTCACTAGCAAACCGGACTTTACCTTCCCGGTACTGTATCTCTTCACGTAAACGATCCTCGAAATGAGATACCTGGAACCTCTATAATAATACAAAAGAAAGATATTTAGTAAGCATATTAAACAAGAGAACCTGAAAAGTAAGGCAAGCCCTAACTGACTTAACAGTCCTTCTCTAGGCTACCTACCTTTCATTATTTTCACAGTTTCAGAATGTTCTACATCTCACTAGATGCTATACAGTGATGTACTTTTTGACTTTAATAACACTCTGTGGAAACAGCAGGAAAATAATCACTACTTTTTGCCTCCAACTTTAACCTTCAAGGGCATGAAGGGGACATGTCTGGGGGAAATCTTTGTGCATACAAACAGTAGACTTATTGTTAGCCATTAAGCAATGAAGGCATACTAATTTAGGCCTTCAAGTAGAAACGGCATCATAATTTTAGACCTTCAAGTAGAAAAGGCAAAATAATTTTAGGCCTTCAAGTAGAAAAGGCATCATAATTTTAGGCCTTCAAGCAGAAAAGGCATCATAATTTAAGGCTGTCGAGTACAAAAAGCATCATAATTTTATCTTGAATCCAGATAATTTATTACTTAAAGCATTAAAGATATCTTACTGGTGAGACTTCGTCCTCCATGACTTGTTGGTACTCGGGCTCTTCCTGTTGGGACATTCTATAATCCATGTTACTCTCAAGGATTCTGTTAGAACGTGGGATAAAGAATTCCTTCTCCGTGCGCCTCGGCTGTTGTGCTCTTTGTCGGACTTCCTCTTCAAATGGTAGAACTGGTGGCATGGTAGCCGGCAGTGGTGGCGGGGGAGCCTCTTTCTCTGTGGGTGGCAAGTTCAAGACTTTGATATGGCATATAGCTTTATTATACAAAAAGCATCAATTTTATAAAAATAAAATTAATAAATGAAAATTACCTACACTGACTTAAGCATTGTTCTTGATTAAACTGCATACCTATTCATTTTTTTAATAAAAACTTATAAAAAATTCTAAGCTTCTTATTTAGATCGTAACTTACTTTCGACAGGAAGAAGAGTTGCCATGGTTACAGTTTCACCCATAGGGTTGACGGCTATACATGCGTATTCTCCAGCATCTTCTGGTCTGCATCGGGAAATAATCAGTGTACACCTTCCAGTATGCTCATCAACAGATATCTTGTGTCTGGTAGGGAAAAAAACAACACAATTACAAAACTTTACGATACTGCAAACATGTAATATTGTTGGTCAATTTCATAAATTAACAAATTTTTAATAAAAAATTTATGCCTAAAGAGAATGTCTCTGATGATATGGAAAGTTTATTAAATGAATCAACGTTTCTGTTCTGTTTTTATTTCACAAAACTTTTATTTCTGCTTTATCGTCATGTTCCACATAGCGTATTGTTAAACAGACATTTGTTATTTAATGAATGTCAATTTTTTTCTGAAGAAGACAAACTGTCAAAAGCTATAGAAAAGCGTTTCTTTTTATTGAACTGATTATATATACATTAACAAAGTATCTTTAATACTACATTTTTTTAAAGAAATTATTTGCTCCGGAACTTACCTTGCATCTGGCCATAATTTTTGTCCGTCCTTTGTCCAGTAGACATCTGGGAATGGCTGACCAGCCACATGACTCTCTAAGATGATGTTTGTGTCCTCGACAAGACGAGTAGTCTGTAATCTCTCAATAAACATTGGTTTTACTGCCTCGATAGGTGACGGGATCCTCTCTTCACGAGGTCCAGCATATTCTGGTACAAATTCTTCGCTTACCGGAGGTTTGGCTAATGTGGCAGGTGGCTTAGCAGCTGAAAAATAAAAAAATTGGTTTCATTTCCTTAATAGTAATGTTGGTATCTATCTGCATTAAGCTCCCCTCAATGCTGTTGTTACAAGATACCTTGTAAAAGGGTGTCATTTTTTATCACTTTGTAATGCACCCTTTCCTTTCCATTCAATTCCAAACCATAAACTCCTTAATTCAGTTTTAAGTTGAACATATTATAATCAAGTTTAAAACGTTAAATTGTGGTATTAAATGGGTCAGAATTATAGTTGGTTTGGAATGAAACAGTTTCTATTATATTTTCCACAAGTTAAAAGTTTAATGAGCTAAAACATCAAAGAAAAACATTTAGAAAACTTACGCAACACTGCCAGATTTGCTTCAGAAGTGGCTGAGCCATCAGCATTTGTAATAACGCACTTAAACCTGCCTTGATCTTCAGGGAAAACTTCAGCAATTGATAACGATGTTCCCTCATCACTGTATGAAATCTCAAAATCGGTTGAGCTCTGAATTTCAGCATCGTCCCTGTACCATTTGACTATTGGTTCTGGTTGACCCTTGAAGGCTACTTCAAGTTTAACCTTTTCACCTTCTTTAACCTTAGTGTCTCTCAGTGGTTTTGTAAATCTTGGTTTTTCTTTCAAATAAAGAGTCTGTTTAGTTGGTGGCGCCACCTGGTCTTCCACAGGAACACCAAATTTAGGTATGCGCATTTCAGCAGATGATTTCACTCTCTTTTCCTGTTGCATATCCGGCTCATCAACAGGAATTCCATAAAGTGGAATTTTCTTCGTAAATTCCGGTAAAGGTCTTTGATCCACAATTTCCATTTGGACCTTATCTGTGAATTTTTCTGGTTTTGGTTGTTCAGCAGGCTTTTGTATTTTGGAGACTTTGAAAAGTGGTGCTTCATCGGTAGGTCTCTTAGGTGCCGAGCGCACGCCTGGTGCCCGGCTTGGCTCGAACATTTCACGGGCTTCACTAACAGGTTTCTGCTCCTCCTCTTCAATTTTAGGAACAGCTATGGAAAATAAAATTATTCATATCACAACTTTGAACATAACAGATATGTTAAAATTAATCAAATCTTATATTGCTACTTGTAATATATAAAAGTTATCAAGATAAAATATGTTTAAACATAACTATCACAAAATTCAGTTTCAACATTTTCACAAAGCAGACCATAACAAAGTTTTAGCATTACATAACTTTCCTTTAAAACACAATCCTTGAGAACACAATCAAATCAACAAAATTTTACAATAATTTTTTAAAAAGCAAATGATAAAGAATAAAATACAATACCTTGAACCACAAGGTTAGCAGAGACATGTGCCTGGCCACCTGGATTTTGAGCCTTTACAGTAAATTGACCGGCATCTTCATAGAACACCTCTGGTATGCAGAGGGAATGAATATCACCCTCCTGAAAGGTCAAAAATGAGGTCATTTAAAATATTCAGAAATATATACTTCCGAGTAAAACTACCTATTCAACATGACTTTGCTGAGTACCTTTCTAATCTGAATAAATGTCTTTATCCATGGCATTTATTAAATATGAATTAATTTGTAATGGCAGAGGCAAGTGATTTCAACATTCAGCAGACAAGTAGCTAACTAACTTCTTACCTGGATAATTTCAAAATCAGGAGAGCTGACCAACTGCTGGCCTTCTCTGAGCCATGTGACCTCTGGGGCAGGATGACCTGCCACTCTGACAGTAAATCTGACAGGTTCCCCCTCCTTGATTGATATGTCATACAGTCTCTCTGTGAAAGATGGCGGGGTAACTGACGCTAAAAAAATGATAGAAAATGATATAACAAAAATTTTCACCAATTTTGAAAACCTAAAAAAAACCCAACCAACTAACAGCCTGTAAAAGAATGTTGAGATACACAGGTTAAAAAAAATATACACATCAAAATAGGAGAAATTAAATAATCTAAGAATAACATCTGCCACTATTTAACAAATTCTTGCATTTTGTCTGCTGTAAGATTGTTTTGCATCACATAATTTACATTTTACCTTTTGTAAAAATAAACAGTCCACCAACAAAAGAACCCACGAATAATGTTCTTTGTGACCAAACATGAAATTTCATGCCCATGAAATAAAGTGAATTCACAGAATATAATAACTGATTAGATTATGATATGGAAAGAACCTTCAGGCATCAAATGTGTTATGCAATATCAGTGCACTATCCAGCATGAAAGGGTTAATCATGAAAAGCCGTATAAAATATTATAAAAAGATATCAAGATACCTCTAACAATAAGTTCAGCAGTGCTTGAAGCTTGGCCTCCAATGTTTTGAGCCTTGCATGTATATTTCCCAGTGTCCTCTGGGAATGCCTCAGGTATCATCAAACTAACTCTGCCATCTCTGTAGGAAATCTCAAAGTCCGGACCATCGCTCAAATTCTTGCCTTCTTTAAACCATTTGATTTGAGGTTCAGGCTTTCCTATAGTATAAAAATTTTACCCTCAGACCCTTCTTTTTATCATTTACATTAATTATTTTACATCATTCCATTTATTATTCATAACAAGCAAAAACTAAATATTGTATGTTCCTAAAAGGTCAAAGAATTGGATGAATACCACTCAGCATATAGATTAGTTTCTAGTAAACATAAAATATCTTAAATAAATTCACGAATTTATCAAAACTCAAAAAAATAGTATTTTTTACATTGTAATCACGACTGTTCCAAAGCCAGGCTATGTCCCTAAATAATATCTAAGCATGGCTAAAAATAAGCCACAACACTGTATACATTTCCCTTACCTGTAACAACACCTTCGAAAGTGACTCTTGTCCCTTCCATTGTGGTCACATTTTTCAATGCTTGCAAGAATTTAGGTGGTATCGGAACAGATATAGTCAAGTCAACCGGTTGGTATTTTGGTTGCATATCAGTAGTTATCGTTGTGGCAAAATGTTCCTGTGCCTTTATTTCTGGCATTTCATATTTTGGTTGTACATCAGTCACAAGAGTGGTGGAGAAGTCTTCCTTAGACGGTATGTAAGTCTGACCACCGCTCCTAATTTCTGTGATTGACCGGCGAGATATACGTGTCTCAGTCGTGGTGAGTGTCTCGGTTGAAGAGTACATTCCAGATCTAAATAACAATATTTTACCATTAATATAAAACCATATAATATATAAAAATATAAAATATAGAAATCTAATAAAGAGATATGAGTGACCATTTTTATTAATTAAATTGTAACACTATTTAGCTTTGGGTATCAAAAAAATCCCCTCGAAGATTGAAAAAAGTAATTTACAAAAGTTAACAACTTAAAACTGATAAAATAAGTTATAAATATTTAACAACTTTTGTCAGCATTTACCCTATATTGTCAATAAATATATTTGAAATTCAATTTAGACTTGATTCACTACTTATTCATATTCATATTTTTACTAAATAACATTTATATATAGATCCATTATTTCATTAAAGCATGTAAAATGGACAAGGCAAACTAATCAATCTCTAACTTGTCCATTAAATAATCTTAAACATTATCAGAATATTTTATATCATTACATATGTTACACAGCAATTACTGTAACGTGTGTTACCTCTTTGATTCGAATGTACGAGTCTGTACAACGGGTGCTGTTTCTGTAGACATCGGTTCCTCTACGTGGAGCATTCCGGAGCATGTAGCTTTACCAGACGGATTTTCTGCAGTGACAGAAAATCTTCCAGCATCTTCATCAAATACTTCAGGAATATGTAACATGTAGTGATCACCTTCCATTGTGATCTGGTAGTCCTGTGAAACGACTGGTTCACCATTTACAAACCATGAAACCTGAAAAAAATGATACCATATACATATTATAATTTCATTAACCATGAAATACTTCTCCCAGTAAGACAATTAATTTGACATATAGGTAAGTATATAAATCATAGTTCTGTAAACCAGTCACACCTTGCCGTTTACTAAAAATATGAAGCCCTGTTTTGATTTTTAACAATGAAAGAAAGTTTACATGGCAGCATGATTAGTTAACGTAGGTGGCATGGTTGAGTGGTTAACTTGTCGGACTAGTAATCTAAGGACTGCTGGGTGTGTGGGTTCAACCCTGTCAGGGGCAAGCCATTGTTTCCTTGAGCAAGAAACTTTACACTCATTGCTAAGTATTGATTGGTTCCAGGAATGGATTTGAGAGTGTTTCAATAAGCTTATAGCTTCCAATACAATCAAACTAAAATAAATTAGTATAAACTAAATGAAAGTTTAACTTTCAAGTTTAAATCATACTTAATCGTAATCACTATGAAACTTGTAAGAGTTGATTTAAATTTAAAGTCAGTCAAAACTAACATCCTTTTAAAACAACTTATAATAAAGTTAAAAGGTAAACTTACTTTTGGTTTGGGACTTCCTACAATGATACAATCCAAGGTGACTTTGTCTCCAGCTCTAACGACCTTATCCTGGAACAGTTTCAGGAACTCGGGTGGTGAATGTGTAACCTCTGTCATTGTTCTTCTCACCTCAACGCTCTTGAGCTCCTGTGAAGGAGGGGCCGGTCTCACGGTCAGCTTGGCGTAACATTTAGCCTCGCCAACTTTGTTAGTGGCCTTAACCATGTAGTTTCCTCCATCTTCTACAAACACTTCCGGTATTGTCAAATTGTGTACATCAGCAAATGCAGTAACCTAGAAATAATAGCAAATTACAGAAGATTATATTTTGTAAATATTATAAAATTTTATTTTAAAATATGTATCACACTAAGATTTACAATATGATATTCATATGACTTCAAGAAATCGTTTCTCTTACTGCATCAATAAATTTTTCATAACTGCAATAAAGAAGAGCTGTTGCCATGTTTAAATGCTTCCATAGCAAAAAAATACAAAAAAATAAATATAGATATAAAAATCAAACATACCTGAAAGTCTGCACTTGGTTCTAGGGGTCTGTTGTCTTTATACCATTGTACACTTGGTAATGGATGACCTTGAACTCTGCATTGTAAGGTCACTCTCTGACCTTGTTGTGTATTTGCATCCCTTAGCAACTGAGTAAATTTGGGTGCTGATATCTCATGACTTATAGAGGCATCACTGAGTTCACTCAAGGCTAAAAAAGATGAAAATCAAATATAACAATATAGTTTATATATATCTAATAGTAGGATTCTTCCTTAACATTTGAAAAGACTTACTACACTGTTGTTTTCTTTAAAGCAGCCTTCACCTTTTCTAAAGGTTAAATTTGTTATTTTCAGATAAATCACTTCATATAATTGTCAAATCAAAAGAACCAACATGGAGACAATCAAATATATAAACAATAAGGAAACTCTTCGATACCTTTAAAGTACCGATCCGCTCTCTATATTTAGATTAGAAAAGGGGATGATTTGTTTCCCTATTTTTAGAAATAAGCGTCACTTGAGCATCCTAATTAGCTCTCTGGACACTATTTTAAAGAAGGCTGAACAATGATATGATGCACTTTCCAATATAAAATTGATGTAATACTTAGTTGGATACAGCTCAAAACAAAAGCTGAAGGACGCTTTAAAATCATAACAAATTTCATGACTTACGTTCAACATGAAGTCTGCAAGAGCTATCAGCAGTTCCATGTTCGTTCTTAGCCGAGACTTTGTAGTTGCCAGCATCTTCGATATATGCTTCTCGGATCACAAGAGTACAACGATCACCTTCAAACAGAAGCTGTATATCCGAGGACTCTTTTACTGGTTTCTCATTGTGGAACCAAATCACCTGAATTAAATTAATTTATAGTAAATAAAGAATGATATACTCAAAGGCTATTTGTACTTGGAATTATATATATATGAAAGAAAGAAAGTCATGAGTGGGAAATTATATAGATTTTCTATTATAGAAAAATCACATGAGAAATCCCAGCTCCGGGATGCCTATTTTTTCTGTGATTTTTCTATACTGAGGGTAAAACAAGAATTATCTCTTAAAGAGACTGCTTTTACTTGCAAAGGTTATTTCAATACCTAACCACAATTATGTATAAATCTAGTGTCAACAGATATGCAGAATATTTTGTCAAAATTTCAATACCTAACAACGAGTAGGTATAAATCTAGATTGTCAACAAATATACAAAATGTCAGTAAATTTAGTTCTAGTAAGATTTTTACCTCTGGTTCAGGGTTTCCTATTAGTACACAATCTAGTCGTACTCTACTTCCCTCCATAACTTCCCTGCTTGGCAACAGTTGCTGCGTGAATGTTGGTGCAACAGGTTCTTCAAGGGAAGCAACTGATACATCCTCACTTCAAAAATAAATTAAACGAGGAAGATTACTTTTGTGTACATTATTTTTGTACATATCATAGCAGCATTTGAATTATATGTCTTTAAGTTCTTTCTTGGTACAATGCATGAATATTCATGCAAACTTTTATCAATTTTTTATTTCTCAATATGTTCTATAAATTAATTTATAAACAATTCAATCTCTAATATTCTGTGATAAATTCCATTATATTTCAATAAAGAAAAAGCTTAATTTTTATCTATAATTTGACTTCGCTGGTCAAAACTTTTAATATACCTGAGTACTAAATTAAAACAATAAAATTCTTAACACTAAAAAGAACAAAAAATATATTTTCTTTGACACAAAATAAGCTAGGAAACAGCACATCAAGTTTGGAGGGAATGTCAAATACAGAAATATGTAAAACAAAATAAGAAGTTATACTTCTATTAAATCAAAACAAAGATATTTTAAACAAGATGACAGCAGAAAAGGGATATCTTCACACAAGTGAGGAAAGAAAAATAAATCTGTGACAAAATATATATATTATAATTATATATACAACCTCATACAAGACAAGAAGAAAATAAAATAAAATCTTCTGGGGAAAAAAATAGTACAGAAACCTGAAAATATCTATTACAAAGTAGACAACACCTTTATTTTTTGAAATGTATTCTAATATAGCATACACAGTATTTATAGCTAAATATACCATAAAAGCATTTAAGCGTTTGTGACTAAGAACAGGGTTGAGGTTAGAAAGAAATTCTCTTGACTCAAACTCAGATCTCAGGTATTTGATTGGTCAGAAACTGCCAAAGAATGTACACTGACTAATGAGAATTGCAGATACCAACTTGCATGTGAAAACTTAAAATTGTGGTGCTGACGCAAGGCTGAATACAATAGCTATCTTTGAAGAATATCAAGCTTAAAACAAGTAACATTAATTACGCTATGTACCTGTACTATATTGGCAATTATTTCCGCCACAAAATTTACAAAACAGAAGAGGTGACACTAAGCAATCATTTTCACCTGAATGTATTTTTTTTATAAAATCTAAATATCAGAATATCTTTGGTCCATTGTCTCTATTATTTTTTTACTGAGATACCTTTTTGCTTTAATATGATAGGTAACCAATACATTATAATATCACCCATCCTTGGATACACACGGCCAAACCGAAATGTGGGTATCCGATGAGGAATATCGTCTACATTGAAGCAGTTCAATGTGTGGTTTTTCTATGTGTTATAATTATATTCATACATATGTATGTAATCAATGCAGTATGTATTATGGTTAACAAACTGTAAAACAAAATGTAAAATCTACTTTCATGCTTCAAAAAACCAAACAACAATCATATCAAGATAAAGAAGTAGAATGGTTTATTAGCAATTAGATAAATGAGCCGCGTCATGACAAAACCAACATAATGGGTTTGGGACCAGCATGGATCCAGGCCAGCCTGCGCATCCATGCAGTCTGATCAGGATCCATGCTGTTCGCTATCAGTTTCTCTACTTGTTATAGGGTTTGTAAGCAAACAGCATGGATCCTGATCAGACTGCGCAGGCTGGTCTGGATCCATGCTGGTCGCAAACGCATTATGTTGGTTTTGTCGTGACGCGGCTCAAATATCTTAAATGCTTTATGCAAGTGTTACTTATTATAAAAACAACCAAGTCTGAAGCATGCCATTAATTTTTTATTTTCATAATGATTTTTTTTTATATTTTCATATTGATAAATTACTGAAAAGGATTTCTATTATACATTACTATCAAATGCAATTAAGGAATATATTTTACATAGAGCTAGTTCCTCTTTCTTCTATAAAGCATAAATTATCTTTGCTATCTTATTTTCTTTTACAAGAAATTTCAGGTAGGGATTGGCATGCTATAAGAACTGAAAATAAAAATGTTAGGAAAAAAAAAATGCCCATATTTGGTCATGTGCATGTTTATAGAAAGCATGACATAACTTGCCTGGCAGTCAAGGTGGTCTGGCTAGCTGATAGCGTGCTTATATCACTGTAAAGCAAAAAATATGTCAAAGCCCAAAACATGACTGACGTTCCTGGGTTCTTTTCTGTTACCTAATAATAGCTTGAGGCATTTTAACGTTGATTTTATATAGATTTTAAATAATTTTCTTTAGTTTTTCAAAGATTTTAAATAATCTTGAGAAAATGTTAATTTAGAAATCTGTAAACTGATGACAATAGATAATATCATTTTAGTACTTTTGTTGTAAATTGAATTACCTATTACGACCTTGACCTTATAGCATGTAACTATGTTTACCAAGGAAACAATTATCAACATGATAAGCCTACAGGTCAGCTTTTTAAAGATTAATAACTCTTAATTTGACCAAACAAAAAATTCTCTACTGTCACTTTCTTGGTTATACAAACCTACCTAAATTGCTGGCCAAAATTGAATATTTGTAAGGTTTGAATATTTGTAAGGTTTTTACATAAATAATTGCATTTACACACTCCCTTTTTGTGACTATTTAGTCTGAATTTCAAGACACACCAATTTTGTTTAAGTTAAGTCGTCACCAAAAGAAGATAATGTAGGCACAATGAAATTCATTAATATCCAAAATATTACAAAATATAATAACTTGTCACACTAACATTTGAAAAAAAAAAATGTTTACATATTAAAAACTAAATTCTTGCACACTGAGAGCCGAAAAAGTTTTTGGATAAAAGTAAAGTAAAATTAAACTGAATTGTATCTCAAATGCTTTTTAACAGAATTTTTTCAAAATAAAAAAGAAAAAACATTCAATTTCAGCCAGTGCAGCAAACATTACTAAGTTTAAAAAATAGCAGACTTTTTGAATCTGTAGAAACACAGAAACAATATTTCCAACAAGAACTTTTCTACTATAAACACCCTGTCTACAAGCATTTAGTTAAGTATGACCCTTTTTTTAGAAAAAGGTCACTTTAAACAGCCATCTATCACCAAAAATATTAATGTTTTAAGAATTAAATAAATATTAAAAAATGGAGGAAACATTTTTTTATAACAAATAAGTAATGCAGTTATCATTTTAAGTGAAGGATAATTTAAAAATTGATTCTTTTTATGTGTTCAATTTTTGTGTTCAAATTTCGTGTTCAAAAGAATTTTATCTGTTAGCTATATCCTTTAACAGCCATCTAACATGGTGGCAAAGCAGTGAGAACATCATTCTAACTATATTAAATGCAGAGACCATGTGGGACTCAGCAAGTAGCTTTCTTACAATAAAAAAGAAATACAAAAAAAAAGAAAAGAAATAAAAATTAGATTTTTGTGAAATTGTGTACTGTAGGATTGTGAGCACGCCACCCAAAGAACAGAGATTGCAAGAAAAGAACGAGCAAGCGGTGCTAACGGGTTTTGGCAACGTGAGGAATCATGACTTACGATGGTTTTGTTTCGCTAGGAACGGTTGTACAAGGGCTGTATATACATTAAGCAAGGACACATATGAGAGAGAAAAATCTATGATGTTAAATAATAATCAACACTTGTCTTTAAAACAAGAAATTACAAATGTATACTCTTCCAGAAAAAAATAAAATATTTAATAAGGGGTAGAAAAAGTAAAAAAAAACACATAAATATCTTAATATTTGTTAGGAATTTGTTATTTTTCCTTTATTAACAAGAATTACAACCATTTGGCATAAAATTGTTCAAAATAAATAAATTCTGGGCAAACAGAAACACATACAAAATAAAGAGTGAATATTCTTCTTAACTTATTAAGTTTTCTTAGATCAAAAATTCATAAAATCCACATATTTGTCAACAGAAAAACAACAAACATTTTCCTAGCTATCATACAAAAACCAAGCAACTTTCATTGAAATTTCCCCAATCATTATCATGTTAAGTCAATTAATTAGGTCATTACGAACTTTTCTGCACAACTAAAAGACGACACAACGAACAATGTTATTTTAAAAAAAGACAACATTTCAAAAGATTTCTATATTTATACAGTAGCTAAAACAACAATAACATGAAATTCTTCATAAAAACACATAACAGAATGTAGTCACTATATTAATACATCAATACTCACGCGGCACTAGAGTAGAAACTCTCGATGGTGATCGTACAACTGCTTCTCGCCTCTCCCAGCGGGTTTCGTATAATTACAGAATAATCACCCGAATCCTCGGGATACGCTTCCGTAATCTCAAGAACAGATCTTGTTGTTTCTATGGTAATCTAAAAATGAGAATAATGAAAATACATATAATATTTCAATAAAGTATATATTAGGGATGTAAACGACCATTCAAACATGTAAACTAACATTTGGATAATATTCCAAACAATCAAACAAATTTTGAGTATTACAATGTTGGTATACATTCATAGAAATAACATGAAAATTGCCATTTCTATTTTAAATTAATTATTCTAACGATGATCAAACTGAAAACCAATGTATGACTATAATTTGACACACTGCAACCGTGAAAATAATTGGTTATCTATAGCTATTCAAGTTATCAGTTAGACATGAACAGTTTCACTCATTTTACTGACTGTTTTTTCCTACTGTCCACTTTTGGAAAAAGACATCGCCCTTCAAAAATTACCTGGAGTCTTAATTAGTTGGACAACTTATCAGGGATACTGGTTCTACATAATTCAAATGGTTTACTATTAAATGAGATTTTTTCAAGTGATCCAAACATTTGAATGCAAATCAGATTCAAACGTTCGAATACAAAAATAGGTGAATTTGCCATCCCTAGTAATACAGAGCTCTTTAACCCTTTCCCCCATGAGCATATTGTGAAAAATGGCCATTTTCACTGAAAAGCCTCCTCTCACAAGTTCAAACTGCTATGAAACTATGAAAAATGCTTCAATACTAATCAAACTTGGCACAAATGTTGACTGGACCATTGCCTTTGTAACGACATGCTCAGTCTTAAATTTCCTGTTACCATGGCAACGAGGGGACATCTCAAAATTGCCAAAAATCACTTTTTTGCCTCGATATTTTCCATCAAAATTTATTTCAAAGTGCTGCAACTTCTCAAGGGATTGAGATAGAGTCAAAGGCTTTTCAGCGTTGGTTACACGTTACCTTATGATCGACCTGGGGTCATTTTTAGCCTCTCACAAGTCCAAAATTTTCTTGGCGATGAGGGGGACTCCGCCCCCCTTCAAACCCCCCAAACAGAAGGGGGCACATCCCCCTTCTGGCAACCCCCTGATGTAATATTTGGATGGGGGACGGCGCCGAAAAAATGGTCAATTTTTTTCACAAATTTGCTCAAACGAAAAACAGTGTTTGGGGCCTAAATAGGGCATTTTTTCACTGTTTGAGGCCACAAAAAGGGGGGGGGAGCAAAAAGCCGTCGAAACACGCTTATATAAGGGAAAAGGTTAAATCAACATTCAATATCAATCTAAATTCATTTCAACAAGACACCTGTAAAAAAAATCAATTTTCATACAAATGTTATATTTCAATACAAACTTACTGTGTATAAATTTGACGGGATAATTTTCTCTGGTCCTCTGTACCATGTGACCTGAGGGGCGGGGCTTGCAGAGAATACAATCTCTAATCTGAATGGCTTGCCCTCCGGAGCTACACCATCCTTCAGTGGCTGTTGAATAACAGGTGTCTGAGCAGCTATACAAACATAAAAATACATGAATTACATTGCTGGCCAAAGTACAAACTAAACAAAAATTTATGTGGGTAACTTTTCGGTATCTTGTTAGAGTTGCAATAGAAACCAAATATTAAAAGTTGCAAAAGAAAAGAACTGTTTCATTTTACTTTACTGAAAAAAATCCATTTAACCAATCAACTGTCAGAATGTCAACAGATGTAACGATGTCATTATGGCCTAAAGCTTGAAATCAATTAAATCTATTTTATGAAAATATATATATAAAGTAAAAGAATAATCATTTAAAGAGCAAGCTTCAAAGGGAAAATACAATGTAATCTAGTGAAATATGCTACAGCTAACATTATAGCTTGAACAAGTGATATGCTAAAACTAAGCAACACGTGATGAGTGAAGGTTGGATTTTTAGGTGAAAAACATGGACATCTGTTATTATCATCAAATCAATGAATGTCCGTCTGCCTTAGTTGTCACTCAAACAGCTATGGATCTTGTACACTACAAACATGCTATTATGTTATTATTACTCATGCACCTGTTGTAATAAGTATTATCCTCCATTTTCTGTTACTCCATCATGCATTGTCAACCATGATTTCCCTAGTTAAGTTTATGTTAATTTCTATTATATGAGATATTCTGAAAATAGCCCTGTATCAATTATTCCAGGAAAGTTCCTATTTAAATTACATGTAGCTCATTCTGAGAATGTCCCTTTACTTATTTCAAGAAAGTCCTAACATCAATTCTTCTTGGAATGAACTTATTTTAAGAAAATCCCTTCCTTTAAAATGTAAATCTCAATCACTTTAATCTGCTTTTCCTTAAATATTCTGAGAGAGAAAAGTGCTCAACAAAATATTAAAACCTCAAAGAAAGTCCACAATCAATAAAAAAAAAAAAAAAAAAAAAACACACAAAAAACCCCCATGATCTATGATATATAAGTAAAGTAATTATGATTTTAATATCTAAAAGAAATCCAATGTTCAAATTGATGGTGAAAAAAGAATCACAAAATTAAACCCCACCTATCATTTGAATCAAATTTGAAAAGCAAGTTAATAATTTAAATTAAGGAGTAAAGAAAGAGTTAAATTCCCATATACCAAGGGGGACAAAAAGCTAGGAAAAGCTAGACAAGAAAAAACACAAAAAGAATGATTGAAAGTAGTTCCAGCTATTCTACAACAAAGGTTTAGAAAATACTTGCAAGCATCTGAGAGATCTGATTGGTCAATCCTTGATTTGCTGCCTTTAAACACAACAATAAATGGGCGAAAATAAGAAATAAATATAATATGGCATACAATTAAAATAACCTGTTAACTTTACCAATCAAATTGATAATTTCTTTTAAATTCTTTCTTTTGTTCTTAAAATCGTGTAAGAACTGCAGTAACTGACTGATTTTAAAATTTCATGAAAAGTCTCAATATTTTCTTATTTAATAATAAAGTCAAATTTGGTGTAAAAATATTGAAAATGGTCTAATATTGAAAGAGTAATAAAAATGGCTTTTTTTTGAGGGGGGATATTTGACAAACAAATTTGCTTCATTCTGCTTGAAAGTTTGTTAAAAAAAATACTATTGTATATACTACAAATTTGATTGGATTTTGTACTACAAACTGTATTAATAAAAACATTGTTGAACCGTTTTACCATAAAATAAATCACATGGTAAAAGAAATTAATAGAAATTCAAGGTAAATCAGAATTAGATGTTACTGTTAGCAAAACTGAAAAAGGAAAATATATATATGAAATACATGTACAAAGCTGTACCATGCTTTAATAATGATCATCAAACATTTCAAACAAAGGTTTGCATTGTAAACATAATTGATTTTGCTAGTACAATCACATGACAATTTTTGAGTGATCATCATGCTTTGTAAATATTACAGCTACACAATATGGTCATGGAAATAAAATGCTAGTCTTTATTAATGTAACACAGAAATTTGGTAATGGAAATAAAATGCTAGTCTTTATTAATGTAACACAGAAAGTTTTTGATAACATTTTTAAGGTCCAAGCTAAACTGTTCCATTAGTCATTCAATTTTATATCAAACTTTAGTAAATTTACTTTTCCTTTTCATATCAATTCAACCTTAGTTACAGAAGTTACATTTACAGATAAACACTAGCATTTTATAATATCTTAGCTTCATTTATAAAAAAACAACAACAACATAGCCAAATGTCTCATATCATTTTTTCATGACTTGAGATGAGAGGGGAATGGGTAACACATGCAATGCAATTTTCATAACTCAGTCATTCTCATGCGTGTCACACATGAGAACTTACGTATAACAGTCAGACGGGCAGATGAGGCTGCCTCGCCCCCTGGATTAGTTGCTCTGCATGTATAACGGGCACTGTGTTCTCTAGATACCCTCTTAATCTTAAGACAGCAGGTGCCGTTAATTTTTGTAATGACGTATTCGGGAGAATTGTCTATGTTTATTTCATCTTTGTACCAACTTATGGTCGGTGAAGGAATGCCCATGATGTGGCATTCAAATGCAAAGGGGCTGCCCTCCAATGCATCAACAGATTTCAAATTTTTAGCAAATTCTGGTGGAACAATTTGCTGATGGGTTTCTGCAAAATAAAGGACAGTCATTCCTATCAAAATGCATAAAAATGTTTTAGAAATAAGAAACTCTAGCAGCTGCTCCCTTAATTCTACAAGCTGTATAAATCATTGGAAATAAAAACATTAAGACCTAACCCATAATTCTATTGTTCTTACAGCCCTAAACCAAAGTGAAAGTATTAAAAATCTATCAAAAAAATCTAAAAAATTCTAATCCAAGTCAATAGTGTATGTACATAAGATTATGAAGGCCAAGTCAATTTTGATGAAAAGATAGGCCCATGATATGCCGAAAGCCATTATTTGTCATTTGGAAAGACCCTAAGACCTTTTTTAAGCTAAGAATAAGATGTAAACTTTTGTACATAATCATCTACAGCTATCAGTAACAAGAAAATTTACCCATAAAATTCAATACATCGGGAATGTTGTATGTTGGTTTGTCGATTATTATTTCTGCAGAGAAAACTGAACTGAATGAAACTTTAGGAAAATAAAAATATAGCTTCATTTTACATCTTAACCCTAAATGTTTTCAGCATCACTCTTTAATTTTAATGAACAACAGTTTAGAAAATTATAAATATAATTTTGTAATTGATGAAATTTGAAGTCTGACTCTGAGAAATTGTATACTACAAGATCAAGAATAAAGAGATTTCAAAAAGCACTGTCGAAACTCAATAATCGTAATTCGAACACGCCAAAATGTGTACTATGGACAAGCCCTCCTCTAAATTTAGAACTGTTACATGAGACATAAGTTGTAAAAAAGTGTTGCAAGAAACCTTAAATAATTCATGATTATTTTCTTTTACAACAATACAGTATCAAATTCAGATCAGGTCAACAAATTTCATCCCAATAACAACAAATTTCATCTTAATTAAATTCACAGTTTGGTAACATTGGTAAAAAAATAACCTCTCTTATCACAAAAACTCTGTTTACTTTATTCACACAGAAACACACATTAAAATTTGTGTAAACTCACCTTTGACATGTAGATAGGCAGACGACTCCGCCTCGCCTGCAGCATTGGTCACACGAACCGTGTACCTGGCCGTATCCTCGGAGAACGTTTCCTCGATTGTGAGTGAAGCTTTGTTCGACTCACATCTTGTCTCATAGTCGGGGCTATTCAATGGTAAACTGTCCTTGAACCATCGAACTTCAAATGTTATTTCCGACTCGATATGGCATTCAAAGATTACTCTAAAATTGTTAAAACACATTCATAAATAATAGCACTTTTTACTTTGTGAGCATTTTTATATATATATTTCAATAAAATATATTCTTACTTAACAAGGTGAACATCAACTTGTATGTATGATGACAATTTATCGTTCCAGGACTAATGGTGATTGACCTTTACTAAGGCTTCACTACCAGTATACAGCCAGGCCAGCCTGCGTATCTTCAAAGACCAGCCAGCTGTTTAATTTCTTAATCATAAAAGTTTCAAATATACAATGAACAGCTCAAAATCAAAAACTGGTCAGGTTCAACACATTAATTCGTAAGGGAAAGTCTTTAACAAAAAAATATCAGCAATTGCCATATTTCTTAGTACTTTTCTTTTTATCAGACTTACCTTGGCTGAAAACCTATTTCAAAAATACTTTTTTTTTCACATGTAATTATCAAATAAATTTAACTTTTTTCAATATGCATCACATTTCATGTCTTCTTGACAAAAAATGTCTTACTTTGTGCCCTCCATGACTTCGGCATTCTTTAAATGTTGTGTTATTCTTGGAGGCTTAGGTGGTGCCTCAGCTGTCACTGTCACTTCCATGGGAACAAACTCTTCTACAGCTGGTGGCTGACCTTGTTCCTAAAATAGGTCAAAGGTCAAGGTCAATAAAATATTCTTGATACATGTATAAATGTATGATTGAAGTAATCACAGTGTCACTGTCAAAATCATAGGCAGTTTTGTACACTTTAAGATAATTCCTAAAAATCTTCATTATTAGTATTTAAGTGCAAAAAAATAGTATGTCCAGTTTCAAAACACAATCTCATAGTTAAAAGATAGAAACAACATTTAAAAGCTGTAGAAAAGTAACAAAAATTATATCTTAGTATTAAAACACACCAGTCTTTGACATCATATGACATTGATGTTATTTCCTGTAAACAAGTATACCTGATGAAGGCTTTTGAGTCAAATGCTGTGTTTTTTAAAATGAAACAATACATTTTTACATTGAAACTGGAATTGATTTCTATATTCAAACTTATAACAAAGCAAATCAGACTGGTAATATAATGCTATAAAGAGACTTCAGAAAATGGATTTATTATCAACTTACAAGGTTATGTTTCAGTCTAGAGATCTCGTTGTCAGCCTGCTGGAAGTTCTGTAGTAAATCTTGATATTGTACATGTAAATTGTGAACACGGCTTGGACCTTCATCTCCTATACACCATAACATTAAAACAAAAAATTATTATGAGGGGAAAATGTAGCATAAATCCAGAAACATGATAATAATACAAATAATTTCACTCTACCTTAAAACAAGATATAAAACATGATAATAATTTAGATTAACAGTCTTCCTCTATTGTACAAATCGTTTTATAAGGAGATCACAAAATTAATGAAAAAATTTTTTTAATGAATTTTGTCAAAGTAAATATATACTGATAATTCAAATGTAAAATCTAGTCCCCTTCGTGTAAGTGGCCAGCCTCATGGTCAAGTCAATAAGGTATAGTACATTTTACTATAGTTTTTATGCCTTCATACCTAACATTTCAGTTTTTACAACTTAACAAACTTGGCCTTTAGTAATTATAACTTACCATATAGCTGCACAGCTAGTTCTGAGATTTGTCTCAACCTATCATCTTGTAATGGTTTACCCTCCTCTACAAATCTATTTACAGGTTGGATTAGTTCATTTGCATCTTCCGGGGATTGGCACTGATTAGCTCTTTGACTGAGTGTAACTAATAAATTACTTCCTTCAGTCATCCACGTTTCAGACTGCAGAAGAAATTATGAAAAATATTTTTTCAATGTAAACAAAGTCTTCAAACTCCTAATTATGCTGAATTTTATTTATACTGATAAATTATTGGAAATTTTTTGTTTGTATTTATACCAAATTTACACATTAACATTTCAGATGGTAACAGTACGAACTGCTTATGTCATTCACAAATCCTATATTTTATTAGTCTTTAAAAATAATACCTCCAAGAGATAAAGTGTCCCAAAGAAATGTGCCATAGTAATGGCAGCATATTAAACAAGCAGAATACAAAATATCAAAATTCATCAAATATATATTCACAGCAAAGAATAAATCTGCCCCATTTTTATTTTTCATGCAATTTCCTATTTTTTCCCCGATGGGGCTCTTAAAATGAAGATAAACTGAGCAATATCACAGGAAAATTCTATATACCGGTATCATTTTACACATTAAACAAGAGCTGTCCGTAAGACAGCGCGCTCGACTTTTTTAGTGCTTGCCTATAATACAAAACATTGACAGTTAAGGGCCATAATTCAAATAAAATCTTTGACAGAATTACCTTCTCCTGGACATGTTTGGGAATCATGATTGTAAACAAGTATTCCAACTTTCAAATTAATATCTCAAACAGTTCAGTCAAAAAGTGGACTGGTACTAAAAACTTAACCAAGATTCTAAGTCGATAAAAGGCCTTAATTTTTAAAACAAATCCTTGACAGAGTTACCTTCTCTTGCGTACAGATGGGGGTAATGATGTGAAATAGCATTAAAAGTTTCAAAAGCAATATCTCAAAGGGTTAAGGCAATAAGTGGATTTTACCCATATTCAATGTATTTTCTAAGTCAAAAAGGGGCATAATTCTGTCAAAAACCTTGACAGAGTTATGTCCTCTTGTCTGTTGATGAAGGTCGTGATGGTAAACAAGTATGGTCAGTTTCAAAGCAATACCTCCAATGGTTTTGAAATAAAGTGAGGTGGTACAAAAAACTTAACCAAGATTCTAAGTCGATAAAAGGCCTTAATTTTTAAAACAAATCCTTGACAGAGTTACCTTCTCTTGCGTACAGATGGGGGTAATGATGTGAAATAGCATTAAAAGTTTCAAAGCAATATCTCAAAGGGTTAAGGCAATAAGTGGATTTTACCCATATTCAATGTATTTTCTAAGTCAAAAAGGGGCATAATTCTGTCAAAAACCTTGACAGAGTTATGTCCTCTTGTCTGTTGATGAAGGTCGTGATGGTAAACAAGTATGGTCAGTTTCAAAGCAATACCTCCAATGTTTTGAAATAAAGTGAGGTGGTACAAAAAACTTAACCAAGCTCAATACACTTTCTAAGTCAAAAAAGGGCCATAATTCTGTCAAAAACCTTGACAGAGTTATGTACTCTTGTCTGTAGATGGAGGTTATGATGGTGAACAAGTATGGTAAGTTTCAAAGCCATACTTGTAATACTTCTGAAATAAAGTGGGGTGGTACGAAAAACTTAACCAAGGTGTGACGCCAACGCTAACGCTAACGCTAACGCCGACGCCGACGCCGGGGCGAGTAGGATAGCTCCCCTTTTCATAGAAAAGTCGAGCTAAAAATGGCTCTAATTTGTTAGAGCCACTGCGTCTGCTATAAAAACAAGAGCTGTCCGTAAGACAGCGCGCTCGACTTTTTTATTGATTGCCAATAAAAAAAGTTTTTGCAGTAAAAGGCAATACAAGAATCTCTGTATTTTTAAAGTGAACAATGGCCATGAGCATTAAGATATTTAGTGAAGAATTATTTTACTGAATTGTGTGATACCCTTGAACACTGCAGCAAAGTTTGAAATGTTTAAGTCAAAAGAGGGCTGGTAAGAAAGAAAAAAAAACTGAGTTGAGCCTTAAATAAATTTAATAGTATTAAACCCACTTTGAGAGAATAAGGTATTTTTACGTCACTCAGAACACCTTGGTAAATGACATAATAACATAATTTTTCAAGAAATCTATGCCAAGGAAGCAGTATATTTTTGTACAATCAGCATAATATATAGATTTGACTTTGTATGTGAAAGTATTATAGTTACCTTATAATACAAGTAATAGATAAATTTTATCAAGCTTTTTTAGTTAAGGGCCATAATTCAAATAAAATCTTTGACAGAATTACCTTCTCCTGGACATGTTTGGGAATCATGATTGTAAACAAGTATTCCAACTTTCAAATTAATATCTCAAACAGTTCAGTCAAAAAGTGGACTGGTACTAAAAACTTAACCAAGATTCTAAGTCGATAAAAGGCCTTAATTTTTAAAACAAATCCTTGACAGAGTTACCTTCTCTTGCGTACAGATGGGGGTAATGATGTGAAATAGCATTAAAAGTTTCAAAGCAATATCTCAAAGGGTTAAGGCAATAAGTGGATTTTACCCATATTCAATGTATTTTCTAAGTCAAAAAGGGGCATAATTCTGTAAAAAACCTTGACAGAGTTATGTCCTCTTGTCTGTTGATGAAGGTCGTGATGGTAAACAAGTATGGTCAGTTTCAAAGCAATACCTCCAATGGTTTTGAAATAAAGTGAGGTGGTACAAAAAACTTAACCAAGCTCAATACACTTTCTAAGTCAAAAAAGGGCCATAATTCTGTCAAAAACCTTGACAGAGTTATGTACTCTTGTCTGTAGATGGAGGTTATGATGGTGAACAAGTATGGTAAGTTTCAAAGCCATACTTGTAATACTTCTGAAATAAAGTGGGGTGGTACGAAAAACTTAACCAAGGTGTGACGCCAACGCCAACGCCGACGCCGACGCCGGGGCGAGTAGGATAGCTCCCCTTTTCATAGAAAAGTCGAGCTAAAAACCATACCTCTTCAATGAGCCTGAAGTATATAATGGACGTATCTAACATTTCACGATAGTCATTTACACTTGTATGGAATGTCGTCCATTTAGTATTGAGCATGTCAATTTCACGTCTGATGTGGACAGAGTCGTAATGCTCATCCTGGACCATGAGCTCGGCTGTGCTTGTAAAGTTCTGAATCTTCTTCTCAATCAACTGAAAGGTTAAGAAGGAAAACTAAATATAGGTGAAACGCGATATAAATAGGTTGAATATTATATAGTCGAGAGGTGATATAAAGAGGTCAAATATCAATGTTTCTTGCATATCAGATAGGATTATCTACCGTTGTTTACACCAGTGCTAGAAAAACCTGTCTTACCACTATCATTTTGTTTAAAATAAATTTAGCTTATTAACTTAATTTAAAGCTTCATTAGTAAAAATTGAAAATACAATTGATTATTTTTTCCATACAACTGTTACTGCCATAGAACTTTCTAAAAAATATATCATAGAATGTACAAAGATGCATACCTCAACTGTCATTTCGAATTGTTTAAAAGCCTGTGATGTCATTTTAGCAGCTGGCAATGAGTTGCCATAGCTACCACGTCTAGCTTGTAAATGATGATGTAACTCATCAATTTCTGAATGGATCTGAAAAGATAAAATATTCAAAATACATTTAACAATTTTATAAATTCTTTGTAGAGCTTCTTTGAGTCAAACCCTGACACTATTTAAATATGTTGAATAAGCTTGATAACTTGAGTCCTGTAAATCTAAAATACTACAAAAAATCATTATTGGTTTAAATAGAATTTAATTTAGTTTGATGGTGTAGGAAGCTATAAGCTTATAGACACACTTTCAAATCCGTTCCAGGAACCAACTAGTACTGAGCAATGAGAGAAAAGTTTCTTGCTCAAGGAAACAAGGACTTCCCTCTGACGGGGTTTGAACCCATACGGCTAGCAATCATTAGATTATTAGTCTGACATGTAAACCACTCAGCCACTGAAAATCATTGTTATTCTAGGGGCCCTAATTTTTTGTGGTTAAACCACACTCTGTCTTGTTGGCTGTACATTTCTTGTTAAAATTCCATCTTAAAATCCCATGAGCAAGCAAAAGACAGTTTTTAATTCTCTGCAGACATATCTCATGTAAAACAATCATCAGTGTAAGGAATAAATACCTGTCTTAGATCAAAGTTAAATTGACAGATCTGAAGGTTTTGTCTCAAACGCCGTTCTTGCTCCTCCCACGTATTATTCCACCGATGTTTATACTCATCTGTGGCACCAAGAACGCGCTGGACATCATCTTTTGCTTCTGCTTCAGCGTCCTATTTTATTCAATATGAAAAATTAATAATTTGTCCATTACTTTTCACAAATTCTAGTACTTTATTCAAAAGTCCTGGCTCCGAGGTTATAAACATTTCAATGCTCAACTGAGATTGGTCTCGAATGTTTTTATAATCTCATTTGGAGCTAAAAATTCCACTAAGTTGAGACTCGGATCACATAACTGAGATTAGAGTTAAGATTTTTTAAATGTTTATAACCTCGGGGCCTGGTTCTGCAACAAGTAGACCAACTGATTTTCCTTGTTTATTTCTCTTTCATTCCAATGCAATCATAAATGTGTATATTTTGTATGAACAGTGTAATGTAGGTACACCGGATGAAATAGAAGTCAGATTTCAGTATATTGAAGGTTTACTTTAAATGTAAATTGTAGCATAGTCATTTTATAAACAAAACTTAACTAGTCGAAAATAACAAAACTACTTATTTATTATAACATGTAGTAAAATATGGGAGAAATTTTTTCCAGGAGGCAGACCTAGGTGCATCCTTATGAATAATCTTAGGCAGAAAGTAGACAGAACTTACAGTTTGTCTAACTCGTACAACTATTTTCTCTCCCTCCTCTGCTGTGTAATTTATCAGGTGGGAGATTTCTTGTTTTTTCCTCTTGTGTTCTTCTAGCATATTTTCTGCTCTGTTAAGGTCGCTAGGTAACTCAGATTCCATGTATTCATGTTCTGTTTTCTCAATCAGCTTGTCAAGCTAGAATAAAACATTCATTGAAATTTTTTCATAAAAGTCACTGAAACATATTTGAAGATTTGTAAAAAAAAAAATATAAAAAAAGACCTGCCCAGAACCAAATACTATTCTAAACTTTTTAGACTTCATGTTTTTTCAGGAGCTTTTTCAACTGTTATTAAACACCTCTTTCCTTTAAGCTCATTTTAAAGGGACCGATGTTTTGGGACATGGTGGGACTGGAAATATTTTCCAAAGATTTGTGTACCAGTTGATAAAGGTCTGGACCAATAACTCGTGTGTAAATTTTCAGCTCATTCTCTTACCACGTTTTTTTCCAGAATAATCATTTTATTCTGCAATACGACCCCAAAATGAAAAGCCTTGAAACACATTTCACTCAATCCAGGTAAGAATTGCACAAAATATTGATTTTCAATTTAATTCTGAGTATATTACTTTGTTTGCCTTAGCAGAGTTTGCCATTTTTCAGTGCCTCACTTGATATTTGTAAGATTTTTAAATTTTATGCTTCAGGCCTAAGACCTCAGTGGAGTTCCTTAAAGATGATACTATTTAAACACAAACATAATCCTACCAAATAAAGAAGAATTAAAGACTCACCTGATCCAAATTCCTAAAGAATTGTATCGTCATTTTCAGCAATATCTGATATTCATGGATCCTAGCTTGGAATCTTTGATGAACTTTAACCAGTTCATTAACAATATGTTCTTTCTGGCCCCTAGTGTCACCTTTAAGTGACAATAGTTCAGCTGTCTTCAGATGGTCCTCAATTTCTGCTTGGGCCTGCTGCAATTTTAAAACAAAGCATGATGTTTAAGAAAAATGCCAGAAGTTTTGCTTCTTCTCCGGTCTTTTTCTAAAAATGTGTCAAAAAATGATATTAATAATAATTGTTTCTCCTTGTTTATATGAAAGAAGTAAAATCAAAATGAGGCAATACAAAAGGGAATACTTGAACATATTAAGTATAGTACATTGAAGAAAGTTCATAAGTTAAATGTATCTATGATTTTTTTTCTAAAAAGTGAGAGACATATTGAATTATAAAATCAAGACAGTATTTTTTGTACATGTTGAATTTCTGAAAATAAACTAGAAATGTGTATATAAGACAAAGATGCCCCTACATTCCACAAAATGGTAACAAAATGTCCTGGATTGGCATATGTATAAAATATATAAAAATATATACAACTGTGCTTTGTCATAATAAGCAAGATTTTTATTTTCCTGATAACTTTGAAAGTTTGAAAACATCCTACATAATAGGCAATTTTGACAAAAAGGAGCACAGTTATCATTTTACTCCTTTCCATACATGATTTTACTGAGAAAACAATGATTATAAGTCTTTATTTTATAAAACTTACCACGTAACTTATGAATACTAGTAACAAAACTAATCTACTGTGTTGTTATCTCGTTTTGTCATGCAATACTGATGCTGATTAACATAGATTTGATGTCAATTAAATTGCTTTGTGATGAACTTTGCTACTAGTACTACTTTAAGACGCATTTAAATGAAAACTGATGCCAATTAATTCAATTTTATAAAAGTATATTAATACATGAGAAAATAGTTAATGTTTTCAGGCAAAGACAAGCACTGTGTGGCAAATAAATTCAAATTAACACAAATAATTACTTAAGCTTTATAAAAACATAAAAAATGAAACATTATAATTTCATAATGGTATAAGTCTGTGACCCAATTTCATTCATGCCACATCATAAATAACAGTAGGTTTTAGAATATTCATACAAATTTGCCAACATTATAAATAACAAAAAAATTGAATTTTTGTTAAAAAACATGCATTACAAATTTATTAAGTATACTTAGTGAAACTAAAATATGCTAACACTAATACAGTCAAACCTTTGTGACACAGACCACCTTTGAACTAAGGTCATATGTAGAAACTGTCACTATAGTAGAGGATTTTTGTAGGATCTGTTCATTAATTTTTACCTTTTTTAATATATAGAGTTAAAAAAGCCTTGTATTTTTTGGAGTTCTGTGATTCAAGTGCAAATTTTAGTATAGAATCATTAAAAATCTATACTTATGAAAATAATCTCTTTTTCAAATGTGTCACTCTACTAACTGAGTTCACTTTGTAAAGTATTTTTTTTTTATCTTTTTACTGACCACAATTATCATTTTTTCATTTTTAAGAAATTTGTTTTTCCAAAAAGGTTTGACTGTATCTGCTAAAAACTAAAATAATGATATGCTCATTCATGAAATGAAACTTTAAAGTGACTTCAACTGATAGGCTAGGGGTATAGATATATTTCTTTATAAATATGGGATAATACTGACTTCTGTATATATTTGATCTATAAACTCAGAAGGCCCATCTAATAAAATATAGAAGGAAGTATACTTTTTAAGAAGAATGCAAATCGTAAAATAATTGATTTTGCTGCGGAAACAGAAAAATAAGACATCAGGCAAAGGGGGTATGTATATCTATTGGACAGCCCAGATTATTTATATCATAAGCAAACCTGGGACTTAGCTGGTCATTATCATGCTTAATTGTGTTGGCATGCCGATAATTTTATTTTTACTATCTATATATTTGAATTATGCAGGTTTTGTTTTCTAATCGTCACCATGGCAACAAGCCCATGTGACTTGAAGTCTACCTGTGCGGTTGGCTCAAACTCTTGAAGTTTACTTTGGAGCTGCTGAGCTTCTTCGAGGGAGTTTCCAAGGTAACCCGATAAATAGGGTTCAAATTGTTCCTTTTCTATGGCCATTACCCAGTCTATACTCTGAATGGTAATATAATTATACAACACTTAATAATGTTACAGACAACAACATGATGGAGGGAGAAAAAGCTGGAGAAAACATCTTTATTTCTTCATGTGTTCCAATTATAGATGTGAAAAATGTTCACCAAACAATCCATAAACAGTATGAAAAGTTTTGTCGTGGGGATTTTTGTAAAGGAAATAATATTGTTAAGAACAATATTTTGATTTTTTTTTAAAGTTTGGAATGGTGATAAAAATCTAAAAGAGAAACAAAATTCATTTAACTGACAATCAAGTAACAAACTTCATGTTAAATAAAGTTCCCTCCCCTGATAAACTTAATATACCAAATAATGAGATTTAAAAAAAAATCAATTTTGGGTCACAAAGAGAAAAAAAAATCAACTGAAACATAAAGAAATAAGGATGTTTTCGTCTCTGAAAAAGCAATGAGTGATTTGATCTTTTATACCCAATGTAAAACACAACACCGCAATTTACCTCAAATTCAGGCATGAAATTATCAAGCCTTTGTTGGTACTCATTGGCAGCCTCAATAGAGGAGCCAAGTTCGCCCGCCAGTACAGGGAAAAAGTCAGCTTCTAATTTTTGTACTCTATCTATTGACTGTAATGAAATATATTCAACAGCATCATAATCTTTATGTTTGCTAATTAATTCACATTTACGGTAATTGCCAAAAGAAAATGCATAGAAATAATTAAGTATCATTGATATAATCCTTAGGTACAAAAAACTATAAAATCCTTGTTGTCACTCAAGTATTATCACTAGAAATATTAAAATCTTTTATTTTTAAGAAGTATGTAAAGCAGCAGTATAATATTTCAAATCAAATAGCACTCAACAGAAATAAAAAGCATGCAAAAATTTCTTTTTATTTTTCTGGTTCTTATATTTTGCCACCTAAAAATAAGAAAAAGTTATCAAATTTATAAACAAATATATATTATATTTCATAAAACAGTTAACTCTCGATATCTCAACATTACAGCTCTAATCATGTCATTAAAAAAATCTCGTCATTTCATTAACAATGATCTTGTCATTTCATTAATAATGATCTCTTTATTTCATTAACAATGATCATGATATTTCATAAACAATGTTCTTGATATTTCATCATCTTGATCTCGTCATTCCATTACCAAAGATCTTGTCATTTCATTATCAATGATCTCGTCATTCCATTATCAATGATCTCGTCATTTCTTTAAAAATGATCTTGTCATTTCATTGTTTTTAACAATGATCTTGTCATTTCATTGTTTTTAACAATGATCTTGTCATTTCATTGTTTTTAACAATAATCTTGTCATTTCATTAACAATGATCTTGATATTTCATTAACAATGATCTGGATATTACATTATCTTGATCAAAGTTTAAAAGACCTGATTTCCTCACTTCTATAAGTAAAATATTTGTTTGTTTTCATTTCAATTTTTTATCTTGATAATCTCAAAATCTCAAAGTAAAATTTCAATCCAAAAAATTATTTTCACAGCCTTATAACACACATAATACCAGTGCATTCTATGTAAACACTGGTCTGGTCCTAAGGGATTCATTTAAAGAAAATTACCTGAATAATTCTATCGTAAATATCTTGATACAGTATTTATGGCATAATATAGGTATCTTCCAGGAAATAAAAACAGAAATGCTAAAGACTGATGCATTTTTTTTAAATAACATGTATACTGCAAATACAGTGACATTCTCTTGTTGTCTACGAACCTTTCTGGCATCCTGGATAAACTGGTGCCACTGTGTTTTGAACTGGCGGCTGGTTGACACGTGGGTTTGCCATGATTCCCACTGTGTAGTTAAGAATGTCATGTGATCACGGGTGTCCATTAAAATAGACTCGACCGTTTGAATGGTGCGGCGAATTTGTAATGATGAATCATCTGTAATCTATAAATAGAAACAAAATAATCTATTGAATAATTAACAGAAACATATACATGTACAAATAATATTCATTAATTAGTAATTAATACTAAATAATATCAAAATTGTCACAAAATATGCCCTTTACAAATACTCTATGATGGTGAACATATGGTTTTAAACAGAATTTATTTCAATGCCATTATGAAGATTATAAAGATTATACTATAAGATTATAAACACTCTTTCGAAGAAGTCAAATATACAATTGAAATGACATACGGTGGATGAATTTTTCAAGAATTCTCTGCCTTTGTCGTCAAGGTCGCGGAATGTTGTTTCGACCTCTGACCATACTTCTTCCGTCTGCTGTACAGCAGTATCGGTGAGATCCTGTAAATTTTCTGTGTCCGATCTCAGTGTATGTTCAAGGCTCCTCATACAGTTGGAGTTCTGGAGTAAGTAAAAATAAGTAATTTATAACTGGAGCACATGTTAGTGTTCAACAAAATTACATTGAAATATACAAAGCATTTTAGATGTCTGATAATGAAGTTATCAATGAGAAAATTGCTATATACACCTTTAAACAGTGCAATTATTATAATTACAACTTAACATACAAAGCAATTTAATGTGTAGATAAAAAAATGATCCTGCTGTAAGTTGCAATATACCGCAAAATTATTATTCATGGGGCACTTATTTTCATGGTTTTCGTGGATAGGCCAATACATGAATTTAAGATCCAATAGAAGTTCATTTGGTCATCTGCTGTCAGATTATTTTGCATTCCAATATTTACATTTTACCTTTTGGAAAAATAAAACACGAATTTTAGAGCCCACTAAAATGTTCTTTGTGACAAAACCACGAAATTTCATGCCCTTTAAATTTAAGTGAGTTCACAGTACTTGAATGCAACTATGGCCAGGATAATATATAGTGTAAGTTCTCTGATATAAATATTAAGATATAAAAACCTTCAAAAAGTTAAAGATTGTTCTAATTTTCACTGGGGAAGTAGGAGAGACTAACCAATTTTTCTGATAGTCAAGAACTACTAACAACTATAAAATAAGTATACCTGTTGGACGAGCCTTTGGAAAGAGACATAAATGAGACAAAGTTTGATGCGGACTTCTATGACACGATGAATGCGTGTGATTTGTTGCGTTAGATATTCAACCTTCTCTTTGGCAGAATTTGCCTCTTGGTCCCCTGACTTGACCATCGACATTGCTGCCTCAGTTAAGGACTGTATTTCCGCATCCTTGTCCTGGAACAATACAAAATGTTAACTTCTTATTGTCTTATTATATGTCACTTTATAATAACAATCTGTATCATACACATGTCGTAAAATCCTAAGCTTCTGTGATTTTAAGGAATTAAAAAACACAAAACAGAAATTTTGTCAACAATTGGGAGGATATTAATGAATATAGTACAGTCTAAAATTGAAACATCTTTAACACTCAGTACATTTAGTCTGTGTTTTTTCTTACACTCAGATATTCACACATTATAATGAAATGTAGCTGAAATATGCATATCTTAGTAATCATTAATGTTAATACCTAAATATCTGAGAAAGAACTACAGAAATGGAAAATAATCATTATAAAGGAAGATTTAGAGCAATAAAGCAAAATTTTGTGACACTCATTGTCTCGGACCATGTCAATCATTTTTGAAAAAATTTGTCTGTTTAAGTATTTTTGATATAATAATAAACATATTCATACTCTTATGTCCTCTTCTAATTGTTCATGTATTTGTAAGAAATCTGCCGCCTCTGTAAGGGTTGTGCCCATATCGCTATGACGACTGAGTGTAAATTGGATAATCTGTGTAATCCATGTTTGTAACTGCAAAAATAAAGATTTAACGTAAAAGAAGCAGTGTATAATGAAATTTAACAATTACAATAAACAATTGGCCTCTATACAATAACAGAATTTCAACAATGTCTCTTAATCCTTTGTGTAAATTTTAAATGAGGAGAAAAAAACAAACAAAAACTAGAACTGCCACTAACATGGCGTGAATACCCCCGCATACCACTTTGTCAGAATCAACAGTGGCCATTTAGAGCTCAAGGACAACCTCCCTGCCAAATCTTAGGTTACTAAGCCAGTGCATTGCTAAGTTATGTATTCTACATGCTTCAAATGTGAAAATGTCAAAATCAATACATTGCGGACAGGACATTCTTTAGCAATTGAGAAGAAAAGCTTTTTTTTTGTCAAGGTCCCTGTGACCTTGACCTTTGACCCAGTGACCTCAAAATCAATAGGGGTCACCTTATAGTCATTATCAACATCCATGCCAAATATGAAGACTGTGGGTCAAAGGAATCTTAAATTAATGGGTGGACAAACTTTTTGAAATCAAAGTCCCTATGACCTTGACCTTTGATCCAGTGACCTCAAAATCAAAAGGGGTCATCTACTAATCATGATCAACATCCATGCCAAATATGAAGACTGTGGGTCAAAGGAATCTAAAGTTATTGGGCGGACAAGCTTTTTGAAGTCAAGGCCCCTGTGACCTTGACCTTTGACCTGGTGACCTTAAAATCAATAGGGGTCATCTACTAATCATGACTATCCTCCATGCCAAATATGAAGACTGTGGGTCAAAGAAATCTTAAGTTATTGGGCGGACAAGCTTTTTGAAGTCAAGGCCCCTGTGACCTTGACCTTTGACCTGGTGACCTCAAAATCAATAGGGGTCATCTACTTATCATGACTAGCCTCCATGCCAAATATGAAGACTGTGGGTCAAAGGAATCTTAAGTTATTGGGCGGACAAGCTTTTTGAAGTCAAGGCCCTGTGACCTTGACCTTTGACCTAGTGACCTCAAAATCAATAGGGGTCATCTACTAATCATGACTGACCTCCATGCAAAATATGAAGACTAAGGGTCAAAGGAATCTTAAGTTATTGGGCGGACAAGCTTTTTGAAGTCAAGGCCCCTGTGACCTTGACCTTTGACCTAGTGACCTCAAAATCAATAGGGGTCATCTACTAATCATGACTAACCTCCATGCCAAATATGAAGACTAAGGGTCAAAGGAATCTTAAGTTATTGGGCGGACAAGCTTTTTGAAGTCAAGGCCCCTGTGACCTTGACCTTTGACCTAGTGACCTCAAAATCAATAGGGGTCATCTACTAATCATGACTAACCTCCATGCCAAATATGAAGACTAAGGGTCAAAGGAATCTTAAGTTATTGGGTGGACAAGCTTTTTGAAGTCAAGGCCCCTGTGACCTTGACCTTTGACCTAGTGACCTCAAAATCAATAGGGGTGATCTACTAATCATGACTAACCTCCATGCCAAATATGAAGACTAAGGGTCAAAGGAATCTTAAGTTATTGGGCGGACAAGCTTTTTGAAGTCAAGGCCCCTATGACCTTGACCTTTGACCTAGTGACCTCAAAATCAATAGGGGTCATCTACTAATCATGACTAACCTCCATGCCAAATATGAAAACTAAGGGTCAAAGGAATCTTAAGTTATTGGGTGGACAAGCTTTTTGAAGTCAAGGCCCCTGTGACCTTGACCTTTGACCTAGTGACCTCAAAATCAATAGGGGTGATCTACTAATCATGACTAACCTCCATGCCAAATATGAAGACTAAGGGTCAAAGGAATCTTAAGTTATTGGGCGGACAAGCTTTTTGAAGTCAAGGCCCCTGTGACCTTGACCTTTGACCTAGTGACCTCAAAATCAATAGGGGTCATCTACTAATCATGACTAACCTCCATGCCAAATATGAAGACTAAGGGTCAAAGGAATCTTAAGTTATTGGGCGGACAAGCTTTTTGAAGTCAAGGCCCCTGTGACCTTGACCTTTGACCTAGTGACCTCAAAATCAATAGGGGTCATCTACTAATCATGACTAACCTCCATGCCAAATATGAAGACTAAGGGTCAAAGGAATCTTAAGTTATTGGGCGGACAAGAAAAAACCGACGGACGGACGGCCGGACAGCCGGACGGACGGACAGACGGACGGACGGACGGACAAGCTGATTCCAGTATACCCCCCTTACAACTTTGTTGTGCGGGGGTATAACAAATAAGACACATACATTGATTAACTTTTCAAAGGCTTAATTTGTGTAATTAACTTGTCTTTTCAGAATTTTCAATTTTGATAGTCAAAATTAAAGGTTTTGCTTTAAAAAAAAAAGAAAAATTAAATTGTGTGGCCAATATGCAAGTAAGCTTGACATTATAATGGTGGTACAGTAAAACCTCTGAAAACTGGACCCTGCTCAGACTTGACCAAAATTCAGTTGTTTTTCCGAGGATTTCGGTTTTCAAAGGGTCCGGTTTTCGGAGTTTATACTGTATGGGAAGTCAGTATCCTCACTAACATTGAGAATAGTAACTTACACTTGAGTAAGATTCCTGGAAGTGAAGATATGTTTGGCTTCGTTCCCAGGCCTCAGCTCGTCTGGCCTTACAAAGGGACTCGAGTTCGGAACAGCGTTGCTGCAGCTGCTGCATCTAAAAATAGTTACAAATGCTAATTATAGAAACATTTCTTCATGAAAGACACAAACAAATATTTGTCAATTTATGTTTGTGTGATATTGTGTACTGAAAAATCATAATTATTCATGGGGCACTTATTTTTGTTATTTTCATTTTGTCTGCTTAAGATTATTTTTTTGCATTACATTGCACTTCAAGCTGTGAATTGTATTTTATGTACTGCTGAAAATACAATAAATAAACATGCACCTTAAATCAATACCAATAACCAGGATATTTTAAAAATAATGAAATGATATATTTATGCAGTTTAAACCACACATGTACAATCTACAGGTCTAGTGGATTAATTAAAATTAATGCAAAGACTGTGCTATAAAAAAAACAACTACTAATTCATATGAATTGAAAAAAAGAAACGTACCCTGTGTCTGACGCCATCAGCGCCGGAATCGTCCCTACTGACCCTCTCTAGTAGGAGACGACCCTCGGTCTGTGCTGCCGTAGATACCTCTACAATGACGTTAGACAACTGAGAATGGCGATCTGCAAGTTCCGCGCTATTCCTGGGTAAGTCCGTGCTGTTAAGTTGGACTTCAATCTCGCTTAACTTCGTTAGAGCCTGAAACACAAGAACAGTAATTTTGTAACAGAATAAATGGCAAAATTTAAAAAATGTCATCATTATTTTAACAACACATTGCTTAAAGTGTAAAGTTTATAAATTAAGAGAAACAGTAAAATAAAAGCAATTTGATATTTTTCTACTCACCGTTTCTGACCGGTCAAAGAAGGACACGGCCATTGTGATGTTCTTTCTGCGAGAGTCTAGTTTGATCATAAATTTCTCACTTTCTGTGTCAATTTCCAGTAAACGCTGTCGCACGCCCTCGGCTTCAATAGATGTTCTACGTAAGAGCTGGTCAGCATTACGGATCAATCGTAACACAGTGTCTTGGATGTCCTGTAAAATGTATTCAATGAGATAGACCTGATATTCTATTTATGTTAAAATCACATTCAAACTATCTTTCACTGATGAAGACCCAAAATTCGATGTCATGCATTATCAAAGGTATGGAAGGGGCAAAAAGGGCAAAATCAATGACCATCTATATCTGCTAGAAGAAAATCTTTTCTCATGAAAGAATACAATTCAATGTGCCTATCAAGAGCAACCATATGGTGACCAGCCAGCTTTCACCTTTGCTGCAAGATCCTAAATATTCAGGAGTATGCTGACACCAATAGCAGAAGCAATTATCTATAAGCTAGCTGGATAAATATTATCATTACATTTGATATGAAACAAAAATAAAATAGGGAAAAAATATGGAGGGACTTATACATACTCTTGCTTGTTGTTCAAATCTTTGGTGTTCGGCTTGGATTTCTTTAGCAGACTGGTATGAGTCTCCCAAGTCTGTTCTCTGGAGCTGCGCGTGCCCTGTAGTCCTGTACCAGGTTAATACCTACCAGAAAATGTATGAAAACATCTTAATATAATAATTATAATATTTGACATAACAAAAATTACATTTTTATAAGTTTTCAAGATTGGTCTATACAGACTAGTTTGACAGTTCTATTTATTATTATGAAATGTATAGACTTGGCAAATAATTGATCATTTATTTTATTCATCTGTGGTTTCACCTTTGTACATGGCTTTATTTTCTTACCATCACAAAACTTTGTTAACCTATGGTCACATAATAATTCCATTTGATTACCTCATTTATACACCAAGTATCACATTATTTACTTTAGGTCATATTGTCACCTTGGTGCAGTAAGGTGTTAACTCCCTATATAGTTTAATAGGAGTTAACCAGTTACTGTTTAATATGAGTTAACCAATTACTGATTAATAGGAGTTAACCAGTTACTGTTTAAAAAGAGTTAACCAGTTACTGTTTAATAGAAGTTAACCAGTTTCTGATAAATAGAAGTTAACCAGTTACTGCACTAAGGTGACGATATGCTCTATTCACCTATGATCAAAAGTAATCGCTTCCTTATGATAACAGATTCACCTATAGTCACATGATGATCACATGACCTTTGTTTTTTACCTTGTTTACTTCTTGGTCCAGTTGGAATAACTGTAGTGACTGTTCTAGGCGAATTCTGCGGGCTTCCCATAAATCCTCAAGCCTACGTCGTCTGTCTTGTAGCATTTCAAGTAGATGTTCAATTCCATAACACGCGGATGTTGTAGCGTGTCTGTTCGTAAAGTCTGCATGCATTCCCATTTCCTTGATTCGATCAAGCAGGGCGTGGCCTAAATCAAGGGTGGATTTCGATGCTTCGAGTATGTCTAAAAATAACAATAATTGAAAATACATTAAATTCTATCATATGACATATGGTTCTTTGTATATATATATTTTTTTTTCTAGTATGACGTTTAAAACAAAGTTCTCTTCGGAATATCAAATTCACATTTTTTATTCAAAGATTAAACTTAGTTTAGTTTTTTGGGTTGTAGCCAGGATAATAAACAGCAGAAAACTTGTCACAGATGTAAGGTACCTTGTTTGATTTCTTGATGTTGATGTAACTGTCTGCGTGCTGAGTCCACATCAGTAGCTAATGGCAGGCTGGCAAACCGACTCTGGGCTTGTTCCATCTGCGATTCGAACTGTAAAAGAAAAAATAGGAAATAAGTACATGGATGCACGTTAAAAATGTCAAGAAAACCTGAAAACCCTGAATTTAATTGGTTTTATATAGAAAAAGGGTGCTTTCATGAATTTAAAAAACTTGTACCCATGTAAGTATAAACCTATAAACAATATCATTAGAAGATATTATGAAAACATCCCAATTTCTTTAAAAATCCATTGAAAAGTGACAGCCATTTTAATGTATACAAGTATATAATAGATATGAAATCATGAAAAATTTATTTAACTTACAGAAAAGGGAAACTCTGCTAAATTGGTCAATAAAAAAGGCAATGAAATAAAGTCAAAAATATTTCTTACAGTTCTGGCTTTCTGATGGAATGTGACGCTATCAGTTAGTAGTTGTTTCCTATATTGCAATTTGTCGTTGAGATCCCTCCACGCTTCAGCGAGAGTGTCCGACATCGCAGAGTATACAACGGCCTCAGACCGGTTCTCAGCGGCGTAACTATCTGCTCGCGACAGGAGTTGTTTAATCTCTTCTTCTTTGGCCTGAAATAGAAAGTCTCATATCAAACAAGTGCTAGTGATCAAAATTAAAATACCGTAAAATTTCTATCAAATGCCCCTCCCCTAAGAAAGGGACCACCCAAGGTGTTTTGATAAGTAAAAAATCTACACATCAGTGCTGAACTCAAAAGTTTAATATTGAATAAAGTTAAAACACTTAGAATAATGACTGAAACTGAGAAAGTTATTTCCATTTAATAAGCTTGTAAAATAAAGAAAGGTTGGAATATTTCATTTCTTATTTTGAAATTAAATGTATATAAAAAATCATACAATTACATCATGGAAATTTATCAGTATGAAAACACACAAAAAAAATTTACTTTTCATTTTCAAAAATTTATAATTTATAAAGCATCAGTAATAAACTGATTTCTTAGGTAATTCTTTTTGCTCTTTATTGGACATTAATATATTTTAACAAAATATTTTTTGCACATTAAGATTAGTATACATATTAGATTTTAAGACTTTTTACAAAAAAAACCCATAATACTTGAAAGTTATTTTCTTACTTCTCATGAAATTCATCTGTTGAAAAAGAACATTAAATACTGAACAAATAAGTTAGAATAAAGAGCAGAATACAAGAGTTGTTTGAGAAATGACAAGTGTTCAACAAGTTGTTTCCACTACAGGGAGCCACCACAAACATTTCACCATCTTGATGACAATATTTATACCATGTGGCACTAATTAAGATAAGATAATAACATCAGTTTTTCACTCTAATCTATAATCATCTTAGTATGACAAGTCCATGCCAACATCCATACAGTCCTTTTACCTTACACTAATAAACTTTCCTATTTTTCATTCTGATTTTTCTTGACATATTTTCCCACTCATTTTCTTTCTAGATTTTACCTGCTATAGATCCATTAAAAACACACACTATTAAATAAAGATGTAGATTTAAAAGTAAATTATTTCTAATTATTATCCACATTTTCCAATAATTCTTTTCTTAAAATCATAAAGTTTTCTTAAAAGATTTGAACAACATCACAAAAGACTTCCCAGCTCCAAATGAAACTCGTTCCAAAAGCCCAGGAAGCAATGTTTTTCAAAAAGATAAACATCGATTTATTTTTGTCTCATCTTTTAAAGAATCAACACATGGCTTGTGTCAAAAACCTTGTTCAATTTTGAAAATGTTTATCAAACAATTTATTCAAATGGTGTCTTAAAAAGCTGTAGGGGTTGGTTTATACAGAAGTTATTTTAGTTTCGTTTAGGAAGCTTCCAATAACTCACTTACACACACTTACAATTTGTTACTGGAATCAACCAGTACTCTGGAATCAACCAGTACTAAGTAATAAGTGTAAAGCTTCTTGCTTAAGGAAACAATGGCCTGCCACTGACATAGTTCGAACCTATGCAGTCAGCAATCCCTAGATTAATAGTCTGTGGAATTTATTTCACTGCCAGAGTTGATAGAATTAACATAGTAAAACACTAATTATATAATATTTTGAATCAATTAAAGAGAGTACGCAGGAGAGGTGCTTTTAGCTTGAAATGCAGGACACAGACTCTCTAAGGTTTAAATGCAGGACACAGGCATCTTAATTTAATCTGATGTAGGTTGAAATCCCTGACTAAGGTGCTTACAGAATTTTTGTCCGTGCAGGATTTTCCATTTCAAAAAATATACATCCTTCATTTTAGCTGAGAGTTCTCTTATCAAAATTAATATATCTTCACTTATTTTTGGCATAGAACATAAATTTTAAAGCACTGACACTGTCTGGTATTATTTTTATACACCTTATCATCATTATTGAGTCCTCCTCTAAAACAGCAGGCCCACACTCCTATATTATATTATCTTAGAGATCAGGTAATGATATTCATCTTCTATATCTTATCTATTTGCAAACTGTACATGATTTATAGATATAGTCCATGTCTAAACTTATGGTTTTATCTGATTCCATAGCAATGGTATTTGTTATGAGAGAAAAAAAACAACAAATAAATAAATTCTAAATATATGACAAGAATTGGTATTTTCAAAAATGTTTAGCAGGTAAAGGAGCTTAAACATATGATTTTTACACAATTTCCAAATCAAATAAGGGCTGATGAGAAAAACTGGCTTGCTAAAGCGCCTCTTTTTGAGATCTTTTTGTTGTCCATTTTTTATCATGTGGTATAAATTTCTCCATCCTGATTGGTTAAGGGCAGGCAGTGTACCAGAAGAAATGGTTGAATTTTATTGATTGTGTAAGTCACCATCCATGAATGACAGTAAAATTATTGCTAAACATATTATTTCAATACTTATAATTATAAGGCTTTTAAAGTGACAGATATTTTTAATCTTGAAAGTGTATAATAAGCAAAGAAAAAATGAAAGAAAGTAGAGAGTCTGGGAGGTTTTTTCCCAATTATAAGAATATTTTCTACTTGTAGAGGCACTAATATTGCATATTTTTCTTGCTTTAGTCCTTTTCACTTCAGTCAAATAGAAAATCACACAATATCATTAGCCTGTCTGCAAATAATTCTTTTACTTTGGAAAGTCATTTTTATTAAAGATATCCCCCAGTTTCATTCTAACTAATACAATTTGGCTCTGAAGTTATTGCTACTGTTCAAAACTACAAAGTATTCCGGACTTGCATATTTTGTTATTTGCACTAAAATTTAAAATATCACATTTGGCCATCTTTATTGGGCCAATTTTCTTTACAGTAATGAATTTTAGCACATATTTATACGCCTTTCTATTGTTATAGTAATTGTCTATGTTTTTGTTGAAACTATTTACTACCTCCAAAGGTAACTGGACGCTGTTCGAAAGGTAATGATTACGTTTCTGACTGACTGCTGATTATTATCCTTCCTATTAAAAACAAAACATCAGCTTTGCCTCAAATGCTAGTAAATCTTCAAATATAAGTGTGCTACTGTTTGTAATAATGAGTAATCATTATGTTATGGAGGTAGAACTCAGATATTTATCAGGCAAACATCCAGTTGAAGTAAAGATAAGATCCAGTCTCAGCCACCTTCTGGTATGATATCAGGTTCCCACCTTTAACTCTAAAGAATTTATGTTATGGACCAGTTTTCAACTGTATATTATTAGTTATAAAGATTTTTTGACAGGTTATATGGCCCTATATAAACGGTTATAATTATTGCAAATAACTATTTATATAATATATACAGCCATATAACCTGTCAGAAATATTTCTAACAACTTTATAATACAGCAAGCATCTAGGTTAGAGAAAAAAGTGAGTTTTCTTCATAATGACAACAGCCGTCTATTTAAAACTATATAAACATCGCGATTATCCAATGAAAAGCTACGTTACAAATGTCCAAGTATCAACTGTATCAACCTGGACTGACTCTAACTTATGTGGCACAGACACAAAATTAACCCTGAATATGCCGAATATTTTAAATGGACTTTTCCCACTTCCACTTTTGGGACTGTTCATTATCAATTTTAGGGATATCAATTTAAATATTTAAAGTTTGTCAGCCAACAGTATAGAGCCTGGTCGGACTGCACTGATGTGCAGGCTAGCCTGGCTCTATACTGGGGGCAAAGGCTTAACACTTTTGTTTCCAGCACTTTAAATGTTAATTACTAATTAGAGAGATTTTACTTACTGAAGCTGTATCTACTTATGTTAGATATGAAACATATTTTCTTGAAGGATTGTGAGTCATTTTATATACAAGGTTTCTGAGTAATCATTCATCCTTTTACTTTACAGATAAGTGCTGATAAACATCTTCTCTCCCCTTTGATAATTTTATATAAACCATGCATGACCCTAAGTATTAAGATTACTAAAGAAATCATAAAGACATATTCATAAAATACAAGTCTGACCCCCAAAGCTATGGTGCAATTCCTGATCTTAAATATCATTCATCATAATTATGCCATTAATTTAGGGTTCAAGATTAATTTAAAGATAAGACTTGTCTAAATAAACCTCTAATCATCACCTTAGTGAGTGCAGTAACGGGTTAAGTCCCTCTTAATTCAATAGGAGTTAACCAGTTTTTGCACTAAGGTGACAGGACTTGTCTAGATGTAGGTGGCACTGCAGTAGTGTTGATGATAATAGAAAGTCCTTTGCAAGGACAGAAAGAAGGGTAACAATAACACACAAGGAAATGGCCACAGAAAAGACAAACTGGTATGTTAAAACAGAATTTGGTGGATACATACTTGTAGTTTGGACAATAATTGGTCATGTTCAGTCTGTAATTGGAGAGCTTCCTCTAGATTAGAGCCGACCTCCATCAGGTCTGGCTCCATCTGATGTACACGCACTCGAATCCATTCTCCACACTGAAAATATAACAACAATATTTACAATAGTTTAACCAGTTTGGCAATTACTTAGTTGGAAAGACATAATTCTTTCACTAAATCAATCCTTTATATTTTTTTTATTGTTTCCAAAATAATACATGTACTGACTACTCCAATTTACATAAAGTACCCTTTGTGTCAAAATGTCAGATTTATTTAAAGGGACTAAACTAAGGTTTTTTGACATGATGGGACTGGAAATAATTTTTCTTGATTAATGTTCCATTTGATATAGGTCTAGGTGTAAAACTTCCGATTATTCACTAATTACTCAGTTTTCTTTAATGATTACGAATGATAGGCTTGTAATAAATCATACAGTGGCTGAAGTGGCTGCATGCAATCTATACACAGTGAATTATACAGACTCGTAATAAATCATACAGTAAGGTTGGCATCAGCTTTACCAATTCCCCAAACTTCATATTTGTTATTCAGTTGCCATGGTTTATTTCGTTGGGATTTTTACAATATTTCACATCCAACATTAGCATTAAATTTAAGTACATTTTATAATATTTTCTTCAGTTATGACATACTTTCTGTTGATGAAAATAATACACAATTTTGTCATGTATACACACTGTTTATATAATGTCACACTGAAGACCTATGATCACATACCTATGAGGTATAATTTACTGCCAATATAATTTACACCACATGTGCATTAAGCATAATTATTATTCCATTTTCTTACACACAGCAATTACCTGGAACATATGTATACCACCTGAAAAAGCCTAATGGCTTATCAAGATAATCGGCAGCATAGCCAACTCTTGTTGAATATTTTTAAATGAAAACAATTCTTGTTCAGAAGATGTATGACTTTTCAAGCTTTGACTTAATATCATTATTTGTATCTTTAATATAACAAACCTCTTGTAACCTTTTCAAACATTTTTGTACATGTGTACTTCAGATATCTTTACAAAGTTCAAATTTCTGGTAGAAATCTACAACAAAAATTCTGGTTTATCACTCTCCATGACTAATTATTTTTGTATTTTTTCAAAAGTTCTTATAGATTCTTAGAACTGAGTGTGATGACATATAACGAAAAACCCTGATAAAGATTATTTCTGAATATGTTAACATATGCTGTATGTACACACCTCGAGTCCACAAAAAGCTAAATGTTCATCACTAATGGACTATAATTATGACCTTTTAAATAAGACGAAAAATATTTATATTTGAAACTATTATGATGAATCATAATAATAATTATATTGTCTCTGATCATTTTGATGTTTTTTTTCCATATCTTTTTATTTGAAATAATAAAAAGCTTATTTAATATCATCAAAATATTCCTGCCCAAATTCAGCAAATAATATTGATATAATATTCAATTCCAAAAGACAGAAATACAAACATGCTAAAAAATTGAAAAGAAAGGTGTATAAGGTGGGGTATAAACTTCAGAAGAAAAGTTATTTGTTATTGTTTGTCAGCATTTGCTGCTGTTTTTTTTTTCTTTTGTTTCAATATTATCTAATTCAAGTAAAAAGTATTATCAGCCTTCAGGTAAAAGAGCTATTGTTTAAGGGTGGATCTTTTCAGTTTTATATAACAGCTGATCAGTCTGTTTCATAACCAAGGGCATGGCCACCATTTTATTTTCATCGGCTGCTACACAGGAAGTCTGAATCACCATGGCTACTATCCAAAATTTCTCAAATTCCATTCCACCCAATATTTTATCTGATTTATACATATGTTCAATTTCTACCATTCCATTGAAATATATTATATATTTTGTTTATGATTCAATACTTGAAAATAGAGAAAAAAAGAAAGACAGCTATAGTTTAAGCCCCACCCACTGCAAAGGAATGAATATTTTTATACAGGTAATGAATGTTAATTTCAGTTTTTCAGGGAGTGGCTAAAATCTTAATATTTTTATGCTGTTAAGTCTTAGATAGATTTGAACAAGCAACAAACAAAATACAAAGTATATAATATATTGTAAATTGTCAAAAATGGGTTTTGTTTGGTTTCTTTATATGATTTTTTTTCAGAAATGGTGGAACCTTTATACAATAATTTCTATATCTTAATAAAAACAGCTAATCATGGACCAAAATATCATAAAAGAATGATATCAATATAACAACCTGAACACAAAATGCATTATTGCTTATGTAACCTTAAAGATATAACTGAAAAAAATGTTTATTTCAGCGAGAAAAACAAACCTATTTATATAATTAAGGGCAAGTAACTTACTCGGAGAATGGCTAGGACAACCTTAGACCGTCCAGCCTGCACGGCAACGGTACTGATGGTTGTAGTCGAGGGTGTCACCTCGGATAAATCCGTTACGTTGGACGCTCGATCCGACATATTTCTCTTTTATTTTTGCTGTTATATCCTCAATCACAAAAAGTTACAATCACACATTTGAAAGGTTAAAATTTCCAGTTTCAAAAGGGCGTAAGCTTTTTGCGGCATTAAAACTTTTTTAAAAATTAAAAAGCGAAAATTATGCAATTCACTTAATAGCAATGCATGCAGTTCGGCTCTTGTTTCCTTACTGAAGTTGTTACATATCTCAATCTACAACATACAGCACCTTGGACTGTTACACTTTTCATTTCTGAGAGGGGGGTTCAACATCTTAAACAAATCTATTCTGATAATTTTCTTCACAAAATAAAGATCCTAGGTTCATTTTCAATCTACACTAGAACACATAGTCTTAAATTCATCATATTCAATTCTTTCTAATATTTAATAAACGATTTTGTTTAGAAACAGGATTTTCAAACAACTACCATTAACAAATGGAATAATCCAAAACAGGGGAACCAGACTGGCAGAAGTAAGCTGGGTACCAGAAAACCTTAAAAGGCGTCTGCTATTTCCTATCAAGAGGTGAAAATTCATTCAGTTGTCTGGCTTCTGTAGATACAGGTAATAGACTAGCCCAGAAAATCTCCTGATGGCATCCTTGATAATGCTGATAAGCCTATGGCTTGCTGTTAAGTATTTCTAGCTATTTAGCCAGTCTCTATTACGCACATAGTTAACACCTGTGTATGAACAGTTATATTCAACTTATTTCATGCAGACTTATTTTTTTTTCTCATAGACAATTGGTGATTTATGACTTTATGAATGCTTTCATGATTAATACTTTACTTCATGATTTTTCTCCTCATGAAAGAAAAATGTTTTTATATTTATAAATATATAATGATTAAAATAACTTTATTTCAAATAGATTTTCAAATTTAAAACATTACATTTTTCATGCCATTCATGACTAATGTTTTATTTCTTAATTCTTCTCCTCATGAAAAAAAACAACAAAACAACATCACATGCATATGTACTGAAATGTTTCATCGTGATAAATTTATAATGATTTAAATAACTTCATTTCAAATAAATTTTATATTTTAGAACATTAAATTTTAATGCCATACATGTATATATCTAATGGAAGAAATTTTAAACCTTGCATTTTAATGACTCCAAAATGCATTGCAATGCAATTTGAGTTTTCCCTTGTATTTAAAATAATACCTTCAAATTTTAGTTATCCCTTGTATTTAAAATAATACCTTCAATAATTTAAATATGTGGTGCTATAACAACAAATAATAACCATCTTTGATATACATTAATAGTTTAGTCAACTTACTAGAATTAAATTGTTGTTGTTGTTTTTTTGGTTGGGTTTTAAGTCGCACCAACACAGTATAGGTCATATGGCAACTTTCCTGCATTTCAGATGCCTTACAATGCATTATTTCAGACATGTACCTGCATTTCTTTTGAACCACCAACATTCTGTAAGCTCGCTATATAGCTTCCTCACATGTAAGACTCCTAAGTCAATGTCTGGATTCAAACTCACAGCAGTAAGGGGCAAGTGGTTTGAAGTCAACAACCTTAACCACTGGGCCACGGAAGCCCCCAGCTAATGTTTATATGGGTGATAAATTTAAGCAGATAACTAGGGCTTTCATTAGGTCATATCATTAATATGATTTAGAGAATGTTTTACAAATTTCTGAAACAGGGCTTTTGATAATTTCTTGTTCAGCTCTTACAATAGTCAGTCACAGGATAACCACAAACAAACGAATGAACAAACGAATGTTGAGTGTCAGTAGAAAGTATATGAATGAGTCATTTTGATAATTTAGTTAAATAAATATATTTTTGTCCCTATAGGCATGTTCTGTTGTTGTTGTTTTTCTATTTCAGAAGGCCACATTGAAAATAAGATATATATGATTGCTGTAGTATATTCTTTATGTCTTACCTTTTCTAAATAATGATATTATTATTATTATGTGTGCAAACCTTATGCATTTTTTTTCTTTTGTAAGTTTCTAAGTCACTCAGATATTGATGAGACATAATTGTGATTTTATGCTTAAATATTGAACTGCGGAAATTCTGTGCATAACGCAATAAACCGATAAACGGTCTGCAGAATTCTGTACATACTGCAATAAACAAGTTGCAGGAGTGACAAGAGATAGAGAAAATCCTATGTATACATCATCACCACACAGGTTCTGTAAGAGATATATACACCTAGTTTTATAACCAGTAATACCTGAGTTTTGATTCTACTCCAAAATTTCTTGTGATTCCAAAACATCTACTGAAATATGCTAGTTTCCATGGTAATAGAGATAAACAGACTGACAAGACACGATAAGCCTTCAGGCTTCTTAGATGTACCTGGCTATGATACAGGGAGAATGCCACAATGTAAACAACATTATGTTTTGATCAGATAAGTATTCGTCTGATGATGTATCAGTATGTATCCATGTTGAAAAAATGAATTTGGTGTGTTGCAACCTTGCTAGGTGATTAAGATGATTTGATAATTGCATATGATATGCTATTGATGACGGGTGATTATAATGATGATGATTATGATTGATGATGATGATTATAATGACAAAAAACACATGACAGAAAGTTCATTACCCATCAGTGGACTTATCAGTTCTAGAAATTCCTCATAATAAAAGAGTTAAATAACTTAAACTTATTAATTTGGTAGCACTGTGAATTCACTTAAAAATTTTTGTGCGACAAGAAATTTCTGTTTTGAGCGGTACTTATAATTCATGGACATTTAATAATGAAGATGCAAAAAACTTACAGCAGACAATATAAATTTATTAAATGATAGATGATGATTGATGTATGACTATAATGATGATGATGACTATAATGAATGATACAATGACGGCATGATGGTGATGATATTGATGATAAGATGTGAAAATACCTAATTGAAAATCAATATAATTTTAAAAGAAATTCATATTGGCTACACAATTTCAAGTCACTTTCCACATTTCCTGTTAAATATTTATTAATGTTCATGGAAAAATATTAGACAGCATGCTTATTGCCAAGTTAATCTATTTCACACTGTTATCAAATGTATTTATGGTCTAACTCTTGATTTCATGCCAAATTATTCAAAAACCCTATGACTGTTTGCTGGAAATGATTCAAATTTTAAGCATTCCAACAGAATCTGTTCATACTTTATACATTTTAGTTTTTGAAAATCTGAATAATTTCAATATAATGGGTTCAGGATTTACAGTTTAAACTTTAAAGGATATGTATACTTTTTTTAATGGAGGAAGACCACAGAGGTCCTGCAGTTATAACACCGTGAAGAAAACTGATCCGACTGGTGACTACCAGTGCAAACTGGATCTTTGATTTCTACTGCGCATTATATAGCATTATATGCCTAGCTGTCACTATTCTTATTACAAAATATTTCAGATAATCTGTCAATTTTTTTTCACCTGTTTTTGGGCCAACAATCTTATACAACTGCTTCGAGAACAATAATTTTCTGTCTTTGTGACCTTGACCTTTGACCAAAATGAGTATGGCAAATAGGACTCATCACAGTGCATCTACATACAAAATTTGAAGTTCCTAGGTCAAAGCACTTGAATTCAATTACCAGTTAAATTTTTTTTGTTATTACAGGTTCTAGTGACCTTGACCTTTGACCTAAAAAATTTGTGTGGCAGGTAGAAAATATCAAGAGGCATGTAGAGATAAAGTTTCAATGAAATAGCTTAGTTAGTATAAAAGTTAATGACCATAATATTATACGAAAGCTTATCATAAAATGTTTTACAACCAAGACTTTGGAGCTCTTTGCAAAATAGTTACTGACTGAAAAGTGAACACTGAAGAACATGGCATTGATTTTAAATGTGATTATAGCTTTCAATGACTATTCATTTATAAAGAGAGATTTTTTAGTAAATTTTTACATAGCCACTGTTATAAACATTACAAAGTGTATGGAAATTTTATAATTACCTCTTCCATTTCTCGTTGAAGGTTTGGTTTTTGTTCTTTGTCCGACACTTTCAACTCATCATCCAAATACTTGGCACGGGATTTTAATGCTTGACTTATTTCTTTCTGAACCTCTTCTTTAGTTTCAACAGGTTTTGATTCTGTTTCACCAGTCTGAAATTTTGTTAATAATTCTTGGAAACTTTTCGGAGGACTGTCCGCCCGTCTCGATATTCGCACTTTAGGCATGATATCAACTTTTGGTGGTACATCGTGTTTCTTTATATCCGGTTGGCTTTTAGATATCGGTAAAGTATCTGGAATCATGAAAGCCGCAGAACGTTTAGACATATCTGTGTCTGATTCAGAAGACATAGAATTTTGTTTCCTATCATGTTCAGACAATGGTTTTGTTAAATTTGACTCTTTCGGTTGATACTGTCTTGATGATTCTGATTGAAAAGAGTCCGGTTGAGAATCTGGTTTGTATTGTGAATGCACAGATCTACTAATATCAGGTAAAATTTGTTCTTCTATATTTGCTTGAACACTTGGCTCCGGTTGTGACAGTTCTTGGTAATATCCTACATGCTCCGGCTGTGTGTAAGATTGCTCTGATGAAGGTATTGTGTACGCGTAACTATTTTCCGGTTGAGGTGACGGTTCCCGGTAAACCTCCATTGGCTGATCACTTGTGTGTTTATACGAATAACTTGATGGTGGAACATGTCGTGAAAAGTCTTCTGATTTAGGGTAATATGACTGACTAACATGTGGCTGTGACTCAGAACTGGGAATATTTTCCTGTTTATTTTGTACCTGACCCACATAATGGCCATTGGTCAATCCTGAATCAGCTTGATCACTTGGTCTTGACCTTTGATCTTGACTTTGTTGCATTTCTGCGGTTCTACGTCTTAAACTATCATGTTTTGAAATGGGTCCCTTTCTTATTCTCTTAGGAATGTCTTGTTTACTAGCACTGCTTCCATAACCTGGTTGTCCTAGAGATGACCTTTTGGGAAGAGTTTGAGATTTCTGACCTCTTTGCGACTGAGTCCTACTTGGCAAGGTTGCTGACCTCTGACCTTGGTCTAATGGAATAGACTGTATAGCTGCAGACTTTGATATTTTGGGAGTTACAGAAGGTGGTTGACCAGTTTTCTCCATCTCTGACCAGAACCTGTTCAATTCGGACATCTTATGGTCCATTTTACGTAGCCGGCTATTTATAGATTCGGAGGCACTCTGATCTTCAGTACTAAGCTTTTTCTCCAAACTAAAATATAAAAATTTAACAATATTACATTTAGACTCTTTTACTTATTTAAGATAAGATTTATGAATATGTCCACATACATGTACATAACATGCAACAACAACTTTTAAAAGTGACATTATGCTCATTTATTTTGCTGTCAAGACCAGCAGAATTAGTTATGTATTTCAAAAAGATTGTTTATTAAAATGGTCATTGACCCATTATTGATATTGAAAAAAATGTTTGCAATAAAATGTAAAAACTACATAAATTATAAAAAGACTGCCACACTCTTTATAAAAGTTGAACATATAAACTGTTACATAACGAACAATATTTATAGAAATTTCAATTGGTCATGTGGATTGATAAATATTTTTGCATAGGAAAATGTAAGATTTGACACATTTATGGCAAAATGTAAAGTTATCTTGACTTTTAGCTTGGCACCATTACACTTAAATGGGCATAATGCCACTTTAACATAAGTGTGATACAAATTAATATAGAATTCCATTTAAAGTTTTCTCTAGAAATTACTGTGTTTCAAAAACTTGTCTTATTTAATTTTGGACAAAAACATTTCTTTGCAGACAATAAAACCTTAATATAAATGTAAGTAAATATGAAGTTTCAAATCAATTTGTATAATGACTTTTTCTGTTTAAAGCTAAAATTACACTTTATTTAGAAGGCAGACAAACAAAACATTCAGAATAGCAGGCTAAAAGATGCAAAGAAAATTAACACACCTGTCAGAATGGAAAAAAAAATAGAAAAAAACTAGACCTATCACTACAGATAACTGGTAACCCTTGTCAGCATTTTTGTGCAGGAAAGGAAAAATTATAAATTATATGCTGTTTTTTTTTAACCTACATAAAACTGTGCAGGGAAGGAAAAATTCTAATTTATCTATTTATGTTATGTTTTTGTTGTTTTGTTGAGATCTATACAACATTATGAAGTAAAATATTTTGTAGTCTTAACCGTTTTGAAGTTGCCAAAAAGACATGCCCCAGACAAAATTTACTTTTCTGATAAACAAAGGGTATTGATATTGTAACAAAAGGGTACCAGTCAAGAGTTGGGTAATAGTTCATGCATCCGGCATTTTCTTAAACTTATATATCAATCTTTTTCATGATCTTAAAAAGTTGTTTGAAGTTTCTTTTATAATCTACAAACTCAAAATTAGAATTTGATAAAGGAAACAATTTTACAGTTCTTGGACTCTGAACTTCTCAAAGCTGTCATATATATACCATAGAAAATCATGTGAAAAATCGGCAAGCCACAGCCAGGACTCAAACCACCAGTGTCTGGATTGCCGGTCAAGTTTGCTAACCACTTCACCACAGCGGCCATCACATTTACTTCGTCCAGAGACCCATGGTTCAAGTCCTGTCTGCAGCATGCTGATTTTTCGTGTGATTTTTCTGTGTATAATTTCCCGCTCATGACTTTTTTTCTTTCATTTATATGTCAAAGTTAATCCTAAATTATGTTTTAAAGATAGGACTACGACAATTCCAACAAATTAATTTACCACAGACAAATTAGCACCAGGTAAACAATGCACTTCTTCTAGTCTCTATCTATATTTCAAGTTTCAAGTGAATCCCCTCAATAGATTTCTAGAGTTATTCTACAGACAATTAGTTTATCACATTTATTTTAGTTCAGTTGTGTTCGAAGCTATAAGCTTATTGAAATACTCTTAAATCCGTTCCTGCAACCAAACACTATTAAGTAATGAATGTAAAGTGTCTTGCTCAAGGAAAAAACGGCTTGCCCCAGACAGGGTTCAAACCCACTCGGTCAGCAATTTTTAGATAACTAGTCCTACTCATTAACCACTCGGGCCACACCACCACTACAGACAATTCAACTGCTTAAAGGGAAATCATCACAAATGGGATCAGGTTGAAGCTTCAGTTTTTCCTCATCACCATCTATCTATATTTTGAAGCAAATCTTTTGGCAAATCTCTAAAAACAAAGCAGTCCTCTTGACAATTTGTATTAGAATATAAGAACACAAAAATCTATATCCCTCTGATATTGACAATACAATAATAATGATTAATATGTCACTTCAAGTAAAAACAGTGCAGCGACTTTTGCTTCAACCTTAATTAAATTGATTTAATGTTAATTGGTATGGTTATAAAGTGTAAGCCAATGTAATAATGGAAATGCTGTGCAGAGGATATAAAACAAAAAACAAGCTACACGTCTATGACAGATCAATATGATAGCGCCACAAAAAAAAATGTTAAACATTTTTGTATGCTAAAGTGAGTAGTTAATAACCATACAGTGAAATTAGAGCAGTAATACTGATGGAACAGGATAGTATCAATGATAAACACATAGAAAACATCTGACATTATTTCCCATGTTAATGATGCATGTATCACCTTAAAAAATAACAGTGTCACATAAGAGAATGAGAAAGTGGCTTATTCACCTTAAAAATAACAGATCACATGAGAGAAAACAACTATTTTTTCCTTAAAAATAACAGATCACATGAGAGAAATGAATATTTTTTCTTTAAAATAACAGATGAAATAACAGAAAGTGACAAATTCTCCTATAAAATAACAGATCACATAAGAGAAGGAGAGAAACAGACTAATACTCCTTTTTTACAGAAAAATGTCATGCAACAAAAAAGACCAACAGGTCTAGTATCAACTCCTGGCTGCTAAAATTCTACTGCACCCAATTTCTACTTGTCTTTAGTTGTTTTCAATACTTTTTTACTGTTGCCTTTCACACCAACACACTTAAGGTTTTATGTATCTCTAAGCTAGCTCAAAGACAAAAAATAATTGTATCTAATTTTTCTAAACTAACATAGAAACCAATTGATAAATGTTTTAATAAAACATAAAAATAGTGATCAGCCAAAGTTGTAGAGCTTGACTAAAACATACAATAAATTTCCACAAGTTAACATTGACATACCGTCAAGGTCACTTTTAGGTAGACGTCAAACTTGAATAATTTAACTTGTCTGTTTTGCTATTAGTCAGTGTTGTTTTATTTGATTATGCATAAATAATAAAGTTATCACAATGAAAGCAAAACTCAGTTATGAATAACTTGAATTTCAAGTCAATGTCCTTAAAAGGTTAGAATTATTCAACAAGTTGTTTTTGTCATTAGTGTTATTTGTCCAAGTGTGAATCAAGTTGTCCAAGCGTGAATCAAATCTCTAAAATATAAGAAAGTCCTTACCTCAATTAAAGCAAATTTAAATAATTTAACGTTGACAGTTAAGGTCACATGTCCAAGTTCAAGTTAAATTTGAAAATAAGTAAAGTTCTCACTTGAAAGTCAAGGTCATTTAAAGGTCAAGATCATTTCCAAATCATTCAATATTACAGTTGTTTCTCAAGTGTTGTGCATGATTTTAGTCCATAAATAAAGCTTCAGCAAATTTAAGCAAACTTCAATAACTTGACCTTGATGGTCAAGGTCATTTTAAGGTCAAAGTATATTTGAATTAATGAGTATGTTGGTTATTTGGTAAGCATTGTGTCCAAGTATGAGTGCAATCCAGTCATTAGTTACATAATTATAGCAAATAATAGCAACATATACATTATCATGTATAACAGAAAATAAGATAACTTAACCTCAAATGTCAAGATCATTTGTAAGTCAAGGTCATTTTCAGTTTGGTCTTCTTGAAGGTCTTGTCCTAAAGGTTGCTTAATATCCAAGAATTAAGACAATACATTCATAAACAATAATGTCATAGCCAGTTGTACCAAAAATCAAGCAAAATTGAAAAATTTGACTTTCAAGGGCAAGGTCTTTTATGGGTCAATGTTAATTTCAGTCTAGTTTACTTAAAGGTTTTGTTCAAATAATTGTTGTTTCAAAGTATGAATGCAACCATAGAGAAATAGAAAATAAATGATCAACATTAAAATTTTCTGATGGCAACTGCAACAAAAGGGTCTGAAAAATCGACCTCTAAAAATATGAAAATATCTACATTCAATCTTGTGAAAATGTTAGAAAATGATTCTGGCATACACGCAAACCAAGCTAAAGGGGAGTAACTCTGTGAAATTATACCTGTCTGGCCAGATAGTGCGCTCTACCCCTGACCTGGTGTCATTTTTAATGATACACAATCATTACAGTAATATTAAAATTTTAAACATAAAAAAGTGTCCAAAATGTCTCATCCACACAGATATTGGTGTATTTGAAAGGAGCTTTTAATTAAGTTAAATTTTAAATTTAACGAAAACTTTCATATGAAGATTCTGGTGTTGAAAGGCCCTATGCTACCTTATCATACATTATTTCAGACACTTGGTAGAATCACTGATATTCCAGAAGCTAGCTGGATACCTTCCTCACAAAATAGACTTAGTTGGGAATTAAGAATATTTTGGGTTTCCCCAGCTAATCCAGGGGTACAAACAAACTTTTACAGTTACAGCTTTCGAAAATATGTGCAATAGGGTGACTTGTCAATGATAGTTTGCATGAAGCTATAGCGGTAAAAGTTTATTTGTACTAGGGGATTAGCTTGAAAAAACTCATATTTACAACAACTATTTCTTCAACATTCCTAGATGGACCCATATGTTATTACTTTCTCATAATTTAGTCATAATGTCTAGTTTAAGTGAGTCAAAAAAATGCAACAAATTCTTAAAAATATTCACTATAAAAGTGCCAGAACAATATTCATGATAATCCCAAAATTACCACCGCTCTCCTTTGATTTGTATTTTGGTTTTACAAAAAAAAGCTAATGTTGAAATTTTTGTGCTGGTGTATATCTCAAATACCGTACTATTTAAATTGACAATACCCCCAAAAAGCACACAAACATTCATTTTAGGTCTCATGATTATCCCAAAAGGTTAAATGAATAAATAATTCTTTAATACTAACCCGTCAATCACAATGACCGGAAGTGCAAGTCGCTCCAACAGAGCGCTCCCCATTCTACTTGTATCTTGAACCTCCTTCTCAACTTCACCTTTCTCCGGGCCGAACCGCATCAAGGCATCACGTACAGATATATCCCCCGTTAATGTCTGCGCTACAACAACCATTAGTTGTTCTACTCTTTCCAAAAGCTTTAAATATTGAAAAAAGTTATTCAATTTCAAGTTATACAAAGTTAACAGATAACAAAAATTAATGGTAACAAGGATGCCGAGTTTACAGTTATAATACAGGTTATTATGTTATGTTATTATTTTGGTATGTAATACTGGAAACCATCAAATATTCAAATTTAAACGGTAGTTCTCTGTACTGTAAATAACCATTAGGCTTAACTATGTGCCAAGACAACTGATTTAAGGATCCTCTGTCCTTATCTTATACCATAATAAAGTATAATATACTGTATATGATGGCATTTATCATATTTGTTGTTCATGTGCAGTAACCATTTAAGTGATTTATCATAAGCACATATATGATATCATAACCACATATATAACATCATAACCACATATATGATATCATAAGCACATATATGACATCATAGCCACATATATGACATCATAGCCACATATATGACATCATAAATACATATATGACATCATAACCACATTTGTAACCTTATAACCATGTATATGACATAATAATCACAAAAAATATATGACATCATAAGCACATAATATCATATGACAGACTATCATTAATAAAACAGTAATGCAATCTTTCAAACAAACTAGATCTACATCATTTCAAACACTTGTTTATAGCCAATTTCATCATGGATATACTAAAATAAATAATAAAAAAAAATGTCATTTCTTTAATTACAGTGTATTGTTAAAGGATTCTGATTCTTCTTCTTCATCATAGTTAAACTTAAGCAAAATAAATATTATATCTTGGTTTGAAACTTAGAAATGAAAAACATGTTAAATTATTTGTTTACCTTATCTGACTGAGCTAAAAACATGGATGCCACATTAAGGCGGTTGGCGCGTTCATTGTTACCCATTGAGAACCGTTTCCATGCCTCCTCTAGCCGATGCACTAGAATGGTATTGGGTTCGAGCTCCATACGAAGCGAGCGGCGCAGCACCAGTGCAGCTTGTAGCAACTGCTTGCCGTACTCATAGGTTCCCTATCAATATCAAACATAAAATTAAGTTTATATAAGTTTTTTAAGATTTTACTTCCAATCATTTCAGGTGGTTTTTTTTCTAATTCCTACTAACCATTTATATTCCTTATTTCATGTATAGAGGATATTTAATGAGTGTAGATTTAATACAAAATTTATTGAACGAGTCAAATAAAATCATATTATGCGAGCCTCTGTTCAATAAATTTAGTATAGAATCTACACAAATATAATATTCGATTTATCACATATTTAAAATAAGAACGTTTTACAGTTTAAAAAAAAGTCATTTTTCATTGACATCCCTTAGTGTAACACTTATAAGAGTATTAGCACATTTAAACACTACATTTGTATATAATACAATAAGGTCATATGTTGCCATGATAAATTATTTTGAGCTTTAGAGAATCTATCAGCAGACCAGAAAGATTTTAATAATTTACGTAAAGGACAACCCCATGATTATTCCTATCCGGTTACATCCAAATCCACCAAATAGTTTGGGAAGAAATGTCATTTAAAGGTTTTCTATTGGAGCTCTGGCAGCCAGGATCAAATTTGGCAGGTTTTCTTAGACCATTAAAGGATCTTTCCTAAATAGTTTTATAGCAATTTGCCATGATTTCAAGGGAAGATGTAGTTTAACGCAAAATGTTGACAAGGGATGCTGGATACAGGATGACCTGAGCACAGCATGAACAGTTACAACTTTAAATCTTGGCAAACTATAAAAAATTTAATCAAGAAACAAATTAAAAAGGCATTTCATAATATGATACGGTGTTTAGTTTAACAGCACAAAAGTGTAGTTTTGATGGCATAATAATTGTGTACAAACCCCTGCTGTCGTCTCCACCTGGCGGTGCTCCTCCTGTAAGCTGTCAATTTCCTGTGGCGACTGACCTATATGTGTTTGTGTCTTCAACATAACATCACATAACTCCACTATCCAACTGATAGCCTGAAAGATATTATAAATGTTGAAACTAATTATTCCACCCATGTAAGTCTTTAATTTTATAAGCTATCTATGTTAATGTTTAAATCAATATTCTATCTATGTAATAGAATCATTTTTTCATGGATGCGCCTACAGTGTAACGCTAAAATTTAGGGCGTTTTTAAACTATGTTTGTACAACGTAAATGACATCATATCAAAATATATACATGGCCATGCAATACCATTTTTATTGAGTCAAAAAATCCGCATGAGTATGTGATAATTCATTATATAGTCTTTTTATGAGATTTTATTGTGTTTGCTATGCCATACCTGTTCTGCATCTTTTTCACAAGTGCGTAGCTGTAATATTTGCTGCAGTTTAAGTTTTCTAACTTCGGCTAGGTCATCACATCTCATCTTCCTCTCTTGTAACTCCTCTAAACGCTGATTCACATGTTTGATCTGACCGGCGTAATCCGGTGATATATCCTTACCAGAGGCATTTTTGATTGGTCGAGACATTTCATCCAATAAACTGTGGCCATCTTGCATCGCTCGACTGGCAGATAAATCTGAAGTGAGGATAGCAATGTGAATGTTTCAGAAACCAGCACTGAATCTTGAAAGCATTACTTATTTCAACACTTAATTTGATGGCTTGAAACCATTACTAATTACAACAGTTAATTTGATGGTTTTAAACCATTACTCATTATAAAATAACTGAATTCTGATGGCTTGAAGGCATTACTACAATAATTAAAACAAAACTGAATTTTGAGGACTTGAAATATAACTAATTAAACAACACTGAATTTTGGTGGCTTCAAAACATTATTGATTATAACAACACTGAATTTTGATAGCTTGAAACCATTACAAATTACAACAGTTAATTTGATGGTTTGAAAGCATTACTAATAACAACGAATCCCGGACAATCCCCCTCCCGGACGATTCCCCTTCCATATTATTTTCACAACTCGGACATTTCCCCTCCCGTTATTTTAATAGGGCGGACTTTTCCCCTCCCGTTAATTTAGCAGAGCGGACAATTCCCCTCCCATTTTTTAGCAGAGCGGACAATTCCCCTCCCGTTTTTTCACATTCCGTATACAAAAAACTATAACCATTCTTATTAAAGATGACAGTTTTTACTCTTAACAATAAACTGTTAAAGATCGGAACTTTTAACAATCATTATTTCACAAAAGTGACATTATACCGCCTTTAATCATTGCCAAAGCTGCTTAAGATAAACAAACTGTCAATAAAAAATCTTTAAGCATTGCCGCTCTTAGTTAAATGTGTCCTTGATTGCAAAACCAATTAAAAATGAAGGAGAATATTCCTACAAATGTGTTCAATCATATATAAAATCAAAATGATCACTGATATTTTGTGTTAGGACTTCATGTACTGATTCAATATGGTGAATATGATTTTCTAAGATGACAGTTCAATTTACTATAACATGTGCATAATATATTCTTTGCAAGAATCTACAGCTTAATTGTTTTTTTGTTCTTATCAATTGTTCTTTTATTGTTTTGCCGCTGCAAAAATGTATATACCTTTCAAATAAACAATATTATATAATATATATATTCAATAGCCACGGGAGGGAAATTGTCCGCTCTGACAACAGGGGGAGGGGAATTGTCCGGGTTGTTAAAAGAACGGAAGGGGAATTGTCCGGGTTGATAAAAGAACGGGAGGGGAATTGTCCGCCGTAAAAAAAAAAACGGGAGGGGAAATGTCCGGGTTGTGAAAAAACATTCAAATTTACTGGGAGGGGAATCGTCCGGGAGGGGAATTGTCCGGATACCAATAACAACAACACTTAACTTTTGTTGGCTTAAAACCATTACTAATTACAAAAACACTGAATTTTGATGGCTTGAAAGCATTACTATTCAATATTTCATTAAAACAAGAGCCACTGCCATGTGGAGGCCATGCTTCACTTATTCTTTATATTTCATTATACTTTTAAAGTCAAAGTAAACACATCCGGGGGAAAAATAACATGGATTGTTTGCTTATGTTCATGATTTCAGTATTATATCCACCTATAGCATCAACTCTTTCCTTCAACAGTTCTAGTGCTTCTTGTGCTGCCTCAACAGTGTCTGCTTCCTTGTCATTATACAATATCTCCAACAGGTCATCCAGTTTTCGTGAAAACTACAAAATATAATCATAATTTTCTGTAACTCATATGCTAGATAATTTGTTTATGAATCATGTATAAATCATGTTTCCTTATATGACCAGGCCTCGAGGTTATGAAACTTTTTTCTGAGTTCCGTCTCAAATCTCAGGATTTTCATTGGTCACTGAACATTCAGTGACAGTTTCTAACCAATCAAATACATAAGAACTAAGTTTGAGCTTAGAATATATTGTGAAATTACTATTTTTCAAGCTGAAATCACTAAATGCTTAACCTATAGTATTGTTTTTCAAGTTAAATCATTATTGAATTATAAAAAATTCACAATTTTACAAGTTAAAGTTAAATATATTTATTCTAAAACCATTATTTCTAAGACAAAATCAACAAAAAAATATACATTTAAAAATGATTTTACCTCTTCAGTTAACCTATGGAATCTGACAGACGTTATTAGAAGGGTTCTCCGCCTTTCTAATCTACTTGCAAAGCTTCTACAGACTGTGTCCATGTAGTCACGTTGTGCACGAATGTCATCTGTGTACTTGGCTCGTGCATCAAACAAATCCTCGGCACGATGGCGAAGTTCTGCATAATGACCGTATGTATCCTAGAAGTTGAAAAAAAAGTTTAAAACACACATTCAGCCAGCCATACACTGTGTAAGTAAATAATTTTTGTGTGTCTAAAAGTTAGCAAATTAAAATTACAGACATTTTGCGTGAGAAAATATTAGCCGATCATGCAAGGGTAGAATTTAGTGACATGTTGGTTGAAATTTACGCTAGAGGAAATTCAAAATGGATTTTTGTCAATCGAGAAATTCCCCAATATATCAGCATCGTTAATTTTACCACTTATATAGTATTTCACAAGCTTATTATCAGCCTTTTACTCTCAAAACGTCTACATGTATTTTGTTGCACTATTTTTGGAAATAATTGCAGTTCTGCTGACCTTAATGACCTCAAACTCAATAGAGGTCATCTATTTGCAAACACTGTCCATACTACTAGGTATAGGGCAGCACAACTAGAAGTTATCAAGATACTGAGCAGATATTAATCTATACCAGTTATTTTAGTTCAATTGTGTTTGAACCTATAAGTTTATTGAATCACTCATCAATTCCTGGAACTAACAAGTGCTTTGCTATGAGTGTAAAGGTTCTTACTCAAGGACACAACGGCTTGCCCCTGACTGGGTTTGACCACACACAGCTAGCAATCCTAAGATTACTAGTCTGACGTGTTAACCACTCTGCCTTGCCGCCACACTCTGAGCAGATACTGATGTGACTTACAAACAGTCAGATGAATGGAACAACTCCATACCATTTTATAATGTAATTAACCTTAGCCAAATAAACTGCCATAGTTATACATGTATAGCTAAATGCTAGACGCATTCATTGTAAAGAAGCATACCTCCAAAACTAGTGTCAATTTTCATGAAAATTTGTAAATAATTAACAATTAATAATAAGAATCTGTGTTTAATGAGGGTCAATACGCCATTTTAGGCACTGACAGTATGGACCCCAATAAGTCCTTTGGTTTGTGAATATTTATGCATTTCTTAAACAACTGATATGTAGAAAATATTAATAATAAGAACACTTGTTTACACATCTGACTGGTTTCAGTTTAATTATACATACACATCTTGCTTGTTTTTTAGTTTAATTATACACATCTGACTGGTTTCAGATTAATTATATAAACACATCTGACTGGTTTCAGATTAATCATTTAAACACATCTGACTGTTTCAGATTAATCATTTAAACACATCTGACTTGTTTCAGATTAATCATTTAAACACATCTGACTTGTTTCAGATTAATCATTTAAACACATCTGACTGGTTTCAGATTAATTATACAAACACATCTGACTGGTTTCAGATTAATTATACAAACACATCTGACTGGTTACTTACTGTGCATTTGATTTCTAATTCTTCATGTCTTTTTCTCAAAACTTCTGCTGTTTCGTACGAGTCCCCTATATCAGACTGGGAGGCCAGTAATTTCTCCCCTGGTCCTAATATCCAATCAACAACCTGTATAATCAAATATAATATTTACAATTCTAACAAAACCTCATTAAATAGAGAATACAGTTTTCAAAATAATAATAATAAATACTTCCAGTATTCCATTTTTAATAAATATTTTGATAATTATTACTTTCACATTATAAATTTCTGGAAAAAGAGGAAATCTCTCTGAAGCAATGAAAATAACAATATGGAAAGGAAATTGTTATCTTTGATTTAGTTTCTTCATAAGAGATAATGTAAATGTGCAAAATCTCTCAAACCTTCAGCCTAAGTGGAATTAAATCTTTAGCAATTAACCTTAAATCAATGATACCCAAGGTCCAGAAAAGTATAACAAGACTATAGTGAAGTAAGAGGGAAATTTTTTAACATCTGCCACACAACATTTAAAACACCAAAAGTCATTACTGTTTCTAACAAGAGGGCCAATATGGCCCTGGACCACTCACCTGAGGAATATTGCTAGAAAAGGTCACAATTTCAGTTTGAGCGCAAATTTGGTTTTGCATTTTTTTACCAAAGTATCATAATTTTTAAACTATTTGTTGATGTTTGCAATTTAATGATTGGTGACAGATATCTACAAGGTAGTCACATTATGATTATCCAATGAAAAGTGACGTTACAAACGTGCAGTATTAAAATTGTTTATATAAAGCTATTGAGGCAATACGCACCTGTCTTATTTCTCGCTGTACTGAATCCCTCTGAACCTCTACGTTTAAAGTCATGTCTCTGTCCTCGAGGTATGCACGAATTTTCTCAACTCGACTCTCTATATACTGAATCAAACGTTTAACCTGTTTCTGGGCCTCGAGGTTGTCGAGGGTTGTTACGGACTCCTCCCCTCGCATAGCTACGTCACTGTATTGCTGTAACTTCTGTAGCAATTCCTGACCTATTAAAAAGTTATGCTATAAATAAAGGGAAATAGTATTTTGCTCCTTGAAAATGAAGGCTTTGACCCTAAAGAGCAATTAAAAGGTTTTAATATCTATGTTACTATATATAGTAACAAAATCTGGAGTATATCAAGGCCACAATAGCAAGATGTAGGTCATTATGCCATTTCGACCGTCATGCTACTCGGCATTATTTTTCCATTAAATAAGCCAGTAAATGAGCACACATGCAAAATGACGTTATCAACTCTCAGTGACTTTCATTTATCAATATAAGCAACAATAAAAACATCTTTATCTAATCCTAATTTTGTGCTATCATGATTTCTAAATTAGTCAAAGGGTTAAACTGAATGACAGATATTTGTATACAATGACATCTGTCCATTTCTTAGAAAGGGCGACAACCATGATAACGGCTGATGTCTAAATGCCGTATTTCCGGCATAGGTATTAAAGACCCTCAGGCCATAATTGTATAATGGCAAGCAGCAACAAAGGTTAAACCTCAAAATATTACCTTGACTAAGGGCCTGGTTTGGCACTGACAGAATGGAATCTTGGAAGAACCTATGTTGATGTAAAGCCTCTATTGGACTTATTTGCGAGTCTGGTCCCTGGTTACGCTGCTGGAAACCAATCTCGGATTCAGAAGTGTCTAAATGAGATGCTACTGCTTTGGCTTCCCGTAGAAATTTTTCCAAGTCCTAAGTGAACAAAGTGAATACAAATTACAACAGTTTATAAACTAGTTATTTTAAAAATTTAGCAAAATTTATCTTGCTTGTAAAATCCTTACAATGCCAGGTTTATATATTAAATAAAGTACAATATAAAATAAAGGAACAAAATTTTTTTTTTTCATTCAAGGCATTTAGGAATGACTCCCTTCATTGAAACCATAATTTATGTAAGATTTTATACCAAAAATAACTTCCATATTGTTTTCCCTAAAGTCATGTCATATGCTGACTCACTCTACCTACATGTAAAAGACAAAACTCTAAGTTTTTTAATTAAACTTCACAAGGCAACCTTTATTTCACCCTCAATGGAACATATATCGGGTTGTTTTTCTGAACATGGGGCTTTAAGCATTGAAATATTGTTGTTGTTTTTTTTCCATAACATATACAGTATTTCTTTTCAGACCAGGTGAAAGAAAAATCTACTCTTAATAATAAATTATCTAAAGCATTTGATATTCTATCAAATATTTGTTTTCTCTTTTGCTACTTTTTATCTTTTAAGATTTTTTTGCAATGATCAATCTTTATATTTCCTTTTAAGTATTTTTTCTATTCTTTATCACTTTTACATAATATACTTTAAACAACTGCAAACAAGTGTTTACCTTAAAAAAACATTTTGTTTGTAGAGATATAACAATGTTTAATTTTCACTGTATTCTGCCTTGTTGAGCTTAAAAATTCTTAAGTCCAGTCAATTTTGTTGAGCTTAAAAAAGTCTTAGGACCAGTCAATATTTGTTGAGCTTAAAAAAGTCTTTGGACCAGTCAATTTTTGTTGAGCTTAGAAAATCTTAGAACAAGTCAATTTTAGCTTACCAGTCTATTTTGTAGCCAGTATGAATGATGATACATAAGAGTGCCACTCATACTTCCTATAAGTTGATTGCGATCTACATATGTATACAGTCTATTCAGGTTGATAAATTGTGGCTGAAATAAAAAATTTAAAAAATTTACATTGCTATCATTATCTATTACACAGTTTAAAAACATTTTAACATAGAAATTATCTTTTATTATCTACTTAAAGTGGCCCTCAGCTTTTGTTTTTTGTTGTGAAAACAATTCTGCATTGTTTCAAACTAAGTATTTCTGTAATTTTATCTTGGAAAAATGCATCATATCACTGTTAAGCCTTCTTCAATACAGCGCCCAGAGAGATATTTGTAGCGCGCCAGTAACATTTGTTTCTAAAAATAGTCATATGACAATAACAACTAGTTATTAGCCATAAGGAAGTAATATCTTAAAAATCAAGAAAATAATGACAAAATAAAGAAACAGAATGGTAAATCTAAGGAGCCCCACTTTTGGCTCTAAAGTACTTGCAAAAGGATTCACATTCTATTGCAAATTGTGCTAAAATTGAATGCTGTGCATTTTTGTCTTGCTAAGCTACTATACCATGTAAAACCCCTTCACTTCAAACTAAAACACTGACAATCCTTGTGCGAAAAAAAAGAAAATGGAGGTCAAATTCCAACATCTCACAAGATGTTGTGAGCAACATATTTGAAACACTGTTGTATATACAAGCCTTATGTGACATGTACATAACACGAGGAACATGTTGTCGTACACATCAAGGATATTCAGATATGCTGGCAGTAAGAATTTCAACTCCTTAGAAACACAATTATTGTAGTATTTAGTATTATTTAAATGTATATGTGTTGAATACAACATCTCAACAATGGAATTTTGTCACAAATTTTTACAAAATTTTATTTTGGATTTTTGCTTCAAATGAAATTTTTACAAAATTTAATTTTGGATTTTTGTTGCAAATGAAATTTTTACATAATTCCACAATAGATTTTTGTTGCAAATGAAATTTTTACATAATTACATAACACGAGGAACATGTTGTCGTACACATCAAGGATATTCAGATATGCTGGCAGTAAGAATTTCAACTCCTTAGAAACACAATTATTGTAGTATTTAGTATTATTTAAATGTAAATTGTGTTGAATACAACATCTCAACAATGAAATTTTGTCACAAATTTTTACAAAATTTAATTTTGGATTTTTGCTTCAAATGCACAGCTATTAGTTCCCTTTATTTTACAAGTACAAACTTATCAAACCACACAATCACACATCTGAGTCCACTTCTTTCAACTTTACCATCACAGGTGTCATTATTAGATTTTATGTGGTGGTGAAGCATGTAATTCTCAGACTGACATTATTATTTAGTGACCTACACCTTTACCATGGCATGTAATATGCCACCACTTCTTTTAACTAATAAAACTGATAAAAAGGGGGCATAAACAATAGTTGTGCATGCATATAATACAGATAATAACTTTCTGTCCCAAAAAAAGACTTTACAAAACATGAAAAAGAAATATCTTAGCTGAACTTTAAACCTCAAAAACACATAAAATTCTGCCTTTTTTCAGATTTTTTATTTCGAAAACTGCAAAAAGCCTTAAAACAAAGACTTTGACCTTTTGTTTGTGACTTTAAAGAAGAAAAAAGGACAAAAAACAGACAAGAGCAAATCAATCATGTCATGTCATAATTTATATAATTATAATACATTATAAAATTATATCTTTTTTCAATTTTTTTTATAATACATTATGAAATATGCAAAACATGTGTCTATATGTGTTAAATTTTATGCAATCATGTAATGTTATCATATATTCATGCAGATAATTTTTATATAAATACACAAAATTTTCTTAGTTTCAATGCATTTTATAATGGATATGCAATTGTGTGCAGACTTTAAATCTTCAAAACAGAAAATTACCATGGCAATACATGTATGTCTATGAAACTGATACTTTCACAAAACTACTTATAACAAAAAAGAAAATTTACATAATTTTAATATACAATTATTTAAATGGTTGTAAATTTGATACTTATATTATATATAAGTATTATATATATAAGTATTAATTGAAAGACATTTGTGCATATTTCTTACTTCATATAGACCTGAAATTATCTGCTCCTTAAAAACAAACACAAATACAACACAATTACTTCATTTTAGATTTTTAGTTGAAATAATGTATTTTATCCTTTAGTATCATAAAATGGACATAAGTTCCAATATGAATTTACAAATTCAATTGTCCATTTATTAGTGTTAAAGAATTTCAAGATAAAAGTTATTACATAAATATAATCTTTTCAATAAAAACAAACACTTTTCTTAGGTAAGAATTATAAAATACAGTGATGAAGAACAATCCCTACTTATCATTCACTTTTTTATATGATAACCTACATATATGTAATATGATTTTCATAAATATCTGGAAAAATGTGATAACTCAGAAGTTATATAATCAGCAAAATTACATGAAAATTGCAGACTCTGTTTGATTCAGTCTGTACATGAGGGATAATGAAATAGTGCAACATCCCTCACATCCAAAACCATTTTTTGTCTTAAAGTTCAGCTGATTAATGGGGGAGGGATGGGGGATAACTTTTACATTTTTTTAAGAGAGAATCTAAAATCAGCCTCTATCTTATGTTAAAACAAAATTGCTGCAATAATATTCAATTTGAATATATGGCTGGTTTTATACAAAGCTTGTATATCTTGAGTTGTCCTTTAAAAATATGTGCATACACAGTAAATTTACCTTAATACTTACTTACTGAATTGATTTAAAACCCATTTTTTTACATATGATGTGTTCATCTCAAATACAGGTGAATTGTACACAAAATTTCCAACTTCAAAAGATGTTTATAGAAAAATATCTACAAATACACCTTAATAAACATGAAGTAAGAAAGGAAACATGAAAATACAATGAAAAATTCAATTATTTATTTATTTTTACTACTTTTCTGTTAGTTTTACAGGTATATAAGCCACTGTACATTGTTATTGTATAAAGGTTTGAAACAGACTATAGAATAACCAGTCAATCAGATAAACTTCAATGGTGTATGTGTATTACTCCTAAGGTATTGTAGTACACAAAATCATTTATTTTAAATATAGTTTTTATGTAAATTATATTTACTTTATAAAGTTTACATCTTTTCGACATTTCCAAAAAGTCTTACTTTATTATATACCATAAATCGATAATACAAAGTACTTAATCAATTATTGGGGTAATTTATTAACAAAAGGTATGTGGATATCTAAATTCCATTTCAATGATGTATCAACTATAAATGTATTGGTTTATAATTGGGCTAAATTTACTCCATTTTAATAGGCTTAATGGCAAGAGTTTCAAGCTTATATTTGAAGTTATACAGTGAGAGAATTTGATCGCAAAATACTAAATAATTAATTAAGTAGCCAACATTGTAATGTCTAGTCACTATTTGGTTATGAAGATAGGGTAGGTATCTTTACTGATGGAACAGGTATGACAAATACATATAAATGTTGCAAGGTCTTATATTAATGGCCACTATTTTTAATGTTACCTCTATGTTATGACCTTTATCACGACGGAAACTACTGCTACTGGTCTGCCGTGGTCCCATCCCGTCAGTCTTTAGTACAAGCACTTGTTTCAGGTAATCACCTAATGATTGCTGTAAAATACAGGTCACATGGTCTTTGTAAAACAGTAATACAAAAAAAAACACGCACAAAAAAAACTGGGAACATAGGCTAGATGGACATCATTATATTTTTTATGTTAAGATTTCAGGTAGAAGCATACATCTAGGTAGACCTACTATCATGTGCTTACTAAGTTAGTTTAAACAAATATTTTATTTCAATCAAACATATCTACCCAAAAAATTACAATCAAATGCAAAAAGGATTGAATAGAAAGCTACAAGCTTTTTTGAAACTCATTCCTTAGCATTAGCTTGATGGAGTCATTTGAATACCTGCACTTTTAAGGGCATTATATCCGGAACTTTTTAAGGGCATATAATATGAATACAAACCTTAAGACAGCCAAGAACTGTGACCAAGTTAGACCAAGAACCATCTCTGCTGTCTATAATAGCCGTGAACCCTCGCCTCCTTGATTCCTCACTGAAAAAACAGTTTAAGAAATTCATATTTTTGGTCAATTTAGAAAAATCTCCATACATAGAGTAAATGATTATATAAGTAAATTACCAAGTGCTCAATGCAACACCATTATAATTCAAGGTATTGGGCATTAACATGATTTATGTATTAATTACAACACATCTCATGATTTTCTATCTACACAAAAAGTGTAAAACACCAATTTGGGACTATATGTATATGCAGCTTTTTTATGCATATACATAATACTTACTCTGATAAAATCAATAAACAATCATGGCAACATTAATATCACATTTTTTGTTGAGATTTTTTCATTCTTATTATGTTTCCTTGTTCATATCAAAGACTCTAGTTTTTTTAATTTACATGTATCTTTAACAATTGATATATATAGAGGATATTAAACGAGTGTCAAAATATTCAAAACTAAATTTATTGAACAAGTTGAATAAAATTATGTTATGCGAGCCTCTGGCGAGCATAACATTACATTATTCAGCAAGTTAAATAAATTTAGCAATGAGTCTACATGAATATAATATTCAATTTATCACATACCCAAAATAAAGACTGTTTAAAGTGAAAAAGAATCATTGATGCGGCACCTATAGTGTAACACATCTTTACCATTTACTTTATTATTTCTTAAACATACATGTTTATTACATTGTTAAAAACCAGGAAGTTATTTATATAATTTGAAGGAAAATCTACATGTATTTATATGCTCAGTAAGTTTGTACAAAAATATTAAAGATAATATAGTTTTAAATTGACACATGCAACATCTGTTGAAATGAACTATATAACAAATGTTACATAGTTCATTTATCAACAATAATTTCTATTATCATAATTATGTAAAAACATAATAACTTCATATATCATTTGCAATGCATTTATGACCTTTTTTAACCCCCTGGACAGCATTACTAATGTCTTAAAGTTTACAAGTTTTATTATTGTAGTGAAGAGTATATTCTACAACTGGGCATTTACTTATTCATGCAAAACTTAGCTTATTTATTTCATTTATATCTGCTTTTATAAAGGCACATTATGCCTCAGAAATAAATAATATTTTTAATTCTTTACAAAAGTCCAACATGTGTTTAATAATATTTTTATTATGGATTAAGGAACATTAGATTTTAAACAGCTGAAAAATGATGTCATATACATATTCTGCAACAATGTGTTGTAAAGAAAGCAAAATGTAAACAAAGTAGCAACTTTACTTTCATACAAAATACTTAATCACTAAAATTATACCAATTGCAAAAATGCAACAGTGGCAAAAGATAGTTCATTTTTATGGTAAATGAGTAATTTTTTGGAAACAGGTGCAAAACAAACCAGAAATCAAAAGTTTTTGAGGCATTTTTTCAGTGAGAGGGGGGGATGGGGGTGGTGGGGCTAAATGGACCTTTAACTAATTTACATCTATACATTAGCTAAAATTATTAATTTATTTTACAAGGGAAATAGCACTTATGTGCCCAAACTGATAAAGTTTCTGACTGCTTATTATACAATATTGCATTTTTTTACTCAAAAATTTGCATAAAGCTAGCAGTATTAAATGTCTCCCAACAGTCTAGAGTTCATGTTTTACTGTCCTCCCATATTGTAGTGGAAATAAGATAGTTACAGATAAAATAGTATGTATGAATAAAACAGATGATAATAACATACCTTTACCATATAGTGTAACACATGTTTTGTTGATGTAAAATATGTTACAAATATGATAATCTTTAAGCTGAATTCAGAACAGCAAGATTTGTCACAATTTAAATCCAATGTATATAATAGAACAAAGCAAGAGATTCTTAACAGAGCAATATGTTAAAATTTCAGACTTTTTCAGACAGTTGTTTTCAGTTAGTTTATGAGGAACCATGAAATCTTAAAGGCCCATTGTGACACAGAAATGCTTTTATTTTTATTTCTCAAGATCTTTTTATTTCATATGTCCTGCTATAGTTTCAAAAGTTACTCATTGGCCATATACCTGAACCATTTTTTGCTTCTGTTGCCTTTTGATACAGTGGTTTAGTATTTTGTATGGAAGTCAAATTACTAGTTTGTTTACATTTTGCTACTTCACATTCAGATTTACTTTCTTCAGGTGATAAGCATATAAAATGCTCTGAAACGATTATTTACACACTATGAAACTCATGTTGCCTTTTCTAAAGAAGGAAAAATATATTCATTTCTGAGGCATAATGTTGAAGCAGCTAGCATTTATAACTCAGTCTTCAAAAATTAAGTAATAACATCAGATTATACTAATTTATTTTAGTTTGACTGTGTTGGAAGCTATAAGCTTATTGATACACTCTCGAATCCATTCCAGGAATCAAGCAGTACTAAGCAATGAGTGTAAAGTTTCTTGCTCATGGACCCCTGACAGGGTTTGAACCCACACGGCCAGCAATCCTTAGATTACTTAGTCTGATGCATTAACCACTCGGCCACATATATAACAGCATTACAAGAAAAATTAATAATTACCTTGGTATTTGAAAGAGATATTTCAAACATGCTGTGATGTCATTTGGCAAGAAATATTCATCTCTATGAGGGGGAAATATCAAGAGTGGTCCCCCTTGTCTGTCACGCCCACCTGTTAGGAACACAATCTCTTTCTTCAGTTGGTCAATGATATGTGATGCTTCCAAATTACGTGCTGAAAAAAAAGCACAGAATAAATAGAAGATATTGAATGGTAGTAGGTTCAATAAATTCAGTATTGAAGTGTAAGTTCAATACTGATTTTATTAAACAAGTTAAACTAGAAATTGTCACAAGTGCCAAATAGCCCAGACACATGCTTGTCAGAAAGTGTGCTTTTTAGTTAATAATTTTGCACATAAGGAGAATGCAGTTGTTTATAGATTTTTTTTCATGTGTCCTACATCAATAAGATAAATCAAAGTTTGGATTGAAGTTTCATCAAAATATATGCATGGCCATGCAATATCATTTTTACGGTCGAGTCGCAAAATCGGCATAGGGATGTGATAAACATTAACATTCAACTCAAAAATATGCATATACATGAATGAACGTATGGAATGTATGGAATAAATCTAATCATTTTCCAAGGCAGGAAAGTATGAGTGAATTTACAAACTAGACTTTTAAGTAGAACAGCCTACAAATGTAAAAATCGACAAAAACAAGATTTTTAATTCAAAGTTATGAGTTTTGGATATATTTGACCATATTTCATTATAATTCAAGAGGCTAGAAATGTAAAAATCAACAAAAAAGAAGATTCTTAATTCAGAGTTATGAGCTTTGGATATTTGGCTACATTTCATTCAAAATTCATGCCAACAAGTATGGACCTTGAAAAGTGACCTCCAGTTCCAGTTGGTACAAAGACATGTATTTTTTAACAATTGAAGTTCAAATGAATACTATCAGTAATTTTGATGATCCATGTTGCCTAAATAATTTTAAGTTTACACACTTAGATTTTTATTATGTATGTTACTATGTAGGTTCTAACTCTTTATTTGTCATAATTAAATGCATGTTTCTAACCGGCAGTCAAGTTAAGTCGAGTTACCAAATTTACGCTATTAGCCAGTTCCCTGTACATTACGATTTTGATATAAGATAAAGAAGAAGAACATCGGGACCTAGCGGAAGTGTTCTTTATAACAGAGGTTCACTGTATATTTTAAAATAAATTAAAAATGGGTCAAAGACAGAAAAGGCCGGGTTGCATTTGTACACCAAATATCATGAGGCTGTGATGTTACGAAAAAAAATTTCCATTGACCCATTAATGTCGAAAATTTAATTCAGTAGGTTAACAGGAAGTGGATTAGCTACACACCTAAAATCGAATCCCACAGTATGGGACCATGTGTCAATGCTGTATGCCAAATATCAAGAGGCTGTGATTAGTAGTTTCTGAGAAAAATGTTACGAAAATTTCCTACCATTGACCATTAATGTGAACAGGAAGTGGATGAGCTGCAGACTTGAAATCGAATCCCACAGTATGGGACCATGTGTCAATGCTTTATGCCAAATATCAAGAGGCTGTGATAAGTAGTTGCTGAGAAAACTGTTACGAAAATATTTCTAGCATTGACCATTAATGTCGAAAAATCTAACTAATTTAACTAAGTGGATAAACAGGAAGTGGAATGAGCGACAGACCTGAAATCATATCCCACAGTATGGGACCATGTGTCAATGCTGTATGCCAAATATCAAGAGGCCGTGATAAGTAGTTGCTGAGAAAACTGTTACGAAAATTTCCTACCATTGACCATTAATGTCAAAAAATCTAACTAATTTAACTAAGTGGATAAACAGAAAGTGGATGAGCGACAGACCTGAAATCGAATCCCACAGTATGGGACCATGTGTCAATGCTGTATGCCAAATATCAAGAGGCTGTGATAAGTAGTTGCTGAGAAAACTGTTACGAAAATTTCCTACCATTGACCAATAATGTTTAAAAATCTAACTAATTTAACTAAGTGGATAAACAGGAAGTGGATGAGAGACAGACCTGAAATTCAATCCCACGGTATGGGACCATGTGTCAATGCTTTATGCCAAATATCAAGAGGCTGTGATAAGTAGTTGCTGAGAAAACTGTTACGAAAATTTCCTAGCATTGACCATTAATGTAAAAAAATCTAACTAATTTAACTAAGTGGATAAACAGGAAGTGGATGAGCGACAGACCTGAAATCGAATCCCACGGTATGGGACCATGTGTCAATGCTGTTTGCCAAATATCAAGAGGCTGTGATAAGTATTTGCGGATGCAACCCGGCCAAAAATCATGATAATCAGGTAAGTTAACGCAATATGATAAGGGCAATATGAGCCTTAGGAAACATTAAAGAAAGGAAATGGTTTTAAATATATGCATGTTAATGGTAATTATCATAATGATGATATAGGCAATAATCTCGTTTTATTCTAAAAATAAGCAAAATAATATAATAAATATGCCAAATCCACATAAATACACTTATATTTAAATAATTATCTCCTGTGCAACCATATCAAATATTGCTTAGTACTTGTCACATTAAAGTGAACTTTCTACATTAAACTTAAAAGGAACTTCACTGAGGTCCAAAAGTCTAAAAATATAACATTTGAAATACTTTTGAAGACCACCTGGGACACTTAAAACATGGAGATATGCAAAAGATACCTAGGAAATATACTCAGAAATAAATTAGTTTTTATGTGCTATTCTTAGTTGAGTTGCAACCCTTTTCAATTTTGGGTATTTTTCACAATTAATTAATTAGAATCAGTGGAGTCCCTTTAAGTATTTCAAGCATCTAACAATATAATGCCAGCTGGGTTCCAACTGCAAAATATCAAAATGTAAAATTTCTAAAATTTCACTTCTGTTTTTAAAACTTACAGTAAATAAGCGATTAAAACCGGAGTAATTGAGAAACGGACAAAAAAACATTGTGAAGTTATCGTAAAATAAATTTCAGGTTTATGTTAATACAACAAATTAGACATACTTTCCATATCTGGAATCCCATTCGAACTGCGCATGGAAGCTCGACTGTGCCTACTTTTTTGTGACTGTGAGTGCTCGCTCCTGCGACTCCGTTGTGAAAGACTGGGTGACGGGTATGCATGTTGAGGCTGTTGCTGCTGGTAGCCTGGCTCCGGGACTGGAAGAGCCGGTTCCCTCGCAGGGTAGCTCAATTCTCGCTGAGAGTATTGCACATCTCTTGGCAGGTATTGCATCTCTCTTGGCTGATAAGCCATCTCCTAGAAACATAGAAATATTTTTTTCAAAATAAAAATTTTAAAAAGTGTGAACAAAAAAAGTGCAGGGCTTCCTTTTATTGGAAGTTTGGGAGTCATTTACTGCTTGATTTTGGCTTGCGACTTCAAATAGGTAATGCTTGTCCTTCTTTACTTATATATTGTGACTTCCAATGTCAGACATTTTGCAGTCTTCCAAATTTTTTAATTTAATGGAATCCCTGAAGTGGTTACTGTTTACAGTATCATGAAATTTGAATTTGACTGCAATTTATTCTTACCCTTAGTCCATTTCTAACTTAAAATTCCTTTTGAAATATAGTAAACTAGACACTATTGCTAGTTGTGATTCAAATCCCAACCCCATCATATCCTGATGTCTTTGATAGAAAGGGGAATAACTTTTTTAACTTTTCCGTTGATTGTCAAAATTTCAAGAATCGGTAATGAGCACTTTAAAATTTTCTTTACTTTTAAAGGATAAATTAAATGCCAATTATAATTTTGACTCAATTTCATGAATCGGTAATGAGCACTTTTTTTATATTTTCTTTACTTTTAAAGTATAAATTAAAGGCCAATTATAATTTTGACTCAATTTCAAGAATCGGTACCTTAATGAGCACTTTTTTATATTTTCTTCTTTACCTAAAACTTTGCCAATCTAAACAATATTGGTAAGGTTCCATTAGACAATCTTTCATGCCACATATCTAAGCTCAAGCAACTGGAGTTTCAGAAAAGAAGATTTATTTTTTAAGTTTTTGCTATGGTATAAGAAAAACCCAAGACCTCCAAGGCAGGGACATTGTTGACCCTGTGAAGGGCCATAATGTCCACTACCTTGTAGGTCCACTTGATAATGTTTCATGCCAAAAATGTACACTGTAAGCTCTGATTCTTGGGCTTTCAAAGAAGATGTTTTAAGTTTTTACTATATACACATAAGGGAAACCCAGGACACACCACATTTGGGTCAAAAGTTGCTTAAGTGCTAGGTTATAAGTACATGTACATCCACTATATATACACAAAACCCCATGTCCCCAATGTGGGGTCAATTTAGACACCCCTAAACAAATCTTTAAACAATCTTGGTAGAGACTAGACAATATTTCAAACCAAATACATTATGTTTAAAAAGACCCATGTAGAATATTTCTTTATCACATTCATTACAGGCACAAATAATTGCAAGCCCAACTTAAAAGATATGTGAAGTATTTGTCCAATTTCTCAATTATAGTCATTATACAGGAATTAAGTTATTTTACACTACACTTGACCAATTATTATTATTACATATTGACTATTGCAGAGTTTATTTGCAAATCGATTATTTTATCCCATACGTGAATGAAATACACTGGGTAATTGACGAGTATGACCCTAAGGGATGGGATGACCAGTTTCAATATTTACACTACACTTGGTAAGTAGTGTGAACTGAACAAAACAAATTTTGTAGCCATTTTTGTTGACAAATAAATATTGACATTTAAGGCTGGCTGTCGTGTCTGTACATGAAACTTAGGTATTTCTAGCTTATCTATCTGAAAGAATTATACAGCAATACAAGAATGATAGGTTTAACAGGCAGAAGAGTTACCATATTGATTATTTTCTTTAAGTTCATTTCATATTTATATGTTCAGTATACAAGTTATTTATAAGTATTATTTATTAAAATTTAAACTCAGAAAATAACAATAATTATATGAATGAAAATCAGCTATTAAACTTAAATAAATTATACTTTAAAGACAACTAGACCTATCACTGAAGGTGATTAATACCCCCACCTGCAACTTTGACTTTTTGTAAAAAAGTAGTCAGAAGAAAAATTTGAACACAGACTACCAACTGTGTACAAAGAAATATTTCAATTAATTGTAATCGCAACTGGGGTCTTGAAATATTAAGCTTGCTATACACCAAGTTTGATTACAATATCTCATTCCTAACTCTAGTTATTGTCCGGAAACCATTTTTCTATTTTTAGTAACACTGTAACAGTGACCTTGACCCCTAGGGGTCCAAATGCAATACCAACCCAGGTCTTCATATAAGCTTCCTATACACCAAATTAGATTACAATATCTCATTCCTAACTCTACTTATTGTCCGAAAACCATTTTTCTATTTTTAGTAACGGTGACCTTGACCTTGATCCAAGGGGGCCCAAATGCAATCCCAACCAAGGTCTTCATATAAGCTTGCTATACGCCAAGTTTGATAATAATATCTCATTCCTCACTCTAGTTATTGTCTGGAAACCATTTATCTATTTTTAGTAACAGTGACCTTGACCCAAGGGGGCCCAAATGCAATCCCAACCAAGGTCTTCATATAAGCTTGCTATATGCCAAGTTTGATAATAATATCTCATTCCTCACTCTAGTTATTGTCCGGAAACCATTTATCTATTTTTAGTAACACTGTAACGGTGACCTTGACCTTAGGGGGTCCAAATGCAATACCAACCCATTTCTTCATATAAGCTTCCTTTACACCAAATTAGATTACAATATCATTCTCATTCCTAACTCTAGTTATTGTCCAGAAACCATTTTTCTATTTTTAGTAACACTGTAACGGTGACCTTGACCCAAGGGGGCCCAAATGCAATACCAACCAAGGTCTTCATATAAGCTTGCTATACGCCAAGTTTGATAACAATATCTCATTCCTAACTCTAGTTATTGTCTGGAAACCATTTTCCTATTTTTAGTAACGGTGACCTTGACCCCAGGGGGTCCAAATGCAATACCAACCCAGGTCTTCATATAAGCTTGCTATACACCAACTTTGATTACAGTATCTCATTCCTAAGTCAAGTTAGTGTTCGGAAACTATTTTTCTATTTTTAGTAACGGTGACCTTGACCTTGACCCCAGGGGGCCAAAATGCAATACCAACCCAGGTCTTCATATAAGCTTGCTATACGCCAAGTTTGATAACGATATCTCATTCCAAACTCTAGTTATTGTCCGGAAACCATTTTTCTATTTTTAGTAACGGTGACCTTGACCCCAGAGGGTCCAAATGCAATACCAACCAGAGTTTCCACATAAGATTGCCATATACCAAGTTTCATAACAATACCTCATTCCAAACTCTAGTTATCGTCCGGAAACCATGATGTGGACCGACCGACCGACCAACCGACCGACCGACAAGCTGACTCCTATATACCCCCCCTAAACTTCGTTTGTGGGGTTGTGGGGGTATAATAAATGCTCCAGTATAGATACAATCTGTGGTGACCATTTATACAAAGAATAAGTACATTTGTAAAAGGAATGACGAAAGTTACATACATTTGTATATGTATAGATGGGACAAAAAAAAGAGACTTATCTATGTAACCTTTTCCATTGACCTAAAATCTAGCCCCTTGCCCCTCCCCTGACACTCCTACCAATGAATTTTGTGTAAAAAATAATTTTAAAATCTATCAGTGAATGATAATGTAATGAATCAGACATGTAAAATTGGGTTATGTTCCCAATTAAAATAGTTTTTTTTTAATTTTTTTACCAATTGTTTAAGCCAATTTAAAGGTGATTGCACTCATAATTTACCTAGACAACCAACATAGTATATAATATTTAGAAAGTTTATTACTGTAAATTTCATTCTAGTGACCAAACACACACCCATTGCATATTTGTATGCATCAGTAAAAATGACATAGCATAATTACTATGTCAGACTTAACACTCTAATTATGTCAACTGTCAAATTTATTGATACTGTATTAACTTCAGGGCATGCTAGGTAAGATCTCTAACAGAAAATAGCTGACAACATCTAGTTAATATGTCAAAATAAAATACATCAATATTTTAGAAGTATTCCCTTTCCCTTAACCCTTTAACTGCAGAATTTCTGGAGTTTAAGTCCAGTTTCTATTTTTTGAAGTTGGTCAGGCAACAGTATACAGCCTTGGTCAGTCTGTACAAATCTGTTAAAGCAGGTTAAAGCCCCATAGAGCCAACAATTTTATTTTTCAAATGCTTTTTACTTTTGGTGTACAATAAAGTATTTCAGTTTCCTAAAGAGTACTTATTGTCCATATAGCTAAGTCATCTTTTGATTCTTTAGCATATGACAGTAAGCACAGTTACTCTTTAGTGATTTAGTATTTTGAATGCAAGTCAAAATACCACTTTGTTCACATTTTAATATATTAATGGCAAATTCTTTCATTTTCAGCACTTCTATCTTTAGGTGATAAGCTGCTGACATGCTTTAAATCTGCAGGCCTCCAGATGAAAGAAAATCAATATTGAGAAAAGTGCACTAAACTTTGAAGAAATGTAAAAGCCTTCAAGATCCAAGTTATATTTTATGTGCGGTTTAACACTGATTTTGCAGTATTTTATCACCATATTTCTACTGCATTACTAACGCAGTATTAAAAGGGCTGTTTTTGCAAATGTTGACCACTTTTTGGTAGTTTCTGTGGATTTTAAGTGCTGATTGCAATATGTACATGTTACATTAATTCACTTTAAAATACATTTCCAAAATTTTTATGAAAATTAACATGAATCTGGAGGTGTGCTGCTTTAAATCCATTCTCACAAAATTACAAAACAAATGTTGCCCTTTTTAGAGAAAACTTTTCGTATTCATTTCTAATAATGTGCCTTTAAGGTGACCCTTCCACATCTTGAATTGTATTTACAGGTTGTTGAAGCTGTCCAGTACATTTTAAAGGACTGCATATTGAACATTATTTGTGATAAAGTAATACTTGTGACACTCCAGTTAGAAATATAATATGACAAATTTCAACTTGTGACAGGAACAAAATTTAAAATAATCAATAGATTAAAGTTGTTAAACAATATTTTTTTTTTTTGACATTTTTACAGATTGCTCAGATAACCAATCAGTAAATGTGTTTACTGATGCAATTTAATGCCTATATTTACCATGATAAATTTAATAACATTGAATTGATACTTTAGATAACAAAAAAATGGTGACATGTTAAAATTTAACAAATATTTTTATCATTTTGAGCAGATAATGTTACTTAAAGGCACATTAAGCCTAAGAAATTTTTTTTTTCTCTCTAGAAAAGGCATTATTATAACTCTTTTACAGATGAATGCCTTAGTCTATAAACATTTTAAAAATTAAGCTTAATAGAATGCAGTTGGTGTATTTGAATTTACAAAATAAAAAATCATATCAGTGAACTCTCCCACTTTATGCAGCCACATTTTCAAATTAAAGAAATCTCCCTCTTCTTGATGTCAGAACTTTCTTCTTTGTTTATTGCAAATTCTAAAATCTCCCTCAGTCTTTTTAAAGAAAAATCTCCCACTTGATCATCAAAAATAGTTCACATGTATGCATTATTTCAGTTGAAGCTCGTTTAAAGGCACATTATGCCTCAGAAACCAATAATTTTTTTCTTCTTTAGGAAAGGCTAACATAAATTTTAAAGTGATTAATAATGATTTTAAAGCAATTGCAAATGTTTATCACATGAAGAAAGTAGCGCGTAATTTGGAATAATTTGTTATAAAAGTAGAAAATGTAAACAAGGTAGTATAATTTTGACTTCCATACATGATTTTTAAATGGCTATTTAATCATTTAAGTTTCATTATATTTCATATTATCTTTTTTTTTAATTAAGAAATACAAGTTTTGCATTATAATCCATTAAAGCCTATGGTTATTAACTTTAAAAAAATCCCAATACAATGAATATAATAGGCTACCTATATACTCATGTATGACTCAAGTCTGACACATATAATATATTCTGAAGTTGTTATAAAGTAGTCCTATATAAATATGATGTTGCTTCATTCTAAGCCCATATTAGTCTGATATAATGGGGCCCATCCACCTAGCCACTTCATTTACATAATTACTACATTTGATGGGTAGCAAGACACTTCACCCCCCAGACACTTCACCCCTCAAATTTTGAAGACACTTCACCCCTCAAGACACTTCACCCCCCAAAATCAGTAAGACACTTCACCCCTCATCCAATTTTTTTCTAAAAAGTAAATAAGCTAACAACATAATGCTTTTATATCATATGCTTATTTTAATTATTTTAATTATGATTTGATTAATAATTTTTTAATTAAAGGACAATTTACAGACATTTCTAAGAGTAAATTTTTGTTTAGTAAATAATTCAGGAACAAATAACACATGTAATAATTTCTTTAGATCATTTACATATAACATGCAATAAAACAACATTTTACTGGTTCAAAAAACCACATTCTTATAAACGTCCATAAATTCACCCACTTTCTCCAAGAATTCCTCAGTCCTTAATTCATGATAATTGTATTGGCCACTAAGCACTTTCATCCATTAAATGTTTATTGCATGTCACCTTGTATATTCAACATGTTGATTGGTTGTTTTTTCAACAGCTATCTCATAATTGATTAGATAATTGGATTAAAAAGGTATTATTGTATGAAAATGATATAAATGAATAGCTAAATAAATAGTATCATATGTAAAATAAATAAATAAAATGAATATAAAAGAATATAAATGAATGAATGAATTATTTATCCACTTAAATATTATAATAAATTTATAAAAAAGAACAATTTGTATTTTCCTTACATAAATTAAAAATGTTGCTAACAAATTAAGTAAACTTACCGGTATCACATGCTATGTGTTGCCAGTTCAGTTTGTATTCATGTTTAGATTTCAATTCATTAAACAAGATACTGCCAATTAAAGACAAAAAGGAAATGTGAAAGAGGTTATTTACTGTCTAAATATAAATCAAAGGAAAATTCACACAAAGGTTCACACACTAGAAAGATTATTCTACAATTAGTTTAGAAAGATTATTTTACAATTAGTTATATCACTGTCATTTTAATTGAAATTAGTATAAAATATATAAAAAAAAAATAAAAAATAAAGAGTTAACTTACTAATAAATTTGTGATATGAGCCTTATTTTGGGCAAAAAAAAAAAGTTCCATTGTCTTTGGTCAATTACATGATAAAATAATAATAAAATATGTTAATACAATAAACATACTCAATTACTATTGTATACATTTAACATTTCTAGATAAATAGTTGTTTAACACAAAATAAAAAAATGGGGGGGGGGGTGAAGTGTCTTAATCAAATTTCTTAAAATGAGGGGTGAACTGTCTGAGGGGTGAAGTGTCTGCAAAAAAGGACCTAGGGTGAAGTGTCTGGGGGGTGAAGTGTCTGTAAACCCATTTGATGTATAGTTACCCTTTTAATATCTAAAAAAAACTTGCATGGTTTTCGTATGAATTATGATGTCGAATATAAATTATTTATTTCAAAAGACGCATACACCTTTAACTTGAAAATATTTAATGATATAGAAATATTCATTTTATTCAATCTCTGCAAAATTTCAAGCGTCTACATTTTTGCCAATATTTATTGAAACGGACTATAGTTTTCAACAGGTAATGTCCGAAATGACAACACTGGAACAAGTTTTACTTTTCCTGGTAAAAATATGCTCAAAACATGACATTTTAAACTGACGATTCTTCAATATTTAAATTGCGTATTCAAAGCGCTTCAGAAATTGATTCTCAAAAATGTTTATCACCTGTCATTTTCAAAAGTATTTTTAGCTACAAAAACTTTCGACAGCCAGAAATTGACATTGTTACGTTCGGAGTTTAAATTTTCAAAGTTTACAGATTTATGCATAAATCAGATACATAATGTATTACCTTTGGCCTGCGCTTACGATATTCCGTTTCTTTAATGTAACTCCACTATTCCATTACGGTTTAATTCCAATGAATTCATATTCGACCTGTCCCACCACTTTAGAAATGTCAACTAAACTTCCGGCGTATGATCAAACGAGTGTGACTGAAATGTATGGTGTATGTTTGAAGCAGACGACAGGTTGACAGGTGTATTTTCAGAATTTACGGTATACTAGAAGGGACATGAGTCAAAAAGTTTAAAGATACATTCATGACATCTGAACTTTGTAAAAGTGTTAGATGGGACAGAAGGTCTTTCTGTCCCAGGTTTAAAGGCTTAGTGATAAAAATATACCCATTTCAGATTGCGTCTCTCGGATGCTACCGCGGACTTTAATTAAAGTCCTCGGATGCTACCACGGACTTTAATTAAAGTCCTTAAAGCTACATAACGATTTTTTCGACTGAGGTGCGTAATTTTGAATAAACAGGCCTTCGGTATCGTGTGTGACCGGGGTTATCCGCCAGTAAAATATAAAATCTGCATGTTATATGGTGGCTATAATTGTTATTCAAAATTAATGTCTACATTTTCCCCCGCAAAATTACAGACTAGAGAACATGCAAGCTCCAGTTTATCACATACCCGTGCCGCTTTTGTTGGCCGTGTATATATTTTGGCGTGACATCATTTGCGTGAGTAAAGACGAGCTAATTGAGGCGCGTCAATGCAAATTTTTTTTTTTTACTTTAAACAGTCTTTATTTTGGGTATATGATAAAAAGAATATTATATTCACCTAGTTTCATTACTTATTTTATTGAACTGGTTGAATAAAATTATAAAATTTAGATGCGAGTCTCAAGTTTAATGAAGTAAAATTTTGCTTGCCAGTTGGGCTCGCATAATATAATTTTATTCATCTCGTTCAATAAATTCACTCATTCAATATCCTTTATTTATCACATAATTAACCGTGCCGCTTTTGCGGCTCCGTAAAATAGTATTGCATGTCGTGCATATATTTTAACGTGACGTCATTTGCGCTTAAAACGCACACACTACAAGCACGCCAATGATCAGATGATTCTTTTTAAGTGAAAAAGTTCTAATTTTGGGTATGTGGTAAATAGAATATTATATTCGTGTAGGTTCAGTACTAATTAAATTTATTGAACTCGTTGAATAAAGTAAAAAGAAAAAAAATTTATACACTTAATATACAGAAAGAACAATTAGCAGGTTCACAAACGCCCATGACACGCGGAAAAATCCTGGTCATATTGGGTGGGTTACGGCTCGGTTCTCATATTGAGAAAAGATAACCCTCCAAACTTGCACAAAAACGAATCTGCAACGGAATCAGTAAAGTGTATCATTTTTCGTAAGAAAAAAACACCATATTCTCGAGCCAACCGTTGAAACAACATTTGTCTGATACTGTTGCGGATTCGTTTACAAACAAGAGCACTAGTTCCGACGGTCTTCTTTGCACAATATGAGCCGAAAGATTTCTGCGTATCATGGTCTTTTCATGGAACAGCTGTTTATTCTTTCTCTGTATAAGTGTACAATTTTTTTGAAAAAAAAAATCCATTTCTCATTTTTCATTTTCTGGAGAAAATTGTTAAACACCATTCGGCAGATTCCGTCGCACATTCGCTTTTGTACAAGTTTAGAATCTTTGCTCAATATGAGGACCAAAGCCGTAACCCAAGCAATATGTCCAGAATATTTCCGCGTGGCAAGGTTGTTTTTGGACCGGCGATCTTAGAAAGGCCTATCACCTTGGGTTTAATTCCAATATGGCCTATCATCTTGAAATGCGGAAGATTTTTCTTCAGGCTATCACAAAGGGTTTTAATCCGATTATAACCCCCCAAAAAGGCCTATCACCGTGGGGTTTGTGAGCTTTACTGTATTCCCTGAAACCATCATCCTGGGATTCATTGCGATACGAACCATTAGAAAGGATTGTGTGAGCTTCGCTGTATTTCCTGAGGATATCACCGCGAGTGTTATTGCGATGTGAAATATCACCATGATCACCGTTGGTTTTGTTAGCATTACTGTATTCCCTCAGACTATCACTGTGAATTTTATTGCCGTAATAACCTTTATAAAGGCCTATCACCGTGGGGTGTATGAGCAGAATAGTATTCCCTGAGATTATCATCGTGTGTATTGTTACAGTAAGAACCCTTAGAAAGACATTTCACTGTGGATTGTGTGAGATTGACTTATTTCTAAAGGCTATCATCATGGTTATTATTGCAATAAGAACCGTGAGAAAGGCCTATCACCGTGGATTTTGTGAGCAGTACTATGTTCCCTTATCATCTTGAGTAATTTTAGTTGGAAAAGAACCGTTAAAAATGCCTGTCACAGTAGGTTGTGTTCGCTTAACTGTATTCCTTGGGTTTTATTTGGATAAGAATCTTTAGAAAGGCCTATAACCGTGGGTTGTATGAGCTTTACTGTATTCACCAAGTCTATCAAGGTGTGTTTTATTTCGATAAGAACCTTTAAAAAGGCCTATTACCTTAGGTTTTATTTCGATTAGAGCCCTTAGAAAGGCCTATCACCGTAGAGTGAGTGAGCAGTACTGTATTTCCTGAGGCTGTCATTGTAAATATTATTGCAATAAGAGCCCTTAGAAAGAAAGGCCTACCACCGATGGTTTTATTTTGATAAGAACCCTTTTAAAGGTCTATCACAGTGGTTTGTGTGAGCTTTACTGTATTCTGTGGGACTGCTATCATCGTGGATATTATTACAAAAGAACTACATGTATAAGAAAAGCTAATGACGGTGAGTTGTGATAGCTTACTGTATTCCCTGAGGCTATCACCGTGGGTTTTATTTCGATAAGAACCCTTAAAAAGGCCTATCACCGTGGGTTGTGTGAGCTTTACTGTATTCCCTGAGGCTATCACCGTGGGTTTTATTGCGATAAGAACCCTCTAAAAGGCCTATCACCGTGGGTTGTGTGAGCTTTACTGTATTCCCTGAGGCTATCACCGTGGGTTTTATTTCGATAAGAACCCATATAAAGGCATATCACAATGGGTTGGGTGAGCTTTACTGTATTCCCTAAAGATATCACCGTGGGTTTTATTTCGATAAGAATCCATATAAAAGCATATCACAATGGGTTGGGTGAGCTTTACTGTATTCCCTGAAGATATCACCGTGGGTTTTATTTCGATAAGAACCCTTATAAAGGCCTATCACCGTGGGTTTTGTGAGCTTCACTGTATTCCCTGAGGCTATCATCGTGAGCTTCACTGTATTCCATGAGGCTATCATCGTGGGTATTATTGCAATAAGAACCCTGAGAGAGGCCTATCACAGTGGATTAAGTGAGCAGTACTATATTCCCTGCGGCTATCATCGCGGATATTATCGCAATAATGTAGAACCCTAAGAAAGGCCTATCACCGTGGGTTGTGTGATCAGTTCTGTATTCCCTGGGATTATTACCGTGCGTTTTATTTCGATAAGAACCTTTAGAAAGGCCTATAACCGTGGGTTGTATGAGCTTTACTGTATTCCCTGACATAATCACCGTGGGTTTTATTTCGATAAGAACCCATATAAAGCATATCACAATGGGTTGAGTGAGCTTTACTGTATTCCCCGAATATATCACCGTGGGTTTTATTTCGATAAGAACCCTTAGAAAGGCCTATCACCGTGGGTTTTGTGAGATTCACTGTATGCATTGAGGCTATCATCGTGGGTATTATTGCAATACGAACCTTGAGATAGGCCTATCACAGTGGATTGTGTTAGCAGTACTATATTCCTGAGACTATCATAGTGGATATTCTTGCGATAAGAACCCTGAGAATGGCCTATCAGCGTGGGTTGTGTATTCCCTGAGACTATCACCGTGCGTTTTATTTCGATAAGAACCTTTAGAAAGATCAATTACCGTGGGTTTTATGAGCTTTACTGTATTCCCTGAGATAATCACCTTGGGTTTTATTTCGATAAGAACCCTCAGAAATGCCTTATGTTTCGTGGGCTTTACTGTTTTCCCCGAGGCTTTCATCGTGGGTTTTATTTCAGAACACTTAAAAAGGCCTATCACCGTTGTTTGTATGAGCTTTACTGTATTCCCTGAGATAATCACCGTGAGTTTTATTTCAATTAGAACCCTCAGAAAGGCCTTTTACTGTAGGTTGTGTGAGCTTTACTGTATTCCCCGAGGCTATAATTACAATAAGAACTATAAGAAAAGCCTATCACCGTGAGTTGTGATAGCTTTACTGTATTCCCTGATGTTATCATACTGGCTTTCATTTCAATAAGAACCCTTAGAAAGGCGTATCACCGTGGATTGTATAAGCAGTACTGTATTTCCTGAGGCTATCATTGTGGGTATTATTGCAATAAAAACCTTAAGAAATGCCTATCACCTTGGGGTGTGAGAGTTTAAATGTATTACCTGAGGCTTACACCATGGATTTTAGATCAAGATCAATTCAAGGTCAAAGTCATATAATAATAATTCAACGTGCTGTTTTTGGCATAAGTGTTCTTTTGAAGATTTGACCTGGATGGCCAGGGTCAAATAAAGGTCAATGTCATATCTGAATAACTCTATTCAACATAATAGTTTTTATAAGGATTCATTTGTCTATATATAAATAAAATCCATTGATAAATATCAAAGTTATGGCCAATTGCAGCAAAATTCACTTATTTGACCTTTAGTGTGAAGGTCAAACTTACGTCAATGTAAAGTTCAATTTAATCTTCTTGTTGTGCACATGCATTACTTTCAAAGTTATAGCCAATTATTGCTAAAAACTCTAAATAACAATAATTTGACCTTTAAGATCAAGGTCATTAATTAGTCAAGGTAAAATTGAGTGCGCTCTTCTTTAAGACATTTCACTTAAAAAAGTTGTGCTCAAGTATTAAGACACTCATTTAAGAAATAACAAAGTTATAGATAATTACAGCAAATATCAAGCAAAATTTTATTAATATGACCTTCAAGGTCAAGGATAAATGAAGGTCATCCGGCGCGTAGCTAGCCTATAAAGAATGTAGATTCAAAATAATCTAGGGGGTTTTCAGGGGGCATGCCCCCCCCCCCCCCCCTGAAAATTTTGAAATAAATGGTGCAATTTGGTGCGTTTTGGGGC